TTTTTATAGTAAAAATCAAGCAGTGATACATCTCACGAATAGAATATCGATTTATTTAATCATTGCATTGCCTCTCAAAAAAATCCAAGTGAATATTTCCTGCGCCAATAAACCCTTTGCACTTAGCATCAACTTTTTTAGGTTTTGTTGATATTTGTCTAATTATAATTGAATTATAGTCTCATTAAACGAGGAATTGTGAATTATTGTAACCCTTTGCACTTAGCATCAACTTTTTTAGGTTTTGTTGATATTTGTCTAATTATAATTGAATTATAGTCTCATTAAACGAGGAATTGTGAATTATGTAATTGTTAGGTTATATTATGATTTAGTCTACACGTGTCTTACAACAAATTTTGTAACGTAAAGAATCTAATCGTCAAAACAGTTGTTATGTTACTATAATTCAGTGACACGTCGCGGGTCGGATTATATTACTCTGCGGGCGGGATCTGGCCCGAGGGCCGTAGGTTGACGATCCCTGGCTTACAGCATAACATTCAATGCAATTTTATGAATTCGTATGGGTTAGTAAATGTGACCCAATAATAATTTGCTTTTATTTCGCATTTATTATGCTAATGAAAACAATATACATATCCATTTTAATTCATTACAACAGCGATATCAACATTTCTACCCCCGCAAACTGACAACACGAAATAAAATAAACTCGAGTACCGGCATCAGAATATTGGAATATTATTTATGATTTCAACCTAACGTAAGCATGTAAGTAAAACATGTATAACTTATACATCGTCTCATCTTATTGTTTCCTACTTTTTTACTGCGTGAAATTATAAAATTTGACACTAAAACATGTTAATCAACTTTACGGTACTTGATTTGATCTCACAAATGAAATGTTACATGTCTTACGGATAAAAATATTAAATTCAAAAATTTAATTTTGATTGGTCTCATTATCGGGTCTTGCATGTTTCACAAATACTTGATTTTTTGAATAATGACACGTTTCCTAGAATTTTCCCACTAACCATATAACCTTTCTTATGTTTCAAAGTCATGTCATCTTCACGTTTTTTTCTCGCAAACGTATATGGCATTTTTATTGGAGGTGGCTATGATGACTATCTTGCGACAAAGTTTGGAATTAAATATGAAAAAATTATACTTTAGTTATCAGATTTTTCACATATTTGAATGATATAAATAAAAGTTCACATTTAATGGCTATTTAAACAAATCTGGGTCGGGCATTTAAAACTAATTTGATGCATTTGTAATCCAAATTTATAGGTAAATCAACAGACAACAAGTCAATATATACTTTCTTACTATTGTTATATACTTTCTCGAGTTGGAAGTCGCAAAATGCTTTGACCCCCTGAATTGTCGACTGACCGACATACGGACTGCGCATTCTGAGAAGTCAGATTTACAAAAAGTGAACCCAAAACAACGACTTTTGAAAATCGAAGCAAGTTCAGTACACAAAAGTCTCATCGAGAGTAGGGCAATTTCAACGTTTACGCAAGTTTGAACAAATTGTTATGGTCTTACCTTGTTCGGTAAGGGCAAATGTTTAATTTCAAATACTTTTTATAAATTTCATAATAATTGAGAGGTAAAAGCGATACTTTTTGATTGAATAGATTTCGAAATCCCTGATATATTTTGAAAAAAAAAAAGGTTCAAGAGATATTTAAAAAACTGGCAATTGAGATTAGGAAATGGGAGAGCACTTTAAAAAAAAATAATATTAAGAGATACAAAAGCTAAATGAGATTTGGTTCCAGTCTGTCAGTTAATTTTGTCTATATCTAATCTAAAATAAGATTCAACAGCAAATATTTGGAAATGAATCCAGGCGATTTTTATCGAAAACATCTATAAACTAGACTTGAAAAAAGTTATAGCTTCAAATACGACACTTTTCGACTCAACATAGTTCTTGGGCGTCACGAAACCGCCAGAAGAAGACTCGGAAAATGGATATCGAATTGCTAACACTTCCATTAGAGATAATTTGTATAAAAGTAGTCGAGAAAAAAATCTAGCAGCAAATTTCTCACTGAATTTTTTTTTTTTTAATTTGGTGTGACAATAAATTTGAAAAACACTTTCTAGAAATTTGCGTTTTAAGTCATAACTTTTGCAAGGACCCCTAATAATGCCTTAAGATCAATAACAAGAAGACACTATTTTGTGCCTGCAAATAATAGAAAGCCTAAGTTAATTTAAGATGCGGCCCGCGGTTTTACCCAGGTATTGATATCTGGCCCGCCTGCGAAAAAAGTTGCACACCCCTGATTTAAAAAGATGATTCAAACAAATCTCACATTTCTCACAAGTTTCATGGAAATTTCCGTTTTTCTGCGATTTTTTTCAAAACGTGATGTTTTTCTCAAATTTAACACTTTTTGCAATAGTCACAAAATTCCTTTGTACATATCCATAATACACATCATTTAATATTTAAAAAAATAAATATATCACATGAAAAGAAATTGATGTATGCGATCGGGACGCGTTAATTGGTTAAGGTGCATTGTAAACTGACGTTAATGATCTCGGCATTCAATTAGAAAACTCATAGCACAACGTCGTATTTCGTATTTCACATATTCCAAAATTCACTAATTTTTAAATTTCTTCCTAATTGCATGTAATATTAAACAGAAGAAAACGTACGAAGGGAAGCAATCTTACTGCTACAAAATAAATTCATACTCAATATACAAAAAGAATAATTTGTCGCAGATTTCGCCCAAAAATTACAAACAATTTATCCATCCACGGCCACAAATTTTAAGAGATGAGTTACATGAGCGAGTAAAAACCATAAAATGCAAAGAAAATAATTATTTGCAGAGAGATATACAAAAAAAGTCTGTAAATTGTTACAATATAATATGTGTGCCATATCACGAATTTCAAATTAAACAGATAAACGTGGAAGTTTGCATATCTGCAGGATAATTTTCACATAAGTAAGAAGATGGGTAAAGAAAAGATTTCGTAAAATTATTTCAGAGGACCTTCATCGAACCCCCGGATACAGCTCCCTCAAACGCTATAGGTACAATCGAGCCCAAGTTAAAAAAAAACGCTATAGACAGTGTCGTACTCATTACATCCTATTCACTGGTTAATAGTCCAATTAGTGAACTGTTCAGAATGATTGTTTTCACCTTTTACCGTTAAATTACGTTTTGTTGGGCAGAATAGTTAAATACACGGCGCGATTCTACGAAATGAAATGGTCTGGTTCTAATAGACTTTGTCGCAGTAAATTATGAGCGTATTGGTGCTCAAACTGGCGAAAGAGGTAACAGAGAAATGAAATCTTTCTGCTATAAATACGAAAAGAATATTTTGTCCCAGATTTCGCCCAAAAATTCCATATATTACCTATTTGGAATAATCTTTAAGTACGGTGATGTTTAACCGAGTATACTATAATAACCAAGTGTATACTGAGTCAGATCCCGGGTATACAAATTGGAATACGCTGAACTACAGTCTGATTTAAATAAATTGCCCGGGCGGTTTTGTGTTTTTGAACAGGCACAGGTCACGTCCGACATCGGGACTCTCACTAATTCATAAGTGTTTATCGGCCACAGCCACAAATTTTGAGAGATGAATTACATGAGCGAGTAGAAACCATAAAATGAAAAAAAAATATTTATTTGTGGAGAGATATACAGAAAGAGTCTGCGGCTACGTTATTTTAGCACACATAATATCTTGTTACCAGAGTAAGACTTATATCATGACTTCACTAAACGACTTTTTTATACTTTATATTACTAAAAAACGTTCGTTGTTTGCACGATACATACAAAGAAAATAAAAATTGAAAAATATCGTCACGCTAATAACCGAATTGCAAAAGTCATTTTTGGCGATTTTGAGTTTTTTTTATAAAATAGGTATTTAGGTAATACTGCGCACCTGTTTGTTAACTCAGAATTTATTTTAAGAATTCCGAAACCCATAAAAATGGAGATTTAGTATGACATGCCCATTTGTGCAATTGTTTAGTCATAATGAATTATCATTGTTACCGCAGGACTCTTGTGACGTCACAAAGGCAAAATAACCTCGGCGAAGTATTTTCGAGTTGTGGCATCTCGGATTCTAGCTTAAGCGCGTATTAATTTAAATTTATACCACAGTATAGGAAGACGTGCACTTGTGATATTCACTGTCCAAGTCCAATTCCCCTTGGTTGGCTTTTATATTAGGTGCATTGCTGTTTTATTCTTTATATTTAATCTTAGTCTTATTTCGGTGGGTGTGCAGAGCGTGTTATATTGATGATATATATATATAATTTTAAACATAAAAAATAATGTAATTGAAACTGATTAGCTATTTTGGGGATTAGACATTGTAGATACTGAGAATTACATTCGTTTTTGAAATGTTTAGTTTTCAGGACTGGTGCAGATAGTAAAGTTACAAAATTGCGTATGTCCCAAAGTCATAGACACATTTCTGTCTAAGTCACAGTGCGTAATTATGACGTCACTTAACTGCGTCATACAAATTAACTTAAATCAAGCTACGTTCAAAAAATTGAACCATGGCAAATTATTGACTCTCAATGGCATAACAATATCATTGGGAAATTTGTTACGTTTTTCTCAAAACTGCTAAAAATGACTTACGCAATTTGGTTATTAGCGAGACGATATGTAACACGTAGTAAAAGGTTCAAGGGCGCTATTTTGGTGTATTAGATTTGCATCTTTTGTACAAAGCCCTTGACACCAATGCAAAAATGTAATATTTGATAAAACCACTTGCGCCAAGTTTTAAAAATAAATAATTATCTAGTTAGTGTAAATTTATATTTCCAGCGCAATCTGCATTTCTAACCCAAACCCGGACAGGATAATTATTTATTTATTATTTTAACGTTAGCGGGGGTGTTTTGTTATTACCGGGGGAGAAGGTGTACAAAAGATACCTAATTGATCCTAAATATGCAAATGAAATTGAAAGATTCAAAAGATTTCGATTACATACTTGCTCTGCTGGCCAGACTCGATGGGCTTCCATCTTGATCATGAATATCAGACAAATGACCTCGACGAAATTCTTTTGATGAAATTGATGTACTGTCTTTCTAACGTTCAAGCAGTCTCTTAAAAGGCTGAAAATTAATGTATTTTTAGTTCATTCTAAAATTATCAGAGGTGTATTTAGCTTAGGATTGCGACGCAAAAAGAGTGAAAAGTTCTAATCCTAAATTGTTACAATGAATATTTTCAAATTGGAAATAATTGAAACTCGTATTGAACCTAATCACTAATTCCAAATTAAACAGCTAAACGTGCAAGTTCGGGTATCAGTGGTGGAATATGGAAAATTTTACATAAGTAACAAAACTGGGTAATGGAAAGACTTCATGGCATAGAACTATTGCAGAGGATCTTCATAGAACACCTGGAACAGATCGATCCCACGGGGGTTGGGTTTAATCGAACCCAGTTTAATAAACACCGTTATGAACAGTGTCGTGCCCATTACGCCATATTCACTGGTTATTGCTCCAGTTAAAGGGTTGTTTAGAATGATTTTTGCTACTTTTTAATGCTAAATTACAGGTATGTTGGGCAGAATAGTCAACTCCAAGGTGCGATTCTACGAAATAAAAATAGTTGGTTCTAACAGACTTTGCCATAAAAAATTTTTAGGCGCGCGTTCTTGCTTAAACTAAACAAAAAACGAACAAAGAAATTCAATTTTTCTGCTATAAGATAAGCTTAGGCTCAATATAAAAAAAAATTGCCGCAGATTTCCCAAAAAATTACAAATATTACTTATTTGGAATGATCTTCTAGTGCAGTGATATTTAACAGATTATACTATACACCAAGTGTATACCAAATCAAACAAAAAGTATTATCGGTGGAGAGATATACAAAAAAAAAACAGTACTTCCGAATTAGGCCTTAATATCTTGTACAAATACTACGGAAGTCACTCGACTAGTCCCCGAACTCGTAATAGAACTGAAATAAGGGTATTAGAACAAAATTATGGCCTAAATCTAATCTGGTACACATACTAAGTTCCAGTGTCCGCCATCTTGGTACACAAACTTTGGGAGTACCGAAAAGTCTGTGGCTACGTTATTTGCTAATTTCTAAGCAAAAGCTATGCTTATAATTCAACGTCAATTTATACGTTTTTTGTTACACGTAATTTAAAATACATAATATCTTGTGACAAGAGTACGACCTGTCATCATTTCACTAAACAACACCTTTCTCCAATTTATAATATTAAATACCCTTTGTTATTTGCAAGGTATATACGATAAAAAATAAAAATTGAATAACTATGTAGTATGTAACACGTAGTAAAATTTTCAAGAGCAATATTTTAGTATATTAGATTGGGATCTTTCGTACAAAAACTTCTACACTAAAGCAAAAATGTGAGACTCAATAAAAACACATAGTTGAAGTTTTAAATTAGTAATTATCTAGTTAGGGTTAAAAACAGACTGAAATTCTTTAATTTCCATCGCAATCGATAGGGGTTGTGCAAAAGATACTTAGATTGAACCTAAATATGCAAATTATATTGAAAGAATCAAAAAATTGCGATTACATACTTGCTTTGGTGACCAGACTCGATAGGCTTCTATCTCAATCAGTGATGAATACCAGGCAAATGACGAGGCAATTCTTTTGATGAAATGATGTACTGTCTTGCTAACTTTCAATCAGTGTTGGGGAAAACTGAAAATAAATTTATTTTTAGTTCATTCTCGAATTATCAGTAGCGTATCTATTGTATGACAACTATAGCTCCTACCATTGGAGACTTAGGATTGCGGTGCAAAAAGAGTGATAAGTTTTAATCCTGAATTGGTAAAATAAATAATTTCTGCCTTATCACAAATTCAAAATTACGGTCGGTAAGTAGTTAAACGTGGATGTTTGCATAAAAGCCGGATAAAGGAAAGATTTCGTGAAATTATTTCCGAGGACCTTCAGGTTTGGTTTAATCAAACCCAGTTAAAAAACACCGTTATAGACAGTGTCGTGCTCATTACGTTATAGTCACGGATTATTGCTCCAGTTAAAGCAGTGTTTCCCAACCCGAGTCCGCGGTCTCAAATGAGTCCGCGAAGCGTTTGAATGAGTCCGCAACGAGCCAGAAATTCACTGCGGACCACAAACGTTTTTGCGAAAGTTAACTATCAGCCAAGTTACGATTTAGGTTAAAATTCACATAAAACATAAAAAGCAATGTTATTCATATAACATTAATCAAGTCAATTATTACTAGTTACTGAGTATGGCTGGGCATATATTCGAATATTCAACTATTAGAATAGCAATTCCCTATTCGGAAATTTGGTACCAGGTGACGCAACTGGTCAGAACGATTGGATTTCACAACTCACTAGCGAATTTCCGACGAATACACGACCACACGCGTGGTGTTTCTCGCGAGTTCGAACAACGAGGAATAAATTTTTTTTCTATTAGGTGTCAATGGGGGCAACCCAAATTTTTTTAAATGAAAAGCGGCAATACAAAATACTAAAAATAAAACGGAAAACACCATAACTTTAGTTTTATGATTGTACGCGACCGACTAAAAACGCTTCTTTAGAAATTGCAAATCGCAAAATTTTGGGTGATACTGTAGTATTATGTACCAGGGCATTTTCCCTTAGGCTCCCACATTGGTACGTACAGTACTGGAGCGCCATAAGTGTTGTTCGAACAGCTCAGATTTGTTGAATTCACAAAAATACGAATCAAAACAAAATATAAATCGGGCAATTTACAACGCATTTTTGTGCCCACGAATTGTCATGATATTTTCTGATTAGTATTGCTTCTATTACGTCAACACAACCGTAGGTTAAAATGATCACCATTAAATTAATATTAAAGCAAGGCGGTGAATATGTATTTTTGATTTACTAATATATATACTTTAAAATATTTTTAATAAGAACTAATTCAAGTTGATTTTTCTAACGACGATAACTAATTTGCAAGATCTCTAAAAATATGTATCAAAACTAAATATAATCGTGCAATATGTTAGAAGATTGCTATGGCATTTTAAAGAAGTAATGCCTATCATCTTGTCATAAGTCGACGCAACCGCGAGATACCATGAACACAATTAAAATAGAAGACATTTTAAGACATAGGCATTTTAAATTCTCGTCGTTGTCATGGATTGAGTATAGTGCGACAGAAAAGGCCATTATACAATAAAAAGTCGGCTCTTTCAACGGGCGCGTAATTGCGACGAATTTCCGATTTTGAAATTCGTTGTACCAGATTTCGCCCAAAAATTACATATATTACCTATTTGGAATAATCTTTAAGTACGGTGATGTTTAACCGAGTATACTATAATAACCAAGTGTATACTGAGTCAGATCCCGGGTATACAAATACCAATTGGTATACGCTGAACTACAGTCTGATTTAAATAAATTTCCCGGGCCGTTTTGTGTTTTTGAACGGGCACAGGTCACGTCCGACATCGGGACTCACTAATTAATAAAGTGTTTATCGGCCACAGCCACAAATTTTGAGAGATGAATTACATGAGCGAGTAGAAACCATGAAATGCAAAAAAATATTTATTTGCGGAGAGATATACAGAAAGAGTCTGCGGCTACGTTATTTCTGAGTACAATCTATAGTCACAAATCAACGTTAATTTTGAGGTAGTTTGTTAATTTAGCACACATAATATCTTTTTACCAGAGTAAGACTGAGATCATGACTTCACTAAACGACTTTTTTATACTTTATATTACTAAAAAACGTTCGTTGTTTGCAAGATACATACAAAGAAAATAAAAATTGAAAAATATCGTCACGCTAATAACCGAATTGCGTAAGTCATTTTTGGCGATTTGGAGTTTTTTATAAAATAGGTATTTATGTAATAATGCGCACCTGTTTGTTAACTCAGAATTTATTTTAAAAATTCCGAAACCCATAAAAATGGAGATTTAGTATGACATGCACATTTGTGCAATTGTTTAGTCATAATGAATTATCATTGTTACCGCGGGACTATTGTGACGTCACAAAGGCAAAATAACCTCTGCGAAGTATTTTCGAGTTTTTGCATCTCGGATTCTAGCTTAGCGCATAATAATTTAAATTTATACTACAGTATAGGAAGACGTGCACTTGTGATATTCACTTTCCAAGTCCAATTTCCCTTGGTTGGCTTTTATATTAGGTGCATTGCTGTTTTATTCTTTATATTTAATCTTAGTCTTATTTCGGTGGGTGTGCAGAGCGTGTTATATTGATGATATATATAATTTTAAACATAAAAAATAATGAAACTGATTAGCTATTTTGGGAATTAGACATTGTAGATACTGAGAATTACATTCGTTTTTGAAATGTTTAGTTTTCAGGACTGGTGCAGATAGTAAAGTTGCAAAATTGCGTATGTCCTCAAGTCATAGACACATTTCTGCCTAAGTCACAGTGCGCAATTATGACGTCACTTAACTGCGTCATACAAATTAACTTAAATCCAGCTACGATCAAAAAATTGAACCATGGCAAATTATTGACTCTCAATGGCATAACAATATCATTGGGAAGTTTTTTACGTTTTTCTCAAAACTGCTAAAAATGACTTACGCAATTCGGTTATTAGAGTGACGATATGTAACACGTAGTTAAAGGTTCAAGAGCACTATTTTGGTGTATTAGATTTGGATCTTTTGTACAAAGCCCTTGACACCAATGCAAAAATGTGATATTTGATAAAACCACTTGCGCCAAGTTTTAAAAATAAATAATTATCTAGTTAGTGTAAATTTATATTTCCAGCGCAATCTGCATTTCTAACCCAAATCCTGACAGGATAATTATTAATTTATTATTTTAACGTTAGCGGGGGTGTTTTGTTATTATCGGGGGGGGGGGGGGGGGGGGGGGAGGTGTACAAAAGATACCTAATTGATCCTAAATAAGCAAATGGAATTAAAAGACTCAAAAAATTTCGATTACATACTTGCTCTGCTGGCCAGACTCGATGGGCTTCCATCTTGATCAGTGATGAATATCAGACAAATGACCACGACGAAATTATTTTGATGAAATTGATGTACTGGCTTTCTAACGTTCAAGCAGTCTCTTAAAAGGCTGAAAATTAATGTATTTTTAGTTCATTCTAAAATTATCAGAGGTGTATTCAGCTAAGGATTGCGACGCAAAAAGAGTGAAAAGTTCTAATCCTAAACTGTTACAATGAATATTTTCAAATTGGAAATAATTGAAACTCCAAACTCGTATTATGCCTAATCACTAATTCCAAATTAAACAGCTAAACGTGCAAGTTCGGGTATCAGTGGTGGAATATAGAAAATTTTATATAAGTAAAAAAACTGGGTAATGGAAAGACTTCATGGCATAGAACTATTGCAGAGGATCTTCATAGAACACCTGGAACAGATCGATCCCACGGGGGTTGGGTTTAATCGAACCCAGTTTAATAAACACCGTTATGAACAGTGTCGTGCTCATTACGCCATATTCACTGGTTATTGCTCCAGTTAAAGGGTTGTTTAGAATGATTGTTATTACTTTTTAACGCTAAATTACGGGTATGTTGTGCAGAATAGTCAACTCCAAGGTTCGATTCCACGAAATAAAAATAGTCTGGTTCTAACAGACTTTGCCATAAAAAAAATTTAGGCGCGCGTTCTTGCTTAAACTAAACAAAAAACGTACGAAGAAATTCAATTTTTCTGCTATAAGATAAGCTTTGGCTCAATATAAAAAATATTGCCGCAGATTTCCCAAAAAATTACAAATATTACTCATTTGGAATGATCTTCTAGTGCAGTGATATTTAACGGATTATACTATATACCCAAGTGTATACCAAATCAAACAAAAAGTATTATCGGTGGAGAGATATACAAAAAAAACAGTACTTCCGAATTAGGCCTTAATATCTTGTACAAATACTACGGAAGTCACTCGACTAGTCCCCGAACTCGTAATAGAACTGAAATAAAGATATTTGAACAAAATTATGGCCTAAATCTAATCTGGTACACATACTAAGTTCCAGTGTCCGCCATCTTGGTACACATACTTCGGGAGTACCGAAGTCCATTCTCAAATCATCAGTAGCGTATCTATTGTATGACAGCTATAGCTCCTACCATTGAAGACTTAGGATTGCGGTGCAAAAAGAGTGAAAAGTTTTAATCCTAAATTGTTAAAATAAATAATTTCTGCCTTATCACGAATTCAAAATTACGGTCGGTAAGTAGTTAAACGTGGATGTTTGCATAAAAGCTGGATAAAGGAAAGATTTCGTAAAATTATTTCCGAGGACCTTCAGGTTTGGTTTAATCAAACCCAGTTAAAAAACACCGTTATAGACAGTGTCGTGCTCATTACGTTATATTCACGGATTATTGCTCCAGTTAAAGCAGTGTTTCCCAACCCGAGTCCGCGGTCTCAAATGAGTCCGCGAAGCGTTTGAATGGGTCCGCAACGAGCCAGAAATTCACTGCGGACCACAAACGTTTTTGCGAAAGTTAACTATCAGCCAAGTTACGATTTAGGTTAAAATTCACATAAAACATAAAAAGCAATGTTATTCATATAACATTAATCAAGTCAATTATTACTAGTTACTGAGTATGGCTGGGCATATATTCGAATATTCAACTATTAGAATAGCAATTCCCTATTCGGAAATTTGGTACCAGGTGACGCAACTGGTCAGAACGATTGGATTTCACAACTCACTAGCGAATTTCCGACGAATACACGTCCACACGCGTGGTGTTTCTCGCGAGTTCGAACAACGAGGAATAAATTTTTTTTCTAGTAGGTGTCAATGGGGGCAACCCAAATTTTTTTAAATGAAAAGCGGCAATACAAAATACTAAAAATAAAACGGAAAACACCATAACTTTAGTTTTATGATTGTACGCGACCGACTAAAAACGCTTCTTTAGAAATTGCAAATCGCAAAATTTTGGGTGATACTGTAGTATTATGTACCAGCGCATTTTCCCTTAGGCCCCCACATTGGTACGTACAGTACTGGAGCGCCATAAGTGTTGTTCGAACAGCTCAGATTTGTTGAATTCACAAAAATACGAATCAAAACAAAATATAAATCGGGCAGTTTACAACGCTTTTCTGTGTCCACGAATTGTCATAATATTTTCTCATTAGTATTGCTTCTATTACGTCAACACAACCGTAGATTAAAATGATCACCATTAAATTAATATTAAAGCAAGGCGGTGAATATGTATTTTTGATTTACTAATATATATACTTTAAAATATTTTTAATAAGAACTAATTCAAGTTGATTTTTCTAACGACGATAACTAATTTGCAAGATCTCTAAAAATATGTATCAAAACTAAATATAATCGTGCAATATGTTAGAAGATTGCTGTGGCATTTTAAAGAAGTAATGCCTATCATCTTGTCATAAGTCGACGCAACCGCGAGTTACCATGAACACAATTAAAATAGAAGACATTTTAAGACATAGGCATTTTAAATTCTCGTCGTTGTCATGGATTGAGTATAGTGCAACAGAAAAGGCCATTATACAATAAAAAGTCGGCTCTTTCAACGGGCGCGTAATTGCGTCGAATTTCCGATTTTGAAATTCGTTGTCCCAGATTTCGCCCAAAAATTACATATATTACCTATTTGGAATAATCTTTAAGTATGGTGATGTTTAACCGAGTATACTATAATAACCAAGTGTATACTGAGTCAGATCCCGGGTATACAAATACTAATTGGTATACGCTGAACTACAGCCTGATTCAAATAAATTTCCCGGGCCGTTTTGTGTTTTTGAACGGGCACAGGTCAAGTCCGACATTGGGACTCACTAATTCATAAAGTGTTTATCGGCCACAGCCACAAATTTTGAGAGATGAATTACATGAGCGAGTAGAAACCATGGAATGCAAAAAAATATTTATTTGCGGAGAGATATACAGAAAGAGTCTGCGGCTACGTTATTTCTGAGTACAATCTATAGTCACAAATCAACGTTAATTTTGAGGTAGTTTGTTAATTTAGCACACATAATATCTTGTTACCAGAGTAAGACTTATATCATGACTTCACTAAACGACTTCTTTATACTTTATATTACTAAAAAACGTTCGTTGTTTGCAGCAGCAAGACTATTTATTGAATTACTAAAGAAAATAAAAATTGAAAAATATCGTCACGCTAATAAGCGAATTGCGTAAGTCATTTTTGGCGATTTGGAGTTTTTTATAAAATAGGTATTTATGTAATACTGCGCACCTGTTTGTTAACTCAGAATTAATTTTAAAAATTCCGAAACCCATAAAAATGGAGATTTAGTATGACATGCACATTTGTGCAATTTATTTAGTCATAATGAGTTATCATTGTTACAGTAGGGCTATTGTGACGTCACAAAGGCAAAATAACCTCTGCGAAGTATTTTCGAGTTTTTGCATCTCGGATTCTAGCTTAGCGCGTATATTTAATCTTAGTCTTATTTCGGTGGGTGTGCAGAGCGTGTTATATTGATGATATATATAATTTTAAACATAAAAAATAATGTAATTGAAGCTGATTAGCTATTTTGGGGATTAGACATTGTAGATACTGAGAATTACATTCGTTTTTGAAATGTTTAGTTTTCAGGACTGGTGCAGATAGTGAAGTTGCAAAATTGCGTATGTCCCCAAGTCATAGACACATTTCTGCCTAAGTCACAGTGCGCAATTATGACGTCACTTAACTGCGTCATTCAAATTAACTTAAATCCAGCTACAATCAAAAAATTGAACCATGGCAAATTATTGACTCTCAATGGCATAACAATATCATTGGGAAGTTTGTTACGTTTTTCTCAAAACTGCTAAAAATGACTTACGCAATTTGGTTATTAGCGAGACGATATGTAAATAAATAATTATCTAGTTAGTGTAAATTTATATTTCCAGCGCAATCTGCATTTCTAACCCAAACCCGGACAGGATAATTATTAATTTATTATTTTAACGTTAGCGGGGGTGTTTTGTTATTACCGGGGGAGAAGGTGTACAAAAGATACCTAATTGATCCTAAATATGCAAATGAAATTGAAAGACTCAAAAGATTTCGATTACATACTTGCTCTGCTAGCCAGACTCGATGGGCTTCCATCTTGATCAGTGATGAATATCAGACAAATGACCCCGACGAAATTCTTTTGATGAAATTGATGTACTGTCTTTCTAACGTTCAAGCAGTCTCTTTAAAAGGCTGAAAATTAATGTATTTTTAGTTCATTCTAAAATTATCAGAGGTGTATTCAGCTTAGGATTGCAACGCAAAAAGAGTGAAAAGTTCTAATCCTAAACTGTTACAATGAATATTTTCAAATTGGAAATAATTGAAACTCGTATTGTGCCTAATCACTAATTCCAAATTAAACAGCGTAACGTGGAAGTTCGGGTATCAGTGGTGGAATATAGAAAATTTTACATAAGTAAAAAAACTAGGTAATGGAAAGACTTAATGGCATAGAACTATTGCAGAGGATCTTCATAGAACACCTTGAACAGATCGATCCCACGGGGGTTGGGTTTAATCGAACCCAGTTTAATAAACATCGTTATGAACAGTGTCGTGCCCATTACGCCATATTCACTGGTTATTGCTCCAGTTAAAGGGTTGTTTAGAATGATTTTTGCTACTTTTTAATGCTAAATTACGGGTATGTTGGGCAGAATAGTCAACTCCAAGGTGCGATTCTACGAAATAAAAATAGTCTGGTTCTAACAGACTTTGCCATAAAAAAATTTTAGGCGCGCGTTCTTGCTTAAACTAAACAAAAAACGTACGAGGAAATTCAATTTTTCTGCTATAAGATAAGCTTTGGCTCAATATAAAAAAAATTGCCGCAGATTTCCCAAAAAATTACAAATATTACTTATTTGGAATGATCTTCTAGTGCAGTGATATTTAACGGATTATACTATATACCTAAGTGTATACCAAATCAAACAAAAAGTATTATCGGTGGAAAGATATACAAAAAAAACAGTACTTCCGAATTAGGCCTTAATATCTATTAGTACAAATACTACGGAAGTCACTCGACTAGTCCCCGAACTCGTAATAGAACTGTAATAAGGGTATTAGAACAAAATTATGGCCTAAATCTAATCTGGTACACATACTATGTTCCAGTGTCCGCCATCTTGGTACACATACTTCGGAAGTACCGAAAAGTCTGTGGCTACGTTATTTGCTAATTTCTAAGCAAAAGCTATGCTTATAAATCAACGTCAATTTTTACGTTTTTTGTTACACGTAATTTAGAATACAGAATATCTTGTGACAAGAGTAAGACCTGTCATCATTTCACTAAACAACACCTTTCTCCAATTTATAATATTAAATACCGTTTGTTATTTGCAAGGTATATACGAAAAAAAATAAAAATTGAAAAACTACGTAACACGTAGTAAAATTTTCAAGAGCAATATTTTAGTATATTAGATTGGGATCTTTCGTACAAAAACTTCTACACTAAAGCAAAAATGTGAGACTCAATAAAAACACATAGTTGAAGTTTTAAATTAGTAACTATCTAGTTAGGGTTAAAAACAGATTGAAATTCTTTAATTTCCATCGCAATCGATAGGAGTTGTGCAAAAGATACTTAGATTGAACCTAAATATGCAAATTATATTGAAAGAATCAAAAAATTTCGATTACATACTTGCTTTGGTGACCAGACTCGATAGGCTTCTATCTCAATCAGTGATGAATACCAGGCAAATGACGAGGCAATTCTTTTGGTGAACTGATGTACTGTCTTGCTAACTTTCAATCAGTGTTGGGGAAAGCTGAAAATAAATTTATTTTTAGTTTATTCTCAAATTATCAGTAGCGTATCTATTGTATGACAACTATAGCTCCTACCATTGGAGACTTAGGATTGCGGTGCAAAAAGAGTGAAAAGTTTTAATCCTGAATTGTTAAAATAAATAATTTCTGCCTTATCACGAATTCAAAATAACGGTCGGTAAGTAGTTAAAAGTGGATGTTTGCATAAAAACTGGATAAAGGAAAGATTTCGTGAAATTATTTCCGAGGACCTTCAGGTTTGGTTTAATCAAACCCAGTTAAAACACACCGTTATAGACAGTGTCGTGCTCATTACGTTATATTCACGGATTATTGCTCCAGTTAAAGCAGTGTTTCCCAACCCGAGTCCGCGGTCTCAAATGAGTCCGCGAAGCGTTTGAATGAGTCCGCAACGAGCCAGAAATTCACTGCGGACCACACACGTTTTTGCGAAAGTTAACTATCAGCCAAGTTACGATTTAGGTTAAAATTCACATAAAACATAAAAAGCAATGTTATTCATATAACATTAATCAAGTCAATTATTACTAGTTACTGAGTATGGCTGGGCATATATTCGAATATTCAATTATTAGAATAGCAATTCACTATTCGGAAATTTGGTACCAGGTGACGCGACTGGTCAGAACGATTGGATTTCACAATTCACTAGCGAATTTCCGACGAATACACGACCACACGCGTTGTGTTTCTCGCGAGTTCGAACAACGAGGAATAAACTTTTTTCTAGTAGGTGTCAATGGGGGCAACCCAAATTTTTTAAAATGAAAAGCGGCCAAATACTAAAAATAAAACGGAAAACACCATAACTTTAGTTTTATGATAGTACGCGACCGATTAAAAACGCTTCTTTAGAAATTGCAAATCGCAAAATTTTGGGTGATACTGTAGTATTATGTACCAGGGCATTTTCCCTTAGGCCCCCACATTGGTACGTACAGTATTGGAGCGCCATAAGTGTTGTTCGAACAGCTCAGATTTGTTGAATTCATAAAAATACGAATCAAAACAAAATATAAATCGGGCAATTTACAACGCAGTTTTGTGTCCACGAATTGTCATGATATTTTCTCATTAGTATTGCTTCTATTACGTCAACACAACCGTAGATTAAAATGATCACCATTAAATTAATATTAAAGCAAGGCGGTGAATATGTATTTTTGATTTACTAATATATATACTTTAAAATATTTTTAATAAGAACTAATTCAAGTTGATTTTTCTAACGACGATAACTAATTTGCAAGATCTTTAAAAAAATGTATCAAAACTAAATATAATCGTGCAATATGTTAGAAGATTGCTGTGGCATTTTAAAGAAGTAATGCCTATCATCTTGTCATAAGTCGACGCAACCGCGAGATACCATGAACACAATTAAAATAGAAGACATTTTAAGACATAGACATTTTAAATTCTCGTCGTTGTCATGGATCGAGTATAGTGCGACAGAAAAGGCCATTATACAATAAAAAGTCGGCTCTTTCAACGGGCACGTAATTGCGTCGAATTTCCGATTTTGATATTCGTTGTCCCAGATTTCGCCCAAAAATTACATATATTACCTATTTTGAATAATCTTTGAGTACGGTGATGTTTAACCGAGTATACTATAATAACCAAGTGTATACTGAGTCAGATCCCGGGTATACAAATACCAATTGGTATACGCTGAACTACAGTCTGATTTAAATAAATTTCCCGGGCCGTTTTGTGTTTTTGAACGGGCACAGGTCACGTCCGACATCGGGACTCACTAATTCATAAAGTGTTTATCGGCCACAGCCACAAATTTTGAGAGATGAATTACATGAGCGAGTAGAATCCATAAAATGCAAAAAAATATTTATTTGCGGAGAGATATACAGGAAAAGTTTGCGGCTACGTTATTTCTGAGCACAATCTATAGTCACAAATCAATGTTAATTTTGAGGTAGTTTGTTAATTTAGCACACATAATATCTTGTTACCAGAGTAAGACTTATATCATGACTTCACTAAACGACTTTTTCATATTTTATATTACTAAAAAACCTTCGTTGTTTGCAAGGTACATACAAAGAAAATAAAAAGTGAAAAATATCGTCACGCTAATAACCGAATTACGCAAGTCATTTTTGGCGATCTTGAGTTTTTTTTTTATAAAATAGGTATTTATGTAATGCTGCGCACCTGTTTGTTAACTCAGAATTTATTTTAAAAACTCCGAAACCCATGAAAATGGAGATTTAGTATGACATGCACATTTGTGCAATTGTTTAGTCATAATGAATTATCATTGTTACCGCAGGACTATTGTGACGTCGCAAAGGCAAAATAACCTCTGCGAAGTATTTTCGAGTTTTTTCATCTCGGATTCTAGCTTAGCGCGTATTAATTTAAATTTATACTACAGTATAGGAAGACGTGCACTTGTGATATTCACTGTCCAAGTCCAATTCCCCTTGGTTGGCTTTTATATTAGGTGCATTGCTGTTTTATTCTTTATATTTAATCTTAGTCTTATTTCGGTGGGTGTGCAGAGCGTGTTATATTGATGATATATATAATTTTAAACATAAAAAATAATGTAATTGAAACTGATTAGCTATTTTGGGGATTAGACATTGTAGATACTGAGAATTACATTCGTTTTTGAAATGTTTAGTTTTCAGGACTGGTGCAGATAGTAAAGTTATAAAATTGCGTATGTCCCCAAGTCATAGACACATTTCTGCCTAAGTCACAGTGCGTAATTATGACGTCACTTAACTGCGTCATACAAATTAACTTAAATCCAGCTACGATCAAAAAATTGAACCATGGCAAATTATTGACTCTCAATGACATAACAATATCATTGGGAAATTTGTTACGTTTTTCTCAAAACTGCTAAAAATGACTTACGCAATTTGGTTATTAGCGAGACGATATGTAACACGTAGTAAAAGGTTCAAGAGCGGTATTTTGGTGTATTAGATTTGCATCTTTTGTACAAAGCCCTTGACACCAATGCAAAAATGTAATATTTGATAAAACCACTTGCGCCAAGTTTTAAAAATAAATAATTATCTAGTTAGTGTAAATTTATATTTCCAGCGCAATCTGCATTTCTAACCCAAACCCGGACAGGATAATTATTAATTTATTATTTTAACGTTAGCGGGGGTGTTTTGTTATTACCGGGGGAGAAGGTGTACAAAAGATACCTAATTGATCCTAAATATGCAAATGAAATTGAAAGACTCAAAAGATTTCGATTACATACTTGCTCTGCTAGCCAGACTCGATGGGCTTCCATCTTGATCAGTGATGAATATCAGACAAATGACCACGACGAAATTCTTTTGAAGAAATTGATGTACTGTCTTTCTAACGTTCAAGCAGTCTCTTAAATGTCTGTAAATTAAAGTATTTTTAGTTCATTCTAAAATTATCAGAGATGTATTTAGCTTAGGATTGCGACGCAAAAAGAGTGAAAAGTTCTAATCCCAAATTGGTACAATGAATATTTTCAAATTGGAAATAATTGAAACTCGTATTGTGCCTAATCACTAATTCCAAATTAAACAGCGTAACGTGGAAGTTCGGGTATCAGTGGTGGAATATAGAAAATTTTACATAAGTAAAAAAACTGGGTAATGGAAAGACTTCATGGCATAGAACTATTGCAGAGGATCTTCATAAAACACCTGGAACAGATCGACCCCATGGGGGTTGGGTTTAATCGAACCCAGTTTAATAAACACCGTTATGAATAGTGTCGTGCCCATTACGCCATATTCACTGGTTATTGCTCCAGTTAAAGGGTTGTTTAGAATGATTGTTGCTACTTTTTTACGCTAAATTACGGGTATGTTGCGCAGAATAGTCAACTCCAAGGTGCGATTCTACGAAATAGAAATAGTCTGGTTCTAACAGACTTTGCCATAAAAAAATTTTAGGCGCGCGTTCTTGCTTAAACTAAATAAAAAACGTACGAAGAAATTCAATTTTTCTGCTATAAGATAAGCTTAGGCTCAATATAAAAAAAATTGCCGCAGATTCCCCAAAAAATTACAAATATTACTTATTTGGAATGATCTTCTAGTGCAGTGATATTTAACGGATTATACTATATACCCAAGTGTATATCAAATCAAACAGAAAGTTGTATCCGGTGGAGAGATATACAAAAAAAAACAGTACTTCCGAATTAGGCCTTAATATCTTGTACAAATACTACGGAAGTCACTCGACTAGTCCCCGAACTCGTAATAGAACTGAAGTAAGGATATTAGAACAAAATTATGGCCTAAATCTAATCTGGTACACATACTAAGTTCCAGTGTCCGCCATCTTGGTACACATATTTCGGGAGTACCGAAAAGTCTGTGGCTACGTTATTTGCTAATTTCTAAGCAAAAGCTATGCTTATAAATCAACGTCAATTTTTACGTTTTTTGTTACACGTAATTTAGAATACATAATATCTTGTGACAAGAGTATGAACTGTCATCATTTCACTAAACAACACCTTTCTCCAATATATAATATTAAATACCCTTTGTTATTTGCAAGGTATATACGAAAAAAAATAAAAATTGAAAAATTATGTAACACGTAGTAAAATTTTCAAGAGCAATATTTTAGTATATTAGATTGGGATCTTTCGTACAAAAACTTCTACACTAAAGCAAAAACGTGAGACTCAATAAAAACACATAGTTGAAGTTTTAAATTAGTAACTATCTAGTTAGGGTTAAAAACAAATTGAAATTCTCTAATTTCCATCGCAATCGATAGGGGTTGTGCAAAAGATCCTTAGATTGAACCTAAATATGCAAATTATATTGAAAGAATCAAAAAATTTCGATTATATACTTGCTTTGGTGACCAGACTCGATAGGCTTCTATCTCAATCAGTGATGAATACCAGGCAAATGACGAGGCAATTCTTTTGATGAACTGATGTACTGTCTTGCTAACTTTCAATCAGTGTTGGGGAAAACTGGAAATAAATTTATTTTTAGTTTCTTCTCAAATTATCAGTAGCGTATCTATTGTATGACAACTATAGCTCCTACCATTGGAGACTTAGGATTGCGGTGCAAAAAGAGTGAAAAGTTTTAATCCTGAATTGTTAAAATAAATAATTTCTGCCTTATCACGAATTCAAAATTACGGTCGGTAAGTTAAACGTGGTTAAACGGTTAAACGTGGATGTTTGCATAAAAGCTGGATAAAGGAAATATTTCGTGAAATTATTTCCGAGGACCTTCAGGTATGGTTTAATCAAACCCAGTTAAAAAACACCGTTATAGACAGTGTCGTGCTCTTTACGTAGTATTCAGGTATTATTGCTCCAGTTAAAGGGTTGTTTAGAATGGTTGTTTCCACCCTTTTAACGCTAGATTACGCGTATGTGGGACAAAATAGTCAACTCCAAGGTGCGCTGGGGATCAAACTAGCGAAAAGGAGAACGAAGAAATGCAATTTTTCTGCTATAAGATAAGCTTATACTAAATATACAAAAAAGATAATTTGTCGCAGATTTCCAAAAAAATTACCAACTTGGAGTAATTTTTTAGTGCAGTTATATTCAACCGGAAATACCATAAATAAGCAGAAGTATACCAAGATAGATCCCGGCTATACAAATAGCAATTGGCATACGATGGTACACTAGAGCTATAGCCTGATTCAAATAATCAAATTTCCCGGCCGTTTTGTGTTTTTGAACGCGCACAGGTCCCGTTCAACATCGGGCTCAATAATTTATAAAGTATTTGTCTGTCCACGTCTCGAAATTTCCGAGTACAAGCTATAGTTACAAATCAAAGCCAATTTTTCCCTTTTTTTATTTAGCACATATAATATTTTGTGACCAGCGTGAGACTTCTATCATAACTTCACCAAACAACTTTTTCTGCGCTATTTTATTAAATAATCTTGGTTATTTGCGAGGTATATACGATGAAAATAAAAATTGAACAAGGTGTAACATGTAGTAAAAGGTCGAACAGCGCTATTTTAGGATATTAGATTGGAATATTTTGTAAAAAGCACTCAACAATAATGCAAAAATAGGCGCTCCTGAAGTATACGTACCAAGATGTCGGACACCATAACATAGTATGTGTACCAGGTTATAGGGTTAGGCCATAATTTTAGGTACAAATACTACGGGAGTCACATGACTAGTCCCCGAACTCCTAAAAGAACTAAAATAAGGAAAATTGCAATAAAATCATAGCCTAACCCTTACTCGGTACATATACTGCGTTCCGATGTCCGCGATTGTACGTGTACTTCAGGAGTACCCCAAAATATGAGATTTGATAAAAACACCTCCGCCAAGTTTTAAAATAACAAATCAGTACCTAGTTAGGGTCAGAAACGATTTTAAAATTTGAATTTTCAGCGCAATCTTCATTTCAATGGGCCAATCGGCCAATCGGCCCAAACCTCAAGCCAGTAGTTAATAATTTCCTTATTTTGAGGGTTTGTGTGAGTGTTTTGTTTTTGACCGAGGGATTTGTTCAACCTACCAACGATCCTTAGATTGAACCTAATTATACGACTAAAATTAAAAGATTCCAATTACATACTTGCTTTGCTGGTCAGACTCGATAGGCTTCTATCTCACTCAGACGAATTTCTCTTATTGATGACGTAGTATACTGCCTTGTCAACTGAAAGCTGAAAATAAATGTATGTGACATGATCGTCGTATTTTCACCCAAAATAATAACGTACAAGTATTTCAATTCAACAACAGCCTTTCGAAATTGTGATTCAACCATCAAGGGGCGCATTTTAAAACTTTTGCGTAGATACATCCTTTCAAATAATTTAGAGATTTCCCCTAAATTTATGAAGTATTACTTATTTGGAATGATCTGTCGGTACATTGTGTTGCACCTCATCTTGTATATGACTTATTACTTCTGTTAAGTATGTGGCATTACCATATTGATTACATGAATCCATGGATGTCGAAAAGTCAAATAAAATGTATAAATATTACCTGTAGATTTTCCCTCGGTTTCGTTACATCGTGTCTTAGCATCTTCAATTTCAACATCAACAACAATTCTGCATCTGAAAAGTTAAGATATTAATAATACACTGTTGCAGAACTTTCTAATGCGGGAATGGGAATACGTCTAACCACAATAACTAAAATATAAAAGTAAAAAAGCCAAGTATATATCAATCTATGAATTTGGAGTTAAATTTGAGGTTTCGAAAGTTATCTATATTTCATTGATGTAAAGCGTGCCATGTGAAATGCAGCTTACGTAGTGACTTATATCGGGCGCGGCCTAAAAAAGTGCGAGAATCACTGAATTCTAGGATATATATAATATGCGAGGACTCCTGAGAAAATATCGAATATCTGATGAATGAAACAGCAGAGCTATTCCATTAACTTCGTATCTTTCGCTAACTCGTCAATTTAGAATAAGTCTCAGGTATGTTTAGATTTTTAGTTCATATTGAAAATTATAGGAAATTGTAATTTCAACCAGAAAGATTTAGAAATCATGTTTATGAAAAGCAATATGTACAAAAATTAAGATAGTAAGCAACAACATTAACCAAATAAATAAAAAAATATAGAGTTTTAGGGAAACCATATAACAGCTTTACAAACGCTTGTTTATATTTAGCTTACCTGAATATTGTTCCAAAGAGACAAACTGATAAGGAGTAATATTCCAGCACCAACCACACACAAAATCGACCGCGCTTCATCATGTAACTTTGCTACTGAGGCGTTGTCGCTTGTGCTTCCCGCGCGAAGAGTGGACGAAAACGCTAATTAGTCCTTTGTAATTAAAAGTTTTTAATTAGTCCCGTTATTTCAGGATCTAACAACCCTGGATCGCTGCGAGCGGATCACGCTTGTGACACGTGATCACAAGACATAAACAATGCAGATGACATTTGGTATTTGCTTAATATTACTTGTTGTGACAGTTTGAATGCCCAATTTACACTAATTTCTCCGTCCAAACCAAATGTTGGAGACATAACATACATAGCCATACAATTGAGTTACATGTGAAAATCCTGTTTAATTTTTCAGACCGATGGTAACAATTGATAAAGACTCGATTTAGCGCAGAGCTAGCCCAAACTGGAGTTGCGACACCGCAGGTGAGACGCAGCAAGTTTTGGGGTTGCACAGAATACTCGAATTTTACACACAGAGTACTACCGGAATATCTAATGTAAATTTTATACTTTTGATTCAAAACACAACTATTAAAACTAATGAAACGTATAAATTCCACTAAACATTGCATAAAATCATAGAAGCGCTGGGCTTGCATCGAACTGCAAAAGTTTTGGAAGCCCATATTGAACCAACTTTCAAATCAGTGATTCGTAACCTTTTCGAGCCATCAGAGAATCCTTTTTATTACTCAGGGAATTTCGTCAAACCCCAAAGTTCTGCCAGGTTGAACCAGAACCTCGTAGGGGGAGTGAATTTTGTGCAAGGTATAACACAGGGGTGGGTACCTTTTTCGGCTTGCGTGATAAAATCGGCTAAATATTTTTAGAAATTTTTTTGCGTGCCGACAAAAATTAAAAACAATGCTTTGCTTAAACATGCACAGGCAGATTCACTATTCGAAAAAAATCAGTCCGACGAATATATGTGATTACTTTTCTTATTCTATATATATCAGTATATGAGACTTCTACTGCTACATTACCGCTGATAGAGATTGGACATTGGGTTTAAATTTTGTAACTTTCAAAAACATACATGACATACCGGTTTCATGTTTTAGGCTACTTCTGTTACGAGACTAAATAAAGTTCATAGCTGAGAACAGAGATTCCCAAGTTTATGTAGAATAAAACAAAATATTTCCAATTGAGTGTTGTATTTCAACACAAAACACCGTTGTCGGGAAATATGGATATCGTTGGACATAGGTAGATTCCGGTTTTATTTTAAAGTCTTTCCCTATGGTAGAATTTTTTTTTTTTGATATTTGTAAGGTAAATTACTATATATTATAATGCATCGATTTTATGGTGAACAAATTCTTATAATATTTTCAATTAAGTGTTGCATTTCGACATAAAACATTGTTGTCGGGAAATATGGATATCGTTGGACATAGGTACATTCCGGTTTTATTTTGAAGTTTTTCCCTACGGTAGAATTTTTTTTTATATTTTGGTACTTGTAAGATAATTTACTATATATTATGATATATTAATTTTATGGTGAACAAATCATTAGAATATTTCCAATAGAATGTTGTATTTCGACACAAACAACCGTTGTCGTGGAAATATGTATATCATTAGATGTTATATCATTAGACATGGGTAGATTCCGGTTTCATTTTAAAGTTTTTCCCTGCGGTAGAATTTTTTTATTTTTTGATATTCGTAAGATAATTTACTATAAATTATAATATATTAATTTTATGGTGAACAAATTGTTAGAATATTTTCAATTAGGTGTTGGATTTCGACATAAAACACCGTTGTCGGGAAATATTGATATCATTCGAGAGATCCAATTTCGGGTTTTATTTTAAAATCGTTCCCGACGGTAGAATTTTTTTTATTTTTTGATAATTTAAAAAAAAATATTATGTAATATGATTATTTATTTTTTGAGGAACAAACTTTAGGATCAATTTCAATTTATATTTGAAATTTGACTTGAAACACCATTACCGCGAAATATTGATATCGGTCGAGTGTGCTAATTTTGACTTTAAATTTAAAATCTTTCTCTACGATAGAATTTTTTGAAATTTGTAAGATCATATACTGTATAATATGATAATTTAATTCCGTGATAAACAACTCGTTGAATCCTTTTTGATGAACTGTCGAATTTCGACATCAAAAGCCATCGAGACAATGTGTATCTGCTGGTGTAATGTTTTTATCATCATCATTTTTTTTATTTTACAAGATGTATTTGTGCAAATCAGGTATGGTTTATTCATAGCTACTTTTTATTCATAAAAAGATCAAGCACTTAGCTTAGATTTCAATTTTCCTATTTTTTAGGTCTGACGGTAAATTTCAGGCTTGCTTACCGTCATATCTGGCAACTCTGATTAGAGATATTATTGTTCAGTTGATTTTGATTCATTTTCCCGGCAATTGTGGCCATTTTGTGCTATCAATTGGCAGACTCTGGAAGGTTCTGGTGCTGATTAAAATGTGGATATATGTAATTTAGTAATCTGTGAGCGTTTAGGATGCCTCAAATTACCGTATAACACTGTCAGAACGCTAGCCACACACTCGTGTGACGCTAGCCCACACTCGTTTTTGTCAGGCCATACTAGGGGTAACTGGGCAGGGTGGAGGCTAACTCGCCATGAGGGCTAACTCGCCATGGACCACTCGCCATGCGACGGCGGTTAACGGGTTAGCCTGCAACTGTGTGGAGGCTCTTCTTGTAATGGGAGATGGAAAGGTGGCTGACTAACAACTTCAATAGTAAGGATAAATATATTAAATTAAATGTGTTTGGTTACAATACCTACTGTGCAAATGGTAACAAAGTGACAAGAAAACGGGCTTATATGTCGGAAGGCATACCGGTACCGTACGGTACTCGACGCGCAAAGGATGTCTCAACTTATCATTTTCATCTAAGCATGCTAAATATATCATCATATTAATTGATTGTATGAGCTCTGAATCAACAACAACGCTAAATATATCAAAAGTTCTATTTTGCTACCGGCAGTCTCATTTTATTCTAACAGCCGTTGATTGCGAGCAGAGAGGGAGAGAGAGAGCTAACTCGCCATGTCTTTATTCTTTATAATTGACGATCGACATCGCGAGTTCGAGAGAGAGAGAGGGCTAACTCGCCATGTCTTTATTCTTTATAATTGACGATCGACATCGCGAGTTCGAGAGAGAGAGAGAGGGCTAACTCGCCATGTCTTTAAAACATTTTCATAATCACACTTCATCATACCCACGAACCCAGACCAAACGAACGGCCCCGCGTCCTTCTCAACAGGGCAGTTTTGAAGCGCGGGTTGGAAAATCCGTACACGGCATGTGGAATCATTACGAAAGCGGCAAGGAGAGACATGACCAACCCGTTGGACTCGCGATGTCGATCGTCAATTATAAAGAATAAAGACATGGGTGTCGCTGCTCGATCACCAGTCTTGGTGTCTCGCGCCTCCCTTCGCCCTAAAGTACCATATTTCCTATTTCTTGTATTGTGTATTCACATTGTGTGCTTTAGAATGGTGAAAAAATAAATTACTGATTACTGGCGAGTTAGCTCTCTCTCTCCCTCTCTGCTTGCAATCAACGGCTGTTAGAATAAAATGAGACTGCCGGTAGCAAAATAGAACTTTTGATATATTTAGCGTTGTTGTTGATTCAGAGCTCATACAATCAATTAATATGATGATATATTTAGCATGCTTAGATGAAAATGATAAGTTGAGACATCTTTTGCGCGTCGAGTACCGTACGGTACCGGTATGCCTTCCGACATATAAGCCCGTTTTCTTGTCACTTTGTTACCATTTGCACAGTAGGTATTGTAACCAAACACATTTAATTTAATATATTTATCCTTACTATTGAAGTTGTTAGTCAGCCACCTTTCCGTCTCCCATTACAAGAAGAGCCTCCGCACAGTTGCAGGCTAACCCGTTAACCGCCGTCGAATGGCGAGTGGTCCATGGCGAGTTAGCCCTCATGGCGAGTTAGCCGTCAGCCACTGGGCAATGCTTGGTACCGGTATTGCATTTGCGTTGTAGACTATATATCAGATATGGTCTCTTTATTGTCAGAGCCACCAAGTTTTTATGTAATAACGTTTATAAAGCCAGTACCGGTACGGTAACGTTAGTCTATTAGTAGACCTAGGAAAATTATATTTTCAGTCTATTCCAGTATTCTGATATTCAAAAGTTACCGTACAGTTCAATACAATTTACTTCGGCATTCAATCTAAATTTTGTATCGTTCTGTACGGTACGGTACCGGTATCCGTTTTTTATTATAATAGACTATTTCATGTATTTATGATGCGCTTTTCCTACTGTACGGTACCGGTAGATCTAATAGACTTTGGTATATTATGCATGCATGACTGCATGATCATACGGTACAAATTCAAAATTGAAATAATAAAAATACTAAATAATATTATTTTAAATTTATACAAGAATAATGACACAATTTCTGCCTCCCAACTTGCTAGCTCTATTTGCTGCTCGAGACCCAGTTCCGTACAAACCTCCAACTGCTCAGGTAAGTGAGAAATGATTAATAAATATACCATATAAAACTGTAAAATGATTCTATAATCAGATAATCTAGAAATTTGACTTCATAATTTTGATATATTCATTCATATTATAATTGTTGTTAGTTCTTCAAAATATGTCTCATGTAATGCTGGACCCTTTATAGTATTTTTATAAAAGTATAAAGTTAACATATATTTTATGTTTCACATTGTTTTATAGCTATCATGGGAGAAAGATCGCGAAAAGAATCCATACTGTGGTGTTTCACAATATACCTCACTATTTGAAGATCCCAAAGACACACCCCCACCAACCAGGGGAGAGACAAAAGCAGAGAAGAAAGCCAGAAGGGTACTTTGATATTTAAAGATTGTAGCATTCAGCGGATGTTTTGAAAGTTTGGCAATCAAGCATTTTTATAGTCTTAATTTTATGTTTGACTCAATTATCATGACCAATATACTGCTCTATATCAGGGGTGACAAACCTGCTTTCGGCCGTGATCGACTAGAATCTTCAAAATAGCTCACGATTCACTAATCGGAAAAAAAGGTCATACACAAACGAATGGGTGCTGAATATGCAGATAACTACACACAGCATACAAAAATTCCCCCGCTGCTAATAAGCTTGGATTTGTAGGCGCAATCCTAATGAAATCGTCACAAAAGTTTTTTTTTCATGTTCCATTATTAAAGTTGTTAATTTGATAATCTAATTGTACCTGAGGTAATTGTTTCATCATTTAAGATTTATTCAAATCACGTAATCCAGATATAATGTTGGATGTTATATGACTGCTCGAACTTCAGTATCTACTTTATAATTTCCTCTGAGTGCGATTCTTCGCTCGCTTGGAATTGGAAAAAATGGGTATTCTGATGCCACTGCTATTATTGCTAATAAAATTTATCACTTCTCTCGTAGTTATACAATAACTTTCGAATACTGCAGAATAGGATTGTAGAATGTATTGTAGGATCGTGTTTCAGTCAAGACACTCAATATTCAGCCCTTCATTTTTTAACCATGGCATTGCGAAACTTCCATTTGTTGCTTAATAATATGCTCTCGGGCTATCCAGACCGGTCCAGACTGTATATTATGTATATCGTATTTTGCGTATGTACAGTACTGTATTCTTTCAGTTTTTAAACACCCAACTGGTGCTGCATGAAACTAATTCAAGACAATTTTTTGGGGTATGTTATCAAATTCACTCAACATCAGACGTGATTGACTACTCGAGTCGTGGTGATCAACTGGTCGATCGCTGTCGACGTGTTGGCCACCCCTGCTCTATACTAAGGTTTATAAGCATTTTTATCCCTACATATACATGACTTATGTTGGAAAGGTACAATAAGGCAGACTCAAAATCCGTTACTGGATTGATTCAATCAGTAACTGATTGCAAGGTGCAAACTATTCATGTTATTAAATATTCAAGATCTTTTTCAATAATATTTTTCATTCTGAACAGATAAAAGAGAAAGCAATACTACGTGCAAAAGAAATTGAAGAAGAAGTTAAAAATTACGATCCCCATAATAACAAGAGTGCAACAGGAGATGCCTTCAAAACATTATTTGTGTCACGCGTGGTAAGTCTCAATTTGTAGCCTTTTTTCAATGTTTTAGTCTTCAATTTTAACTCGATATTGTTTCCTTTATTTCAGAATTATGATACCTCCGAGTCAAAGCTGAGAAGAGAGTTTGATATGTATGGCCCCATACGTAAGGTAAAGTAATTTATGAGTTTATATTCCAAAAATTGGATTTTTATTGCAATTCAATTTCTGCATTGAATTAAATCTGATAGAAGTGTAAATTTTTCGATCTGTCACGAAGTTAATTTGCAGTTTTTGCTTTTTAGTATCTTAGTTAGCGAGTGTACTTTCTTGTTTGCACATAGAGTCATAGGGGGATATATATATGGCAATTGCTGCATTATGCGAAGTGCTAGAAATATACTTCCTCGCACCTCTAATTACGGACCCTACCCTACTAAAAAGATAGGTATCACAGGTATCAGTGACTAAAAATGTAGATAGCAGTAGTAAATGACTAAAAAGGTGGGGTCAGGGTTACTGATACCCTCCATGTAAACCTACCTACCTTTTCACCTTTTAATTCATCTACTACTGATAGTTGATACCTACCTTTTTAGTGACTGATACCTTTGATACCTACCTTTTTAGTGACTGATACCTGTGATACCTACCTTTTTAGTAGGGCCCCTGATTACCCTGGTCAGTTATGGCTTCCTTGACATCAAAATCATGCATCTGAAACAAATAACTGGTTAATCATTACCATATTCGACATCGACTAGTAACTGGACAAGAGGCCACGGTTCGCTACTTAGTTAGGCTGTCTCATCGACTTTGCTCCCCCTTGGGATAAATGTAGAAGTGCTATGCTAATATTGCTATAATGTTCAATCTTTGTTAATAAGTCATTTGAAGCCGATGATTAAAAAGCTGAAAATTAAATTTTTGACCAAATTCAATTTGTTTATTCAAACTTTTTTCTTTCGTTAATTTATCCCTTTTGCCAGAAGTAATTTTTTTGATTTTTTTTTAATATTACCGTTTTTTATTTTAGATATCTATGGTTAAAGATTCGAATGGGAAACCTCGGGGTTATGCTTTTATTGAGTTTGAACATGAGAGGGACATGCACAGTGAGTGTTAAAATCAGTTGTTAATATTTTCAAATCAAGACTGCAGGTTGTAATACATGAATACTGTGCCTTCTTTTTTAATGGATCATAATTTTAAATCAACTCAATTGACAATCAGAACAACGTACTACAGAGGCGCGATCTTTCTTGTATTATAACATGCAAGCTTGCAAAACCATTTTGGTGGTAGGTGTGTTTACATCTTTTTCCTATCGAAAACTGGCCATCTACAATTATTGCTTTAAATTATTTCTATCAAATTTCGGTTTATTGTTGTATGTAAGGTCAGGAAGGTAGGTAGAACCACAAGATTTCGTTTTGGGGGGCGCTCCAAATTTATCGATACCAGTGTCGTTTTTTTACTTAATGACTATAAATAAAATAGTGACAGTTTACTAAACGATTGTTTGTCTCGTTTTCCGCAGCTTAACAATGTGCTGCATAAAAAGGCGCCATTGAAAATGTGAATGTGATGAACACACATTGTGTAACTTCAGAATGTCTCGTCATTACAAAGTTATGAAAATTGAAATGATTCAGTATTAGGTTTGTATACTCACCGCCTTACTATTCGCTGGATTGGTAAGAAGGGTTTGTATACAAAAGATCTCACCCTATTTGGTCTTTATGACAAAAATCTTGCAGTTAAATTTGGTAAATTGATAAAAGCAAGTACACTGGGTCATAAAATTTAGCTCAACTCTTTGGTAAGTTTGATGTCTTGCTGATGTGTCAAAAGCTAGCCCTGGAAAGAACCATAATGGCCAATATAAAGGATCAGTTTTGAATAAAACCTGATGTTTTTATCTTATCAAAATTTGTTCTACTTCCCTGGATTTGCACCTAGTCTTCAAATTTGCAACAACTTTTTGAAGATTGTTTTACCATTTTACAAGGTCATAGTAACTATATTATGGTAAGAGCTTATGGTATGTCAAATTATCAGGTAAAGTGCTATGTGGAATAATCTCCTTATCATAATCATAATATAAATTAATGTCTGGTGGTGAGCAGACAACAGTAGTAAGTGCTAAATAGTTATGTATGGATTAAGTTTGAAGTAAGATAAACTTATTATATAAATCGGGTAAGTTCTGGATTGAAAAGATGTCTATTCCCTGCATGAAATGCTGTGAGATTATATAATCGGGTCCTGTAACAGTCAACCAACTAATTTCGTAGGTAACGCAGGTGGTAGGTAGTTGAGGTAAGGCCAGAGAATAGAATAGAAAATGTTTAAAATGAGATTTCAATTATTTTCATATATGAATTATTCATGCGACATAATGCATTATCAAATAAGAATCTATAACATTTCCAGCATATGAACTAATTTCATAAACACTGTACATAAGGCATTTGCGTAAAATCTTCAATGAAGATTGCAGAATAACTGCCTCTGCGAATACACATGTATTTGCAGTTCAAAATATTTTTCTTCTGTAAAAAGAAATGGATTAAAAAAGTGTTATAGAAGTTAGTTGTGAAAAAATGCAGGGAAACTCAACATTGGTTATTTCTAAAATGAATGATATACATTCAAAGTAGTGTTATGGTAAATTTCTATCAACTATTTTATCCAACAGGCCATTTAAACTTAAAAAGTTGGTTAGTCTCAGATGACCTCATCATGGTACTTTTAATGCTAGCGTTATCGATATAGTATAATAGTTCACATGGTATATGCCGGTAACTGTGAGAAAAAACATTCTTTTTTATGGGTTTGCAAGGTGGGATAATTCCAATTTGAATATAAAAAGGTTTGTATGATTAAAATATCTATGAACTTATTGTAATGGAAAATCAAAAATAAGAAGTGGACGTCAGTCTTGCCAATAAAAATCTGTGGAGATTCACATGACTTGCAAGGTAGATTACTTCGCTATCTAACTATGCTATTCTGTGTTATCCCTGAAAAACACCAACGAAATTCATTCAAAATCATTTGTTATTAACAGCTGCTTACAAAAATGCTGATGGAAAGAAGATTGATGGACGACGAGTACTAGTAGATGTTGAAAGAGGACGAACAGTAAAAGGATGGCGGCCTCGAAGACTCGGAGGTGGACTTGGTGCAACAAGGCGTGGACCTAATGAAGAAAACGTGAAAGCTGAAGGCCAAGTACCTGGGTATGAATGATACTTGTGATAACTGTTATTATGATGAGTAAATTCATATTGAATGAAAAGTTATGAGGATATACTGGTATCTTGGTTTATTCTCGTCCATATGTGGATAATTGCGATCATGAGACTGTTATAAGGTTTATATTGTTGGTTAGAATTCATGAAGAGTATTTAATGTCATAGGTATGAAAATTACTATTACATGACAATGACATACCTCCTGTCTGTGCTTTTATCAGAAATTTTTGACATATTTACGAAAAAAATGTCCCTGTCTAAACTCCCATACCTATTACCCAATTCCATACACAGTTTTCTATTATGTCATGGTAATTGTCACTGAAAATTTCATTCTAGTCTTCATTTACTTCTGATTGAGTTGAGACCACTTTTGATTGTGATCAGAGTCAGATCACTATTTAGTGTGTTATTTATTTTGAGCACAGAAAAAATTTTAAATTCTGTAAACTTTTATCAGTTCTGCAATGCATTTATGTTACAGTGTTGAAAATTTATGTATTTCCTTGTGTGAAGATTTATTTATTTTGTAGACGAGGTGATGGCGAAAGACCAAGAGAACAGCCAAGGAGTGCAAGCAGAGATCGAAGGTATTTCACTACTGTTTATTTGAGCACCAGAATAGTTGAATATACTATCATTTGAATTTCTATCATATACCCACATGGACATAAACATCATTTCGTTTGTTTTTGTATTTTGAAAATGTTTGTCAAATACTTGATACGTTTTGAAGGTCGCTTAAAACAAGCAAGAATCTAATCTTGGTTATTAGCAGAACGTTTCATCTGTTTTTGCACCCTATACTAGAGATGTACCGATGTATCTTGTTTAAATACACAATTTCTGGTGCTCCAGGAGTATGCGCTCCAAGATGTCGCACAACCTGAATCCTGACCGGTGCATGCATACTATGTTCAGGTTGTGTGCCATCTTGGTACGCATACTTCCAAGAGGTTACAATTTCGGGGCTCCCGAAGTATGCGAACCAAGATGGCGTTCATCGGAATGTAATATGTGTACTAGGTTAGGGTTAGGCCATAATTTTAGGTATAAATACTACGGGAGGCTCTTGGCTAGTCTTCTAACTGATAATAGGACTAAAATAAGGAAAATTGGAAAAAAATTATCGCCTAACCTGTTACCCATGTTACGTTCCGATGTCCGCCATCTTGGTTCGCATACTTCGGGAGCACCCCAATTTCTTTATAAATTTATTGACGTGGCCGCCTAGTATTATACACATTATAGGTAGCCTACTTCTAGTTGGCGCTGATTGATATCCTTTCATTTTGGATGTAATTTATTGCCGCGACGATCACGATTAAACACAAAATAAAATATTTGCATATATTCGATATTCTTTTAAACACTAAAAACGATATTCGAAGGTCGCGATATTAATATTAAATTGGAATGGGACATCCCGGTATACGAGTTTTCTAATTGAACACCTAGATTACTAGCGTTAGTGTACAATGCATCCGAATCAGTTAATGCATCTGGATACCAAACATTAAATTTCTTGTGTGATCTCTTTTTCAATCTGAAATAATGTGTACTATGAAATGAATAACATTCAAAGACCATTGTTTGACCCGTCTGCCCTACGCAGTACACCTAATTAGGGTAATAATTGCATAGTATCGGTATCAAAATATCGGCATTTTTGTAATAACAGCGTATCGGTATCGGCGTTTTTATTTGGTATCGGTGACAAAAGTGGTATCGGTACATCTCTACCCTATACACACTTCCTAACGGCCAGTCATTCGTTTGGTAGTCATTGTTCTTAATATCTTCAGGGAACGTCACTCATCAAGAGAAAAACGAGATAGAGGAGATCGAGATAGGAAAAGAGATCGTGACAGGGAACGTCCCGGACGAGAAGATCGTTCAGGACGAGATGATCGTTCTCGGAGAGATCGTGATGAATCTGGTAAATAAATTTTATTTTCAGAAATCTTGATATTTTTTTAATTTGACTTACTTACGGAATGAATCTTTCTAAAGATATGGTTCAAAAACGTGTATTCTCTTTTTATATTTTAGCTCTATTATACCCTAGCCCACTTTTGACTTCAAATTTCATACTCAACAAATCGTATAAATAATTATTGACCTTTTCTATTCAGGATGAATTTTTGAACCTTGACTCCATTTTAATTTATTACAGGTAAAGATAAAGATAAGGACAAAGGTAGAGACAGAGATCGGGATCGTAAGCACCGCAGGGATAGATCGAGAGAAAAAGATGGATCTAGAAGAAAACGAAGCCGAGAAAGGGATAGAAAAGACAGAGGTATATTTAATGCTGCTTATATTCTTATTATCAATCAAATACAGGCTGTTTAGTCAACATCCATGAACCATTTACATGACTTGTACTTCAGATCAGGGCTCTTAAAACTGGTGGTCACGAAACCAATAAATGTCAGAACTAGTCATACTTACTTTTCTTTTTTTTTGCCTTCACTTATCTGTGTGAAAAATCTTTTAGTTAGAACAAATATCTATCAAATTTGAAAGATTGGGAGCCGGTACTGAGACTCACTCATCACCAAAATAGAGCCAAGATTCGATCTTTTGTGTGTAAAATATGCAAGTACACTGGCTCATTAAAGTTCCTGAGGGTCGTCAAAAAGTTTGAAGAACACTGATTTAGATTATCAATATTTTTGAAATGAGAAATTATAAAAAGACTGCCAGAATGCACTTGATTCGCTTTTTTACCATTCAAGGATTGTTCTGAATTTTTCTAGATTAAAATATCTGATTCAATTTGTTTCTTTGTCATGTTTCAATTAGATCGATCAGACAGAGATAGAGAACGCAGTGGCCGCAGTCGTTCAGACAGAGATAAAAATCGTGATGAATCAAGAAAAGATTATCGGCCTGACGAATATCCCGAAGATGGAGGAGTGAAACAAGAACAAAAAAATGGTGACATGGACCAATCAAACAACTATGCTCAAAACTATGAAGGTAAATATTTCCATTTTTCATATCAATTTGTTGTATGGAATTCTCAGGAGGTTACAGAAATTAATGTAAAGTAAAGTCCCTCTATAACAGGTAACTGGAGAATAGAACTAAGATCTTTTAACCGCTGGAGCAATCTTTCTTTCATCTATACAGCCTAACCCTGTTTGGTGAAAACAGTATGAGAAATGAAATAGGAGGTTTTCTGATACAAGGAGCGATAACAAGCACTTTTTGGTCTTGGTCTATAACTATATCTTTTCTACTTTCTATATTTGCAATTAGCAGTACCCCGTTGTGCAGACATGGGCAAAGTACGGCGCGCCTTGAAAATCCGACCCTTTGGGTTTTTCAATCTGGCCCGCCTGATGCTCCCATAACCAAACTGAAACCAAATTATGATGTTTTAGCTAAAAAACACTCCAGGAATTTGTTAAGATTGCGGTTAAATTTAGTTCTTAAATTTAGTTCTACGAGGCTTATTGTTTCCACTGTTGCTTTTGTAACATTGTAAATATGTTTATAAAAAGTAACTTTTTAAATCACACCTACATGGCCCTCCAGTCTAGGTAGGCGAAATTTTTGGCCCCTGGTTTAAAAACCTTGCCCACCCCTACCGTAGTGTGTGTATCAGGTTCCGATTAGGCCCTAATTTTATTCCGATTTTCCTTATTTTAGTTCTATTATGAGTTCGAGGACTGTCTGTGTTATAGCAAATTGAATATACCCCCCGCCCATATTAGGCTTTAGTTCCTTTACACAACTTGATTTGAAGTAGGCACACAAAATTAGTTACCTCCAAGTTGGTACACACACTTCTGGAGCGCCCAATTAGCAACACCCTATTCTCTTCTCTCTGATCAGGTTTGTTTTTGTACATAGTGTGTGTTTTTGACTATTTAGATACTCAAGATACTTGTAACGCAATCACCCAGTCTTTCACCGAAAACTTCTGATTATGCTATATTACTATTATTAATATGTCATGTTTTTCGGTTTGGCAAAAAAATTTTCCCTCCATAGGCACTGTTATGGTATTAACTTACTTATAAGATATATTTTATTAATATTTGGATAACTTTCAAGGTGGTGGAAATGAAGTGAAGCAAGAACCAACATATGAAAATCATAGAGGTGAGTGTTCTTTTATCACACTCCATAGTGTTTATATTATATGAATAAATATTTTTATGATTAAAAATTTTATAGAGTCTTATGAAGGCCGTGGAGAACCAGATGGATATAGAGAATCTGAGGTATATCTTTTCAGATGTTTTTAAATATTTGTCTTGTTGTTATCCAAAATTTGCACCATCGTTGTAAACTTGTAATATTTAAATATTAGGTCTTGCAAGGTCTGCAAATTGATTACTAATTATAAAATTGATTTTGTTTATTTACAGCTTTCATATGAAATTTTTGCGTCGCCTTAAGTATTCTGTTCCTAGATGTTTTGTTCCTTTTGTATAGAATTTTTTTTTATCATAAATCAAATGTATTTTACAGCAAATGAAAGAAGCCGAAAAACAAGAATACAATGAAAATAGAGAAATGGAATATTGAGCATTTCATAACACATGTGAATAGTCATTCATCAACTGCCGTTTGAAAATAACTTGATCGCTGCTACAGTTTGTTCAGTAGTATTCATTGTGGTGAATTCTATGTTTATAGCGTTGAAAATTTTGTGACGATAGTTTAGGATGAGATCGTGCGAGATTGGATTATGTATTTTGCTTGTTTTTTTTATTTCATTCACATAACGTACCAGATGGTATGTTTGTTATCACTATTTTGATTTTATCTGAAATCGAATAAACTGAAAAATTGCTTTTAATTGTGAGTGAGTCAGGGTTCTTTGCTATGTCCTTTACTGTTTGTTAGTGGAAAGATAGCTTATGTCAGTTAGATTGCAGCATAATTGAAAATATTGCGTCGATTGAGATGTTTAATGGAATTCTGACCCCTAATCTCGTAAGAATCTAACTACGAATTCGTCACCTGTTGTATCACGAATGGGTGTAGGTGTAGAAGATTTCATTTTAGGAGAGATTCTCTCCTATATAGTAAAGCGCAAAAAGGATATATCGAAGTTTTCGAATTTAATTCATTCCTGAACCGTCTAGTACAGTGGTTCCCAAACTTTTAAAAAAAATCCATGACGGACCCCTCGCCATTTTTTTAATAATTCGCTGCCTTGTGCACTAAAATGAAACATTGAAAAATCACAACAAAAAATCAATGCGCCATATGGTATAGTGAAAAATATCTTTTCCCCAACTGCTCTTACCGACGAAAAGCAGCGTCAGCTACACCTCTGCTGCAGTCAGTTGGCTTGTAATTGTATCAATTTAACTCTCTCTGGGATATTACAGGCCCTCAGCTCTGTGACATCACAATGGGGCATCGTATTCGAAACAGAATATGGGGAATCAGTGTCCCCAGCAGTAATTGCAAAGGCGACAAATGTGTACTTGAAAATTTAAGCACTCAATATTTGCATTATCAAACTATATGTCATGTAACAGATTTATTTCGCAGACCCTCCGAAAGTGCTTGACGGACTCCAAAAGGTCCGCGGACCCCAGTTGGGGAACCACTGGTCTAGTAGAAAGCATGTTCAATCCGACTCCAAATTAATTCAAAAACCTATGGAGCAAAGACAAAGCAAATTTTTGTCAACTTGGGTAGCCGGTTTCGGAATCAATTTGAAATCGGGTTGAAGACCCCCCGACTTCCCGAGTACATTTATTAATAAGCGTATGAAAAGCCGTATTCTGTTTCAGGTAAAATCATTGACTTTGAGCGTATTTTAACTCCGCGAAAGAAACATTCAGTTCGTTCGTCAAGTCGGACAAGAGAAATCTGACGAACTCAACTTCCATGCCATTTAAAGGTTCTTATTAGTAAATAGGAATTAGTCAACAAAAATGTCAGTTGTCGTCGTTTTGTGAAACGTACATGATTTTGTTTGAAAGAATATGATATTATCTGCGTTTACCCAAGTACGCATTTTTGTGGGGTTTACATTTCGCAACAGTCACCACACGAGTAAAACTTGACCGATCTCCCAAACTTGAGAAGGGCAATAATACCAAAACAGTAAGTTACAGTCTACCTGGAGACAAATTAATGCACAGAAATCTATTGATTAGAATATATGGCAATCTATGCCTATAATTTGTCGAACCTTAAAAATAGGTCTCCAAACACCGACGCGACAATTATTCTATACGAGCCGTACTATTCGTCATCTTGAGTTACCCGCCAACGGGCTGGATTTGGGCCGCGGGCCATGGTTTGCCTATGTCAGATATAGACTCTGGGATTTAAATGTAAACTTGCGGAATTCTGGAATAGACTGGCGGAACCCAGGTCGAGAACCATTGTATTAGTCTGGACTGTTTTCATTACTTTATCATATCAAACGATGTAAATGAAATCCAACCGTACCTGGGTGGTTAGATCAGGTTGAAAACTTTGTTCAGGGCCGGAAATTCTGATTACGAAAAATTTCTAAATGCCCAGCTTATGTAAACACTCGGCAAAGCGTTGCCCACCCGTGAAGTATACGTACTTTAAAATGAAATGGGAACGCTTACTAGACTGGCACAAATAACGAATTTTTCCGATAGTTTATTTGGTCGTATATATTTAAACCAGTAAACAAACATATCCACCAAGGCTGAAGTGCTTATTTGTCTCCACTCCACCTCTCGCTTGCCACCAATAGAGAGTGAAGTTGCGATTATTAAATCATTAACGAACCAATGTTAATATTTGTATCACAAGTGTACAATAAACACTTTACCATGGTATTATAATATCTTGCTCTAGTATTGGTACTCTGGCTCACAGAATGAGTGAACTATTGACCTTTCAAACATTGACAAGGGTTTAATTGTTTTTGTTTCGGTTAAATGACTATCAAGTTTCACTCTCGAGCATTTATGAAATCGATATGGACAGTAATATATATATATACAGTTTATATGGCAGCAGGAAAGCACATTTTCAGATAATATTTTACATACGAAAGTTTGGTTTTCATGTCTCTGTATAGGTGGTAATATTTATAGTGCTGATTGAAATTTTACCTCAAAAATTATTTTTAGTAGTAGTATTAAATGTAAAAGGATGACAGGCGACAGATACTCAGCAAACAGACGACCCATTCTGGATAAGTTAATTTTTCGCGTTTAATTAAGTTTTGTTTGCAACGTTTAACGTGTTGGTATTTAATTAACACATTGAAGTTGCTCAATTTATATTAGTGAAAGATTGTCAATTATTAAATATGATTCCTCCCTTCGAAAATTTGAGCCGTTTCGCTTCTTATTAGACTATCTGTTTAACAATTCACTGCCATATTTCTAAAGCACTTACCAAAATTTCAATGCCGAAATTTTAGGCTCAGCTTAGAAACGAATAGCCTATTTATTGTTTTCGTTTGAAAGAAAGTCGGAATCTGTCTGGCAATAAATATATATGCCTACGGAATGGATGAAATTACGTTTCCCTATTAATTGAAGTATTGGAATAATGGTTGACTGCTCTAATAATTTTATTCGGGATGTTTTTCAAAGATTTTGTTTGTTATCAATCGCAATGAAAAGAAGGACTTTATAACATAAATTCAACAAAAGCAATTCTAAGCCATCATTCATAGTTTGTTGTTTTTGAAAACAAAAGTATCTCTGATAATGGGAAAGCCACTTTGTTCGAGGTTATATGTATTGATATTTGAATAGCTTAATCTAACTCGAAAGTAATAGTTTAGCGCTAAGTACCATTCACTCAGAGCCTATTCTTTTGGCTCGTATAGAATAAAAGAAATTGATTTGAAATTTCGTGCTATGTTATGTTTAATAGATTCAGGGTAGTTCAGTTTCAGTTTTGTTGCGATCAAACGTGTGTCGTTCTTACTCATAGTAATCATATTCTGCTTGTGACTGACTGTTTTTTATTATCATTATTTTCAATCCGTTACTAGCAGTACTATCGATTTGCACTATCAATTGTCGAATTTCTTGTAAAATCCTAATTTACCGCACAAAGACTTTCGGGAAAAAATGCTATCAGATTAATGCGATCAATTATTTCAGGATCTGGCACAGTTTTGCAGCAAAGCGCGAAAAGCATTTGGTTGTCGAATAAACCGAGACGCGGAAGTTGCGACGCAATACATAGATATATTTTAAGGCGGTTTTGTTCATTTCATATAGGTAACAATACACGCCTCCTTCAATTGTTATGAATTCATTGTGTCGACGAGAACATGCCTGAAACATGTTTACAAAACCCTAGCTGAGCAAAGTGACACGAGGTTGTTGTATATCCTTCATGGATGATTTACAGTAGACAGATCTACGTAAAGTGAATTTCATGAACTACTGTCCCCTTACGAAGGATTAGCGGTCATCAGCGTAGTACTTTTATCTTGCAGGGCCCCAACTGCATAGGGAAGTAAAAGATATAGCGGATCTGAGCATCCCAGTCAAGTTAGGGGAATATTAGTTATCTATAATCTGACATGAACAGTCCATTTTGTTCAGCTCAATTCTAGTAAAGACAAAATAATCAATATATATATATATAAAAAAAAAAGGTAAAAATGAAAAACGTTAAGTAAACCTCATTGACAAAGATAAAAAAAAATGCCTGCAGCAGCGACAAATTCTTGGCCCTTCTGGGGTATCGAACATCGAAGAAATTTTTCGAATCTAAGAGAAGGAATTCATTTACCAGGGTAAGTGTGATTATTCAGGATTATATCTCAAAACGAGTCAAAACATGAATTAGTTTTAAGATTGGCGTTCAGTTCTCTATCAAATATTTTTTTATATCATTAAGTCGAAGATGCTATATTTTGTATTATCTTAAAGGCAGAAAAGAATTTGATAACATCTAATGGTAAACCACATTTTCTTCGATAATGCAGGCCAGGAATACCTAAACAGGTAATCGTTCCACATGCGCGAACTTAGGTCGTAACCGATATATATTAGAGGTTTCTTGAATCGGCCCACGACAGCGAGAAATCCAGCAAATACAACACTTCAACCATCGTAGTTATCAATGTTATATACCACATCCCATATAAATTAAACCCGCAAGATGGTAAATATATATATATATATATATTGGTATTCGTCTGAGGCGGTGCCCTGTGACGATCTTAGGATTATAGCCATTGTGTCCGTTTTATAAATTGGGATTGATTAAATCGAGATTTCTTTCCGAAAAGCAGAACATCACAGACAAAAAAGAGTTCTAAATGAGATACTGGGGTCCATTATTTGTCAACTTCTAAGTGACCCGTGACGCTGGTTGTTCTTGAGTATCTCATCTAATCGAATATATTCAACCTCAATGAAATGTTCCAAAGCAAGGTTTCTGAAACCTTCTGTTCATCGTTACAATTTGGACAATTTATAAATCGCTCGTGTACTCCAAAATTGTCTTGCGCGCTGTGATTGGACCAAATAGGTAGTGTAAACTGCGAAACTAAACTTGGTAGTTACTGTAGTTGTAGTTGAAGCTTCTACTGGGATGAAAATGTAACTTTTTGAGGAGTTGATAAAAAATATTTTAGAGCAGATTAGCAGTACTTATAAAATAATTATATATAAGCAAACTTAATACTGGTACAACAAAATGGCTTTCAAAGTGTAGCAACTTCAATAATAGTTGGAAACCTTATATGTATTAGATCATACGGTATTTGAACAATATACCTATCTTAATAATTCTTTTATTTGAATGTAAAATTGCGGAACCCCAGGACTGTACTGGCAGAACCCTAGGTTTCTACGGAACTTTGGTTTTAAGCCACTGTTCTAAACCACTCATCTAAATCAGGTTCCCCAGGACTCCGTGAGAGAAACCTAGGGGCTCCGCGAGCTATTCATTTACTTATTGAATATTTTGTATATGTAAAAATACAAAGCAACAAATACATCCAAATCATCAAACTAACGCAATTCAAACAACTTTACTATAATATTTTTTTGTTCTTGTCAGGTACACTGGATATTTACCGCAATACAAGTACAAACTCGGAGACACGTACGCCAAAAGCTGCGAAGAATTGTCCAAGACTCAAATTGTACGGAAACCTCTCCCTCCAATTCCACCCAAGTCAAAACCAGGTCTTTCGGAGAAACGAGAAGATAATGGACTGAATAAATATATTGATAATATGGTCCCGGGATACACAGGTGAGTCTGCAATTCATGATTCTCTTCAAGTAAACAATTATTTTCCTATCGGGAGAATTAAACACTATTTTCAGCTTCTAATAGTAGATATATATACACTTTTACGTGCAATGCAAATCTGTAAAATTTTACATTTCAGAAATATGATATTACTAGTAAGCTCACAAGTAAGTATTTTTCAATACACATATATGTTATATGAACCACAATGATTTTTCTTGAAAACATCATTTTATAACTGGAATGTCATATTTTCACAACATTAAAAATATCACTTGATAAGGCCAAAGTCATCAATACAATTCTTAGACATAATAGAAAAATTATACATGCGAGCTTCATCTGCCCGATAAAGTGCAAACCGCATTGCAGTTTGTCTGTGATATGAAATAATTTGCTTAAAACTCGAAAATCAGTAAATTTATGTTGCTTCTCACTTCTCACTGCCACTAATGTGGGCTAATCGACCATGTCGGATCAAGTTATGCCAGAAACATCTCAGTGAACACATATATATTTTGTATCTAGGCTATGTTCCACATCGACGATACAACTATGGAGAAAATTACAATGACGACGTTACAAGATGTATTGGTACTTTTCTCGAAGAAAAACACGAAGTTGATCGAAGAATCAATAGATTACAATCACAAGTTAAACAATCTAAGAAGCTTACACCGATAGCGAGTGCTGATGACGTTTTGGAAAAAATCAAAGCGTACAATACAATGTCATTGCCTAACGTTTTACCAGGTGAATTGCATAAAGCTCGATAAATCAACCTTTATTGAAATTGAGGTTAGCGTAGCCAACTTAACACCCAAGCCCGGCTGAAATGCTTGAGAGATTTCGGTTCACAGCATGCAGCGTCATCTTGTTTCGTCGCATGTGATGAATACTCGGAATGCCTGCCTACCATATACTCGTTAACTGTAAGGGCAATTAACTTCGTTGATATGTCTGATACGTACATCCTGAATGTGCAATGTACAATAAGAATACTTTTTTAAGACACAATAAAAGCTAATATCACCAATTCCAATATGGCAATAATATTACTTTAATAAAATTAGGAACAAATTTTTTTTTACGATAGTTTCTATAATTTCCGCGTAGTATTGCTCTTTTGTTATTCCCACGAATTAATTTTATCATCTTTACATTATTAAATATTACTTTAAAATTAATTTGTCTGGCTGGCGTCTCGTTTCGCGCTGTGACGGGTATATTTCACCGGCGCCAACTGCAGGCGACACACACCTCGTAAAATTAATGCATTCCGGCGATGCCAATTGTGCAATATTACTCAGAAGATCTATGGTGACGATTTCTCATAATCTAACACCTCGGTTACGCAGAGTTTATCAAATTTTAATAGTAAATATTTTTTTTGAAGAGAAAATTCCTACACAGTTGACAAAGACGACCTCCAATATTGATGAAATGGTGATTTGGTTTATCACTCCGTAAACCTTTTCGCCTAAAATCAATTGATATTTCTAACATATTTGCTTGAAATAGCCAAATATGTATGGATGGTGGCTACTGATATAGGATCATACTAACTTTACTATAGAACAGGGGTGGCCAACCTGCTTTCGACCGCTGTTAATTTGATTTTATGATTGTACCCGGGGTAAATGTTTTATCATTTATTTAAGATTTATTCGAATCACACGATTCAGGTATAACGCCTGAATAATTTTTAGGCTTAAGCGTTGGAAACCATCAAGAAATCGCGCAAATTATTTTTTAAACAGTGAAAAATAAATATTATCAAACCATAAATGTTACGTGACTGCTTAAACTTCAGTATCGTATTTACAATTTCCTCAAGTGCAATTCGTCGCTTTCTTGGAATTATGAAAAATTGGGCATTCTGATGCCACTGCTACCTTTGCGAATACAATTTATTACTACTCTCGGCACCTCATTTTTAAATCTTGGAACGACGAAACTTGCATTTGTTACGTAATAATATGGTCTTTTGGAATTACCCAGACTCAAATAATATGTGTATATCGAATTTTGCGCATATTCAGTACTGCATTCATCCTGTTTAAAAGCAAATACCTGGCGCTTCACGAAACTGATTCAAGGCAATTTTTTGGGGCATGTCATTAAATCGCTCAAAATCGGACGCGATCGACTACTCGAGACGTGGCGATCGACCGGTCGATCGCGATCGACGTGTTGGCCACCCCTGCTATAGTAGAACCATTTATTATTGTCACAGATACCAAACGTAATAATTTTGCGGAGCCACCCAAAGTTGGATGGACAGGATACGTTCCGAGAGTGAACGTAACAGATATTGCATTGGGAAAACGAAAAGCTGAAGCTAATCAAAAAGGGATGATGGCTTTTCAAGTAAAAAAGGATAATATTCTTATATTCCTGATAATATTATCAAAAATCAAGTTGTTCGAGTATTGTTTAAGCAAAATTATGATATTAGATTTTTAAGAAACATCACAACATTATATTCTGACATTCCTCGAGAAACCTTCTGCCTATTTGTATTTTTTAGACATAAATCCCTACTGCTAACGTACCGTCTGGTTTTGCTGTTCGTTATCTATATGTTCCATTTTATATAGGTATATATCGTTTTTACTTTTGTATAGGAAGACCAAGAGAACCGTGAAAAAATAATTGCACAGCCAGTTAATCCGAACTTTGAACCTGATGAAGTTCCACCTTGGGTTAAAAACAAGGTTTCGCCTTATCATCCTGAAGGCTTAACACCGCGGTATACCGGTTACGTTCCACGTAAGTTTGTTTAGCCAGTACAATCAGTTTTGAACAATGCCAATATGGATACCACAAATGATATCATACTCAACCTGTTATTACTGCAATACGTTATCAAAGTGTAGTGCAATTATTCAGTATTTTGTATATTATAGCTCCTTTTGTGATACAATAAATGCATGATCGAAATCTAATATGCCTGTTAGATAATATATCGGAAGAGAGCATTTGAGGGAATGATTTTCAGTGATTTTTTTTCATTTTTAACAGATAGAAGATTTGTGTTTGGTCAAACATACGGTGAAATGACCAGACAAGCAAACCGTTGTGCGCGCAGCGCAAAAGGAACGAATAATCAAGATATCGATTTCATATTTATTTTTATATTTATCCAAATCCAATGCATGTTAAAAAACAGCTACTATCTTCAATTTTTCAAGTTCAACTAATATTACAAATAGAATTGTAGCCGTTGTATAATCCGGAAAGTACAATAAAGATTATAATATAAAAATGGTATTATTTGAGTTGTGATCGGAATGTTTAAACTTCAGGAAAAAAAAGTAACCGAAAAAGGAGAACTATTAAAGCGTTACTACTCTCTATAATGCTTTAAACGAGAACGGGAAGCATAGTCATTTCAAAGCTTTCCAAAATCTGTTTATTGTGATTAGCTATATCATATCGGCTGCTAGTTGAATTATATATACACTTGAAAATCAAAAAACATTGCCTTTGTCGACACTGCGATAAAATGAATTTTAATTGCCAGCGAGTATATATATTACATGCATTGTTAACGCGCAATATGTTGCAAAATAACAAGTATACAAACAACATAATTAAAAATCGAGAATAAGTTATTATGTACTTAATGAAGCGATATATGGCAATTTGCGATTTATTAAATGACCATCCATCAATTAACCGATGATTTGAAATCTAGTATAGCATAATAGGGGAGAGGAAATCGATAGGGATTGGTCATGTAGAGACATTTCTAGTTCGAAGCACGTAGTTTACTTGGCCGCGGAACAATATTATATATTTTACTTCAATTTATACTCTGGTCTACATCGCTCATTTTCTCCATAAATATTGGCGTAACACGACGATTTTACGGTATTTCACAAACTATACTACCAGATTAAAATATAAAACAAAAAGAAACGAAATTTTCCTCACTGTTGACAAACATTTAAATATATACATATCGTCACGCTAATAACCGAATTGCGTAAGTCATTTTTAGCAGTTTTGAGAAAAACGTAAAAAACTTCCTAATGATATTGTTATGCCATTGAGAGTCAATAATTTGCCATGGTTCAATTTTTCGATCGTAGCCGGATTTAAGTTAATTTGTATGACGCAGTTAAGTGACGTCATAATGGCGCACTGTGACTTAGGCAGAAATGTGTTATGACTTGGGGACATACGCAATTTTGCAACTTTACTATATGCACCAGTCCTGAAAACTAAACATTCTAAAAACGAATGTAATTTTCAGTATCTACAATACCTAATCCCCAAAATAGCTAATCAGTTTCAATTACATTATTTTTTATGTTCAAAAATATATATTTCAATAATATAACACGATCTGCACACCCACCGAAATAGACTAAGATTAAATATAAAAATAAATCAGCAATGCACCAATATAAAAGCCAACCAAGGTGAATTGGACTCGGACAGTGAATATCACAAGTGCACGCCTTCCTATTCTGTAGTATAAATTCAAACTAATACGCGCTAAGCTAGAATCCGAGATGCAAAAAACTCGAAAATACTTCCGCGAGATTATTTTGCCTTTGCGACGTCACAATAGTCCTGCCGGTAACAATGATAATTCATTATGACGAAACAATTGCACAAATGTGCATGTCATACTAAAATCTCCAGTTTATGGGTTTCGGAATTCTTAAAATAAAATCCGAGTTAACAGAACAGGTTGCGCAGCATTACATAAATACCTATTTTTATTAAAAAAAAAACTCAAAATCTCCAAAAATGACTTACGCAATTCGGTTATTAGCGTTACGATATATAATAAATTTTGTTGAAAAAATTTAATGAAAATGGTGGTAACCAACTTCTTGTTTGGTTTTCCTTCCACTATTAGTTGAGCATTTTAACCTTGCTTGGGGTGAATAAAAACCGCAATACGATGATCGAAATATTCAATATTCACTCAATACTATACTATGAAAGGTGTATAGCTTATCGAGCCAATCATGTACCCCGAGTTGAAAAGGTATGTTCAAGAGGATCTACTGGTATGTCCAAGAAAGTGATATTATAGTATAAACGTGTGGGAAATCGTGATATTCAAAAAAAAAAAATTTCAAAATCCAATATTTAAAGTTACTGGTTTATGAATGAAGTTATAACTACTTTAATATACCCATTTACTAATATTATGGCGGTTATGAGGCAAATAAATTTTGAATATATATTGGATATCATTTTCGTGATACCATTTCATCAAGAATATGAAGAGCTAAATTTACAGATTATACCACTGAGTAACACTGAAAACTCACTGCCCATTCATCATAACAAATGCAGTTGAAAACTGTTAATATAGTTAATTTTTCCAAAATTTGAATATTATTATAACATGCTTCAGGTACACTGTAAAATAAAATAATAGTTCAAGTACTCCCAAATAGTTTATTAGCTAGAACAATTATGAAACAGAAACCCTGCTGATCAGTTTAATGAGAAATCACAAATATGGAAGCACGCGTATTATAGATTAGTGCGTGCAGGGACGATTCAATATGGTTCAATATTGGGCGTCGAAACGATTCGACACGGATGGAGGAAACAGCGTTACTTTAAAGAAGTTGCTCGTTGAGGCGCGATATGTACCATCCGCGTTAATATCTCTCAGAATAATCATTTTCTAATTTATTATCCATGTCAGTCCGTGAAATCGTGTTTGCCCTTAAAACAACATGCCGCGTTTTGGTATATCGAAGATTTTCTGGCAATTATTTCTCATATTAGCGAAGTAGATTTTAATTAACTATTTTGGAGTAATAAATTGGTTGTGTTTCAAGAACGTTTTCACTTATTACTACGACCAGATTGTTGAATTCTAGCGTTTTCATTCACCGTGTCCTTACTGGTGAAGACGACTGACGCCCAGTCGAGGTCTAGTTCGTGAACGAACACTGATATCGTAATTTCTTGTAATTGGTGTATTGTATCGCTTGTTGCAATAATTCGCCAGTCTGTCGATTTTCGGCAATTAACTATCGCTTTACCGATTATCTCAATGCAGACTTGAAAGACGTCCGCTAGGGTTTAAGAGAACAATGCGGGTAGAGGATGGGGCTCGTGCAGGATCATTGGCGCACGCGTCGAGATGAGTTAATTACACTTTCACTCTCTCTACTTATATATCAGATAAACGTTGAAAAATTATTCAGATCGTAGTTTGCCGCGATACCTTGTGGTGCAGTTTTAAAAGACTCGTCATGTTGGCAACAGGATACAGTACATTTGATCTTCCTAAGATACCATAAATGACTTATTTTTAACTCATATATAATATTTAGATATATAATTACTTTATTTAGAATACTAACAAGCTGAAATGTCAAACGGATTGAGTTCAGTAGGTGACGAAAACCAGAGAATAAAATATGAACGTGAGGAATCTACTGGTTTAGACATTTCCAATACAATGTTCAATGACAGAAATGAAGCTACCGAAATCAAAACGACAATTGAAACTGTCGAAAACAAGCCACCAAGATTTTTCTTTTTCAATAGAATCGATAATCGGAAAACAAGGGAGCACGAGTAAAACAAAGGAAATCATCTACAGTGCAAATTTAATCGAAATTCGAACTCCACATTCAATCCCAGATTTTATGCTGATGTAGTGAATGTTATGAAAAACTAATGAAAATCATATTGGAAGAGATTACACATTTTTGGAAAACGTGTCATCAACAAGAAATCATTCTGAACAATCATTGTCTCCAGCAAGAAGCAACTTATCTATATCACCTAGTTCTTCACCAAGTCCGTTACACTCCACTCCACAAAGAAAGTCTCATGAAAAATCAGATTCTGGTAAGAAACAGGCTTATTATTTGAATAACTTCTTAGAAATGTATTTTAAAAATATATTTCAAGTATTTCATTTTTACTATTCAGTTCATTAATTTTTTTTTTAGTTACTGTATATTTGTAATTGCAATGACTATTTTATTTACAGAATTATTTAATATTTATTCTCATATTTCAGGAACAGCATTTTCAAACTTGAGAAAACACAAGCCAAACAGAAAACCTCGAACCCCATTTACAACTCACCAACTTCTGTCATTGGAGAACAAATTCGCTAAAAAGCAGTATCTTTCTATCGCTGAAAGAGCTGAGTTTTCTTCGTCGCTTCAACTATCGGAAACACAGGTGATTTTATTTTTTTGTGATAATATTATAAGGTGACAATTTTTAATGCCAAGAAATAGGCAACTTTTTCTGAAAATCATCATTACCAAACATCGCAACAACTGCGGTGAACTAGTAAATTGATTTAGAACGTTTTAATGTTCATACATTTATAATCCTTGTATTCTTTGTAGTGAAATTTCAATGCCCTTAAAACCTAACTTTAGTATAAATCATATATAAATGTAATATTGCTATAAATGTAATGCCAGAAATTTCAAAAAAATAGGCAAATGAAAAGTATGATACATTTTACGAATTTATAAGAGGTGCTACTACAGAAATAGCTGTAACTTACACCGTAAATAGATAGTATTATATAACATAATGAATTTTGTACTTACCAGGTTAAAATCTGGTTTCAAAATCGAAGAGCAAAGTCAAAGCGCTTGCAAGAAGCAAAGATCGAGCAAGCGAAGTTTGCAGCTGCGGCCTGTTCCGTCCTTGGCTCAACTTCCGGCCCTGGAATACCGTTAATGACAGCTATGCCCGCTTACTCGGGATATTCGAATATATACTGTGGGTTACCATCGACAATGTCACCGGTAACACACTCGGAAGTCCGAGGTGCTTATTCAGATACCATATCACGAGGAAATACAGAAACTCTGTTGGCAAACTCAATGCATCAAATATATACATCAAAACGCTCAGACTTTGTGTATCCGGCATATCCACCATTCTACGCGGGTAACATCACTGATGCAAATCGGCACGCATCGATGCCTCTACCAATTTTACAGTAACTTTTCCAGCAATTTATTGATACTTTTTGTTAAATAAAAATCTGTTTTCTGTTCATATCATTTTAATAAAATATTATTTCGAATTGATATGCTTTTTTTATGATTTGGATTCGGTGTGCACGGATGGCGACGCAGTTGAGTCATGTACATCGTTCTGGTCATTTCCTTCTTTCTATGAAGTGAGAAAATATGACATATTCTGACCAAAAATAGACAATAAGTCTCTCTTGAAGTTTTTGTTTACTTGCATCTGTAAGCAGAGCATAGTCCATAAATATTAAACCAATTTTAAACCATAGTGCAAAATATCAAACCAATTTTAACCGAGTCATGGCGCGTGCCTGAATGCGATACGGTATTTATCGAGTGGAAATGGATTAGTATTGTTTGTGATTGTTAGGAAGTGAAATAGTTATGGAGATAATTTTAACGACTACATTGCTTTAAATGATCTATATTAGATGAAAGAACGTGCCGCGCTCTTCCTGCAATTATCACGGCGCCTGGATGCTGTAATTAATGTAGCCTGAGTTGGCGACTGTTGGGAGACTGTAAATTGCTGGGTTTGAGTAATTAATAAGTTTTGAAAAGTAAAAGTATACAAATAAATATACGCGGAAATTTTATGACAATAATGAGCCGGGGTGCCTGGAAAGGATGCCCCGTACCAACTCAGTTTTTATCGGCATTCAGTCGCGCAGTAATAATGTTATTTGAAAGTGTCTCAAACTACTTCTGAAACAATATGCATGACAAAAGAGAAGAGAGACAAGCATATATTTGTAAGTCCATAAGCATTATCGGAGAGTAATGAATAAGTGAATAATGCTTAGACTTACAGATACGTAATACCACAGTGTGCAACATTAACTATATGAAATCTTGTATGTAATAAATGTACGCATAGGCCACTCAAAACCTCTGGAGGCGCCTTTGAGACGTAATAGCAATAAAAAATGACAATAAAATTCCAAAGTTCTTCGATGCGAAACCCCAAAATTATCAACAAATCATATACAGCCAATATCAATTTTTCGAACTGTACTATTCAATCCCGTGTTATGAATTTAAGAATCAGTCGGTATTTGAAATTCTTTCCCAATAGAAGCAGGGCAGATAATTCTTTGGTCTAAAAGCCCTAAATGATGGGATCCTTCAAAACTTCAAGCACGAGTTGTGAATTGGTAACGAGAATGCGCAAACGAGTATGTATAATATAATCAAAATGCGCATGGGGAGAGGATAGGCAACATGTACCAAATATTTCCCGACATCTTATTGACACACTCGGAATAATCCAATGAGGTGGAGGTAATGTTTCTTGCTTGGCGAATATTAATTATAAGCAATATTTATTAAAACCTGTTTTGCAATCACCTTACACAGAAATATGAATTTATCATAGTTTATTTTTAACGAGCTAACAATACTTAACAGGGTAATTGTTTCGTCGAACATGCTCCAATGAATTCAATATTTCCCCTTATCTGTCAAGAAAAGATTAATTATACTAGTTACTAAAATCAGGTTAAGAACAGCAATTTGTTTTCAAAAATAATTCTGACACATTCTAAAGGTTGAAATTTATTAGCACGCCATTTGAATTAATTATTTCGACAACGTAGACCAAGCGACAACAGGAGAATACGGCCACATTTACCATATACACGGTGTTTTACTCAATCTATATATTATATCTGCATTGGCGTATGTTATAGCCTTTATATGTAACTTTGTAATGAGAAGTTACCGGATCGTGGGATCTCAATGAATGTGCATTACAAAGTCGGGTACAGTTCAATATATATATTAATGCCGTTATCATATATCGTTCTATTAATCGACAATTTCCCAGTTAAGGAGACTCCAGAAACAGAGCTTTTTTCTCTCATTCTTGTTGACAACGAGAAATTCGACTATAAAATTGTAACGAGGATAGACTGACAGATTTTGTAGTCATAATCTGTCAATGACAGACTGGTCTTATTGTTCAGCACTCTATATGATAAATTGCTTCTGTTTCCGGCAAAATGAAAGCTAGAAACGGTGCGACATGAGTAATACTGGCGGCATCGAGAGAAGAATAGTATTGTTTTCAACTGGGAGATTGCTTTTCCTCATCTGTGCACTCCCAGTGACGGGTGTTTGGAATTCGACCCGTCTCCTACTCAACCGATTCATACTAGTCACGAAGTTCAGAGATCAGTTCAATAGGCACGTCGTTCGGTTTATTTTGATATGGACTCCATTTTTAATTTGTTTACAAGCCGCCATATTAATTCGAACCATGAAAACAGGGATTTTACGTTAAAGAAACAGACAATGGCTAGTTGAAGACATCTTTCTATGTTTTTCAAAATAAAGCAAATCATTTTTTCGAATGTAAATTTGCAGTCGGCGAGGTATATACAAAACAAACTTCAAAATGAATTTTTGATTTTAGTTCTGTTTAACGTAAAGATCAAATACGTGACTCATTGGAAATATGAAAATTATATGGCATAATTTTGCCGCGTAATTCTACATCTGTATCAATTTTATAAAAAAGACGTCAGAATTAATATATTCAAACATTTCAGCGGGAAACTACGCAAACAAGGCCATGTACAAAATTCGAAACGAGTTGTATGTGATGCCCAATCGAACATGTTTTACAATATCGTTACATTTCCGCTTTTAGAATTGGCGCTTACAACAAGTATACTGCGGAAAAATATCTGCGTACATAGCAGCTGACAATGTAAAGGAGGATGCTTCTAGTCTTCTGATATAAAAATAATAATAATAGTAAAAAATGGTAACACTTTTTCCATTAATCATATCATGGAAGAGTCATGATATCCAACTAAACGTGATTTCGTATATATACTTTTTTCTAATGTTTCTACTTATTCAAATTCTTTCTTTTATAATTATATCAACTACTGGTATTGCCTCGTAAAAGATGTCTGCTCGATAACCAGTATAATTTTTCAGTGTTTTCCTTTGAAATGTTATTTCTGAGTTGATTTTTAATTTTTGTGGTGTGTTTTCAGTATCAATTGAAAACAAACTACTGCTTACTGATTCTATATCGAAGTCACCCCCATTTCTAAGTTACTGTTGATTGAACGTACAATGGTATAATTAAAACTCTCGTATATGCTATGTTGTAAACATATTATTCTTTACGCATCCCAGCTTTGAGTTGGTGAACTTATAAATTTGAGTTACAACCCGATATGTGGTATGGCTCCCGTACATAATAAGATTTCTTCTTTCCAATATACATATGATTTTAGACTTATTTTGCTAAATCTCCACTGCCAAAAAGTACAAAAATCATACGAATATAATATTTCGTGATTGTCTTTTTATTTCCCCAAGTTAAACGAATAGTTTATTAGTGCGACATAAATGATTGGCAATGGAAACTCGTGATTGATTTCATAAGATGGCAAAAATAAAGTAGTACAATAATTAAATAATAGATTGTGACAGTAACGAATGGTAGCGTGTACAAACCTAACCAAGGTAGGCCAGTAAACATTGTATGGACGATATTTCTTGACAGTGATAACGAATAACAATAAAATTTCACTTATGGGCCATTGTGTTGCGGGTGCTGAACGGACTGATTTTCGACTAAACACCCAGCGTACTAAAAAATATGGAATGTTATATTTTACAATTATCTCGAGCATGTTTTTGATGGTATTACCTCGTGATTAATATTTTATCATCAATAAATTGATTTTATTTTCATCATGCATCCATGACAGATAGCTGAACTTGATCAATATATGGCTGGATAGGTACTAAATAACCCATATTCATGTTTCGCATTGAAAAGTTGTGTACAAAATACAAATTTGTTCGTAATGAAAATTGGATTACAAGGAATAAGATAAATTAGATTGAAAAAATTGAGTTGAGAAAGTCGATCCACATCCATAAAAATAGTGAGAACAAATTGATTTATGATGTATTCAGTTATTATCTATGTACAACTGTAACGTATCGATATTAAACCGCAACTCATAATATTAGAGAACTGGACAAAGTAAATGTTTGACTTAAAATTACCACCAAAACCCTGGCGCAAACGCGATACACCGTAACAGGAACACAAGTCAAGAGATTGAGAAAGCAATTTGTCACCAGCAAGAGGAACAACAATGCATACCTAGCTTTTCAGTGAATACCCAAATCAAGTTTATTTTATCTAGCTATACAATATTGCACCGAAATTGATTGTCAGCTAGAAAATACAGATCAAATACAAAAGACAAAAGTTCATTAACAATGGAACATGGCAAGCGTATGTGAAAAACTTAATTTGGCAATTAAGAAGAAATTAACAATTATGAAAATTAAAAAGAATTTTCTGAAAACATTTTGCAGAAATAATTGTCAGTCGCATAATATAAACGCTCTCACCCAACCATAGAAGCGGATACCGATGGATACATTCCATTTATGAGTTGGTTGGACCAAACCGCGCTTGAATCGACAGGTGGTATTACATCACTAGCAAGTCCAGAAATCCTATTTTCATTACTATCTTCAACGCCGTCCTTAGTATCCACACCTTCATTTGTGGCAAATTCCATTGCTTTTACCAAAATGCTTGAGGTTGATGGACGATTTGTCCAACAGTCAGCCGAAAAATTTTGTGACCCTTCTGTGTCGTAACAAAACGATTTAACGTCCTGGGCTCTTTCGTCCTGTTTATCACCCTCCATCATTCCTACTTCATCAACTGCGTCATCAGTTGCCTCGCCGTCGTCGCTGACGGCTTTATCTTGGTCATTTAGCGAGTTTTGGCGATTTTCGTCATCTACGGCCGCTGGCGGAATATGATAAGAATTTGTTTCGGGACAGTGAGGATTCCACTTGCTTGCCATGTGATAAGCATGATTGTATCCATCTGACTCAAGATTATATTGAGTGGCGTCTGAGTAGCGCGATGTTGTGGTAAGGTATGGATAAGGCTGGTAGGAATCTGGAATTTTAATTGCCTGGATATTGAATTGGGCAGAAGTTGGATTTTGATATCCCCTCGGTCCAACAATATATCCACTTTCTGATGGCGTCGTGAGCGGCCTCGTGTAAACGGTAGGGTAAGGAGAAGATCCCATTGTCCCTGCTTCCGGTTTTACGGATTTAACATCAGTAAGAGTATGGAATGGAAAAATTAGTCTTCGAATTGGTGGTGGGCTGGATAGTTCTTCCATTGCTTGTCGTCTCTCTTGCGGCATTATTCCCGGATAAAAATGTCGAGTTGTACGTCGGTGCAATGGAACACGTTTCGGCGTCATAAGGATTAATAATCTTGGCGCTCTCAGAAAATCTCTCCGATGTATTCATCTGTTCTGTCTCGGATGCAGATGTATCGTGGGGGTTTTCATGTTTTGACGTATTAGAAGTATTTTCTTCGCCATTACTTATACTTGAATCGTTTAATCGAACTTTTGACGTCTTTGTTACAATGTCAGGCGCGTTCCCGAAAGCACAATGGGAATCCCATGAATTATGGGCAGGGTTTCTGTAATCGTCCAACTCAGGTTTGTACATTGAATGGCAAGGCTGTGGCATATAATTTCCAGAACCCCAATTCCACATTTTGACATTTCTTGGCCCAGTTGGAGCGCATGAGCATCCCGAATGTCCAGAACAATAAGGCTGGGGATGTGAATGCATTCTGCATGAGTGACTGGCTTCGGGATGGTAAGGTGCTCTCCACGGATGCATGCAGGAGGACCCTGGCCACTTACTGGCAGCAATTATAGGTTTTGTAGGTAAAGGTAAAAGTGAATTGATTGAAATGGAAGAAGAGTCAATTGATGAAAGTTTGCTGCAATCGGATTTCATATTGTTGTTATTTTGATTTGTATGCTCATCGGTAGTTTTCGATTCGTTATGGCCAGTTCGCCAATTTCCTCCTCCACAACCCATCTTTATCTTCTTGGCTCTCGCTCGACGATTTTGAAACCATATCTAAAAGAAGCAGTATGTAACATGAGTATGTAAACACATACATCACCTCGCGAAGTGGTAATACTGATAAACTAGAAAAACACAATCGCGTATGGCTCACGCCAAGTACTAGAGAATAAAGGCGAAGAATGCACGATGAATCATATAATTGGAACAAGATGAATCGCAGTCTGCAAGTATTTTTTCCTTAAAATAACCAAGAGAAGAGCCGCATAAAACTGGCGCAAGAGCCACATGCGCTCGCGAGCCGCGGGTTGGCCACACCTGTACTAGAGAGCCTCTAAGTTATCTATTTATTGCTGTCGACTCGAACCGTGGCACTAGACTGTATATTTTTTAGTCTACTTAACTTCTTAAATATGCTTAAAATGTTCCAATTTTTACCACTCTTAAATATTTAATGCCGCAAGTGCCAGGTTTTGACACATCGTCATAATTATTACTATTAAATGACATGCACTGAATGTATGGATAAGTTGGATAACTATTTGGGATACAATTAAAATGATGAAATTTATACGATAATACAACTTTTCATTTCGCATGCTTCGCTTAAGTTTTGATACCGTTGATGGCTTACCTTAACTTTTCCTTCAGGAACATCAATTTTGCAAGCAAGGTGTTGCCGCGTTTGAGCAGTTGGATATGGATTACTATGAAACACCCCTTCCAATTCGGCAATCTAGACGGAAACAGATTCATTATATTACTAAAGCAAGGAACAACACCAGAATGTATCAAAGGCCTATAACAAACATTGGATCTTGTGTTCAAGGGGTGAGCTGTACATTGATGGCTAGGTTCGCCGATTCATTACAAATCGCGTTTACCTGTGCATCAGAATAAGTTGTTCTTCCTCTGTTGTTGGGTTTCGTAGGAGCTGAAGTCGTGGGTGGAGCCGGAGTATGTTCAACTGATGTATCAGCCCAAGCTAAAATACGCAAAAATTATTCAAATAATAACCGATGCTATTTCAATCGCGCGATAGCCGCCAACAAAAATATCTGACTGAAATATCCTCGATGCAATCAATAAAAAATTTTAATATAAAACTGCAGCTAACCTAACATACTTATTATAACTTACATTTCGCCTGTGCAGGTTGCAAAAGACAATGGTCATGTCGCAAAACTGGTTCGTCTGATCGTTGCCTGCCGTAAGAAGGCGGAGGAGGCGCTTGCTGACATCCAAATTGAATTCTGGTAAAACATAATTATTAACAGCCCTATAGTGTATTTGGTTCTCGTGGAGGAGATATTATGGTACCAAATTTTTGGGAAAAGCTCAATCAAAAACAAATACGTGCAATCAGCAAACCCCGAACGTATCTCAACGAAATAATAAATTTAGCGAAATAATACAATTCAGACTAACTTCTAAAGTTAGTAGATGAATGGCATAGAAATGCATAGCTGGGATATTTATTTACATTACTTAGTAATACGAAGCTGGAATGATAAATGGACTGAAAAGTTTCTTACTTGTGGCTTGTCAAAGTTATTGTCGGACCCATTCTCTGATATCCCATTGAAAATCGATCTGTATAATCTGCATAACCAGCGGGTGTTGGACCACCGTAATATGAGTTGCATGAGCCTATACAGAAAATGATAGAAATGGTACACAACAATAGTACAAACGTCGCATATCGCTCACTCCAGAAGGCGGCCAAAGTTGAAATATACTAAAATGATTTAATGCCGGGAAGTATATTTTAGTTCCTCCAAATCAGGTTCAAAAGAAGGGTTTAATTTATTTTACTTTTCTGGCATATCAAAATATTGGAAATATAGTACTTGCTTAGTGTCGCTATATATTAGGCCAAAGAATTCTCAACCGGGGGTAAGTTTACTTACCCCTTTAAGAGTAAGTTTACCCCTTAAGAGTGAATTTGACCAGCATTGGTGGTAATTCGGCAAGCAAGCAAATACATGACTAAATGTAGGCATCGACCGCATAACAGATTACTGTACAGCGGTGTTGTTGAGAGTGCAACATTGTTTGTTACGTAATAGATGCTATTACGCTTTTCGTGAGGGTAGAGCCAGATTTTTCTTTTCCTCATACGGCACACCCGAAATACTTGCCGAGTAAGTAAACACTTTGAGACGGAAATAGTGAGTTTCGGATATTCGTAAAACTTAACTTTATATTTGATTTAGGCCTACATTTCTATGTAAAATCGTATATCAATGTGGGAGATAAACCCCCATTTTTTTCGTAAATAAGCACGCAGTCCGGGTCGCGAAGTAGATATAGTGCCGTTCCTAACTTGTCAACATAAGTTGAAATCAGTGTACGCTCAAAGTCAGTTAAATTCTACGTTACCTGCGGGATAATTTTTGCATCGTGGGTGTTGGTTCACTGCTAGGAGGAAATTCGGTCATTAAAGCTGAATTATTGGCATCGCCATCTTGACAGGATTTGTATTCTTGCATCGATTTTGATCGAGTTTCGACCGGATGGAGAATGCTAGTTTCTGCGCTCGACATTACAAGTTAATACGGAGTAAATTAATACTGTTGAACGAAAAAGTTGAAGTGAATGTTCCCCCGTAACAGTACCGTACTTATCTATTAGTGTTAGTTAGCGTTTTTCATGAAGTAAGCAAAGCGAGGGCGATCTTTCCAAGCACAAAATTAATATTTACGTTAACAAAACTGTATTAAAACACTACTGGAAGACGTAGTATACGGAGATGAGCACGAATACAAAAGCGAAAGCGCTTTGTTATTGTTAACTCCGCGATGATTAATGGGAAAATTGGTCACTAAGTGAGTGCATTTATGCACACCCATGCAGTCATTATTACAAACCTTGCCTACAAGCATGACATATTAAAATAAGATACAGACATTATAAACATAAAATTACATTCACCGTAGGCTACCTTTCCTGACCCACGACAGCCATATATATATATATAATTGTTATATAAACTATCTAATATGTCAGAAAATTTGGAGGACTGAAGTCACGATTAAACATATATACATAGCATCCGATATTCTGCAAGCGTTATTGTTACTACATCTTCGAAATAGATGTAAACAATAAACTCATTCGCTGCTGCACGAATGACAAACCTAGACTATTTACAAAAAGCATCGTATTAAAACAAAGAGAATGTCCCTTTGCACCCGAGAAAAAATTCCGCTCGGCCGGTTTGCGAAGAAACACGGCGAAGTAATCAAGACGAGAGTCGGCAAAAAGCATTTCACTGTGTCCTGCCAACGTTGTTCTTGTCTATCTCGATTTGAAAACATTGCACACTATGTTTTGAAAGAACCACAATATCGATATATACTTCCTATTTTTGATGACTGCAACCCTAACAAGATGTCATTCGAGAAAAGATTGGCTCAAGATCAGAACCATCCATTCACGAATAATATTACCTGTAGCACGGATAAACTTCAAAAAATTTCCGACTGTCTTACAGATAATGACGCGCATTGAAAACTAGTTCGAAAATAGTTTGGTTACTCTGTACGATTCTCTAAGAGAAATTTTTCATCTTGAAAGTTCCCTGGTACTGTATCAAAAATACCAATGAGTTGTTTAGCACGAAGTATGTTACGCGATCAATGTCCCAACATCGACATTCAGCAGAAACAAACAGCGGAAACAAAATGCATGTATTTACCCAACGCATTTCGCGAAACAAAATAGATCATTCAACTGTAAAAAGTATTGATGTGCTTTATATATATTTTATATTATTGTTCTTTTTGTCTCTCTTCGGAGATTGTAATCTTGCAATCATGGAACTACTATTTAAACTTACGTCTTTTTTAGATTAATAACTCTTTTGGCCACTCAATTGGTTTTGATGCCGAATTTATATACGAAATACATCTGAGAAATCGATGTTTTGGAATGAATGAATGTAGACTAACTATAGTATGCGGCTAGTCCTCCGAAATCCGAATGACTTGTCATTTACTCCCGAAGTATGTGTTACCAGGTTAGGGCTAAGCCATAATTTTATTCCGATTTTTGTTATTTTAGTTCTATAACGAGTTCGGGGACTGTCTGTGTTAGCTAAGTGAATATCCTCCTACTCATATGTTTCAGTCCTTTTACACAACTTGATGTAAAATAGGCGAACAATTAGTTTCCTACAAATTGGTACACATACTTGTGGAGTTCCTTTTCAATGTTCCAAATATATAAATTTGCTTCCGTAGTCCATGTTCTGTTCACTCTAATACCCAATCCGTATAATACCAGTCGCTATGGCTAATGCTATGGACAAAAAAAAATACTCCGCAACAGAATCTATAGCTAAATTTGTACAAAGACCTACGCTAAACGGCATTTGAATAGTAACAAGTAAATGCACTATGAACTCAGCGAATAATGCAAATTTAGGTTTTCCAACTTCTGCGCTGAAAATTGTTGGCTTGGCTGCGGTACGTTTAGAATTTAGATAAAGAAGGTGTCATATTATAGCGTACACGTAGGAATTGTTGCGTGGCTTACCGTTTTGAATACTGCACCATGTGCCACGTAAGTTTTGAGCATGGGTATTTGGATTGATGTAAACGATTTTCATATACTTCTAAGATCTTGCAGTCATTAGATTCATTTTTTTGCGGGCATTACAACTGCATGACCTTTGCAGTATTCATCGCTCGAATCAAATTTGAAATTTGTTGAATCGAGTTACACTTTATTGGCAACTTTCCTGTATTGATATTTTTGTACCGTGGTGCAGTTAAACGCGTTGATTTTGCAAGGCGTCCAGAATCACACGCTGCGATATCGGATTGTCGGATACCTTACTCCAAAAAAACTCCAGCCGAGAAATTTTCATCTCCGTGTGCGAAATACAGTTTATTAGTCTAAGTGCAATAAGATCAATGGAAGTGGTTGAATATATTTTCGTGGAAAGCTGTCAGACATGTTATTGGATGCTAAACTTGTGACGAAGAAAAAGAAGTCGAGCCACTTTAAGACGGATGGAATCCACCTCTATCTATCATTATTTGTTTGTTGTCACAAAAACAAATGCACAATGATTGGTACACAATATAAAAACAAGAGTACTATACTCAAATATATGGACACGTAGCACCATATAATTTTGATGACGTCATAGCTAAAAATAAAAGTAATATCCCTCTAGCAAAAAATATAATCTTTACTCACTGAAAATTTCAAAGCAATTAGTCCAGTTATCAAAGAGAAAAGCGATATCTTCAAAACGTGTCTAAGAACAACAACAACATGATATTGAAACGATCGTTATGTCCACTACGTGTCCAAAAAAAAGGGAAGTTAGTTGTGCGACAGGATTCGCGAGGGACCTGGTTAGGTTTTTAAGCAGCGACACCTATAGTGTTGTTACTGGTTCAGTGTAAATGGCGCTCTGATGGAATCTTCCATTAGGAAATGTCCTTAACCCGCTTTCTTTATATGCAAAAAAACGTTATCAACCAGTGTTTTTATTATCAATTACATATACAAAAGAATTATAATAATCACAATAAAATATCTATATCATAATAGCTCATTTGAGGGAGCATTCAAAAGGTTCACACTTGTTTATAAAGTATAATGAAGTACATCAAAATTTTTTACTCATTTTTCAAAATAAAATAAACGATGGCATGGTTTTCGTACTCGCAAGTACATCTTTACCAATATACAGATGTCCTAAAGCAGGAGGGATTTTATACAACTTTTGGTTAAAAACAAAAATTGGATGAGGGAAGCATCAAAAAACAAGTATTGAGAGATTAAAAGATCAGATTATCAAAATATTCAACATTAAAAAAATAAAGAACCTTTTTAATGGATTACTGAAGAATATATAAACTGACAATGAAACGACTTCACTGATTGGATCCATTTTGTAGTAGCAAATATCTTACTTGACAAACGATGAAAAGACTGATATTTCAGAGACTTATTTAGCTCTGATTTATTGCAAGAATGAAAATTAATCATGAAACATAACGCCTTGAAATTAGCAGTCGAAACATATTCATAATTTACTACAATCAGCTGAATGGAGACAACTTGCCAAATATTCAATGCATCAAATCTTAAGGTTTGAATTTAGCAGACCAACAAAGAGCTTTGCTAAATTCTTGTTGAGTAGGGATTATTTTTATGATGAATGATATTCAAAGCGAATATTCAAAAAGCGACTTTTGTAAGCATCAGTTGTTAATATAATGTATAATTTCATTTTCAAAACTGCCTACAGGAGTGAATGAAGGTCAAAAAACATACAATTTTAAAAACAAGATTAAAAATATAATTTTTTCTTTAGAATAACTGCTAGCAGCACCAATAATTAATCTATATCAATATTAGCTGTAAAAAGGTAAAATTATCTGGTAATTCAGTCCAAGAATTTTAGAAATTAAAATATACATCTCTAATACAATAAAAAAAACTGAAGGTAAAAGATTAATAAGCACGATTATATGAATACGACGACACCAATGATTAGATTATTAATCAACGCCTACAAAAATAAAATAGTAGCACTCTGAAGCAGTATAAAAAAGTCCGCCAAGGTAAACACAATTCAGTATCGAAGTAGGAGCGCAAAACAATCCAATTTTTTTCAAATATCCCAATATACATTTTTAAATTAAGTCTGACAACGAGATGATGTTTTGTGTCACACTCACATCAATATCAGGTTGTAAAAATGTAAACTGTAGCTTGAGCCAGATGCATAACACATCTATATAATATCTGGTATTAATAAAACGATTGAATAGAAAATATTCAAATACGGATGTCTCATTATGTATGCGAGGACAAATAAAAATTGATAAATACATTATACATACTACTATTTCATAAAATAGGGTTGGCAGCATATAGTTCGAACCTAATGTATGCGGTTTAGTGTTCAGTCTTGAGTTATACTCAACGCTCTGATTTGCTCCAATGTTTCCCTGACGTCTTCTTCCAGATCTCGTTCTGGTTCTCCATTTGTAAGATCGTTGAGTGCAGTGTTAAATAATTTATTCAATTCATTGTGATGCCAGGACTGAGAAAAAAGTAAACATAAATATTTTTGTTCATATTGAGGTGAATTTTTTCCATAATCTGAAGTAAAATGTATTCTAGTACGTTTTTCATCTGTTACGGGCAGAGCTGAAGTCGTAATATTTTATTTGAGCTGGGGCCAAGCTTACCATGCTATATGGAGCCGAAGTTACTCAAAGTTTCATTGGCTCCTGCTTTTAGCCAAATAAATACTCATTAACAAAGATAGAGGGGTAAGGTAAATTGCAAAACATTAGAAACCTCGTTATACCTGTGTCAATACAAGAGATTCAAACAGAGGTTGTAAATACTGTAATCTGCTGTTATAAAAAGCAGGAAACTCATCAAGAAGCATAGAGTGCTTTGCTTCAAATTCATCCTTTACAGGTGTGAGGTCTTTTTTCAACTGAAAATTTGTACAAAATATATTTCTAGTAGCAACAACATCAAAGAAAATGACCTAACAAGTCACATTTTTATTTGAGATTTGTTGTTATAAAAGTTTGACTTTAAAATACAAGTTTTATGTACACCATATGCACTCAGTGCCTACCAATATATTGAAAAGTCGGAATGTTTTATTTTTTATATATGGGATGAACAGTTTACAAGATAACAGAAATACAGCTGCTAAAATGTTTTTCATTATTTTGTATTGATAATAGGTATCTGTATCTGTTGGCATTAGGACATTCTCTGATAGAAATATTAAGAATTTCTAGTATTTATTCAAGAAAGTAAATTGTCACGTTTCTTGTTGGTTATATATATCTTGGTAAATTAAATCCATAATTGATTACTAATTGCTTCCTTCACTCGTATAAAGTGTTTTGAATATGAGGGAATATTTTGAAATGATAATTCAATTATTAATTTGTTGATCAGTTGAGAAATTTGGCTTAAACATAACTCTACTAACATTTTGCTTTTTCACCAAATTTGATCCAGTTTCTTCCTTTTCATTTAATTTATCAACTTTTGCCTGTAATCTTTTGTATTCTTGCTGACACTTTTCGTGTGATTTTATCTGCGAGTTGAGATGTGGAAAAATTGAATTATATTTCTTCATGGGATCAACCAATGTCTTCTGGATTAGCTGATTCTGAATACAAAATTGAGTCTACCTGTGAAGTCAGATAGATCTAAGCATGAAATTAAAAAAATGCATAATGTTAATAAATGATTAGTTAAACACAATGGAATATACCGGTACCGGTACTCATGCATTAGCTTAAGTTGAAATTTTCATAATTTATAAATGCAATCATGTTTGCATCATTGAATAACTTTCAGTTGCATCTTTCCCCCAAGTGATAAAACCTTCAGTTGTATTATACAGTTTTGAACACATGCAGCACTTACATCAAGACTAAGGGGATTTCTGGTGCCTAATTTTATGAAATTTATGCGTGAAAACATGGATTAACATATTACAAGTTAGTTATCTGGAAAAATGGCATGTGAAATTGTTCGGGATAAAATCAAAAATTCATGTACAGGGAGTCCTCGGGTTACGACGGTCGCGACTTACGCTGTTTCGAGGTTACGGACGCGCACTCCATAACGCTGTTTCGACGTTACGAACGCACTCCATAAAAAATATAAAAGATAATACTGCACTGTACACTGCACTGTATTTGCTTTTATTCATGTGATATGGAATTGTTTTCTGTTTTTAAAGTACTTTTTTGCATTATTTGTACATTTTATTACAGTACCATACTTTACAATACAGTTCGATATGTATAGAGTAATTTATGTACTGTACAGTATAATGTTCCGACTTACACTAAAATTCGGGTTACACCGTGTCTTGAGAACGGAACAACGTCGTAAGTCGAGGACTCCCTGTATACTATTTTGTAATTGTCCATAGTTTAAGCTTCCCATGTAGTACATAGGGCAGTTTGTTATTTAACTTGTTTGGCATTTTGGCAGAATAAATAATTCACCAACTTTATCTTGAGTCATCCTCCCACAATCACTCATTGTTTTCTTCAGAATATTACCACATTCATTCTCTCCTGTTAATGTGTTAAAGTCTGATCCAACTTTTGTAGCAGCTCTTCCAGCTACAACTGTAGCGTCTGATAATTTTTTACCATCTTTAAAGAGTCTTTTACTTGCTTCTTCCGCACTGTACGAATAAAGGAAATAATGTGTTTTAATCTAATATATCATGGACAAATTGTTAGAATGTAATAGGCATTATTTTTTATATACCAGTAATTATAATTCATAATGATATCATTGGGTATGTTTGTAAATTAATCAGATAATACATATTTCATATTAATACTTAATTTTAGTTTGAGCTTGCACTGGGAAAATCAAATGAAATAACCTTTTTGACTACTGAACAACTATTAAAAACTTCTGAAACTGGATTTTTTTATTCTAATTTCTGGATATGTCATTTTATCCCAAATTGCATTAAACACATGAGTTAACACAGATACGAAAAATCGAATTGCTAAAATAGAAAAAAATATGAATATCAAATCTCATAGTTTTATTTGAACTTGCTCCAGATATGGACAGTCTATATAACAAGAATAAAAATTCATATGTGAATGTGATACATTCAATTATTATAAGGACTATAAATTAAGAATTACATAGCACATAGTACAAATGCAGAAAAACAAATTTTCAATTTTGAAAATACATACTGTTGTATTTTTATATATTCTCTGGCAACGTCCTTTTCCGCTGGAAGACTTTTGCGACCTTTAAACCAGTTTCTGAAACACATACAAAAAATGATTTTTTAACACAGTATGCAGTATTTAAAAGTTTTTCTTTTACCTCCCCCCCTCTTTCAAATAATTAAAATTAAAAAAATAAATCAATAATTAAAGCAAATATGTATAATATGGTCTTTTATACAGACAGTTGTGCAAGAAAAGGTGATTGGTAGGTGTGGTACCGGTAATGTCTGAATGTCCTAACAATTGTAGTCTAGTTGTACAAAATATAATTATTTTTAAACAACTTCTGAGGCCAGTAAGTTTGTGAGAAGACTGAAAATAAACAAAAATAATACGGTACCGTAATAAAATAAATAAACAACAGTACAATACCAGAATACAGCAATAAAACTCACAAGCTCATATCGGTGGTGCACGACCAGGCGACAGCTGCTATTTCCAGGCACAGACGTGCCCTGGTCAGATGAGCAGCAGGCCAACAGATTTGTGAATTTATAAACAACACCCGTCCACCACACTTCAACACTAGGCTACTGGCACTAGTTTAACCGATCACTGGATCAGAAATCGCACTACCAGACTACCGTACCGAACCCGCCTACGTTCGTCCACTTTCAGACTTTCTTTTAGCTATTGATGAGATTTTTTGTCAAATTTAATTTTAGTGACAATACGGAACTTGATTAGTCTTGAAGTCTTAGACAAATCTCAGAGAATCTTAAACATTTGCACCGCTACCGTAACACACCAACCACTGCCATCTAAAGTGACTATAACTTTTATATTCACTTTGCTGCCCTTGGACAATCAAAACATCAGCAAGTAGATAGGTATTTCTAAATAAACACTAGTTGTCGATAAAGAGCAGACTTATTGGGCACTAAATTAGGGTTAGTTCGGATTAGGATTAAGATTCACATATTTATCCCGGGGGAGAGGAAAGCCGATGAGACGGCTTATCCATATGGCGAACCACGGCCTCTCGTCCGGTTACTATTCCAAGTCGGGTATGGGATTAGTTAGTTATACTGTATTGTTTGTTTTCGGAAACATGGACTTGGTGGTGGAGGAAGCCGTAACCGACCAGCGGTTACGTGAACCACCCAACGACGGCGAGGAGTCCAGCAATCCTCTCGCACATAACCATCCCTGCATGGGAATCGAACCTGCGAACCCACGCAGAGTAATTAGAGGTGCGGTGGCGAGCGTATTCCTAACGCTTAACCCGTTGAGCCACACCGCCGCGCCAACCTATAATTTTTACTATCCGGATAACGGATATATCCGGGTATTCCGTATTTTAACTATACGGTTGACCGGATAGTTACTGCTAATTTTAAAGACCCGATTTCGCAAGATTTTTACGGCGAATTGACCAAAAACCACCACACAGTTCTATTGTGAATAGCTCAAATTCGCAAGATCGCAAAAATACGAATAAAAACTGAATTTAATTGTGCATCTTACTACGTATTTTCATATACCGGTATGCAGAATGCGGTGACATTTTATAGTAGAAGTGCTTTAATTTTAACGTATGTCGACGCAATCGAGAGATACGTTGAACAGAGTTATTATGGAAAGACATTTCAAAATGCTCGAATCAGCCACAAATTGGTTATTTTGCGCAATAGGAAAATTTAAGAAGTTGAAAACATGCACATTACATGCATTCGTATACCGAAAATTTAGAAATGCTACACAGATCACATAGATTACGAAGTATTTGGAATTAAGTCCTGGCTTGTTCCATCATGAAATGCGTTCCTTCAATACACGCAATAAACTAAAAGCCACACCCGACCAAAAAGCCACAAACTCACACCCACACATTCAATGCTTTTCAACCTAATTGGTGGCTAAAATATGGGCAGAGTAGTGTGAATAAAAGGTGTTATTATATGCTCTGGAGTCTGGGAGAAGTCAAGACGCCACTCGACAAAAAATATAAAAATTACTAATGCGCATATACATTATTTATATTGCTCTATTATCCGGTTAACCGTCATAATATTATCCGGATATCAGATAGTAAAATACCTCTCTGTTATCCGGATAACCTCTATCCGGATAATCCAACCCTACATTAAATGCGCATACATGAATTCACATTCAACCATTTTTAAACTTAAGAAACCCTATAACTAAACGGAGAACATATTGTCAAAATCAATTCATGAAATACTGTATTCAGATTCGTTCGGTATTTTAGTAAAAATAACGTGCACATGTACCGTAGGCCTCCCTCCATATGTGATGAGTAATTTATTTTCCCGCCAATACTGAAAATATGCAACTTACATATACGAGTCTGCGTGAATACCTGAACGGGATGCAACTTGAATAATATTGATACGTGTAGCTCATAAAGTATGCTACAAGAAGAGTATTCTTTTCTTACGGTATAAGGTGAGATCCGATGAGTTTTCATTGTTGTTTACAAATAATAACACTACCAGACTACCGTTATACCTAGATAAAAACTGTGCTCACAAACAATTTCAGAGTATGTAAATTGTAAGTATATCACTTTTCGTTTCAGACGTTCACAATTTGAACACTTACAGATGAAAAAACATGCTTCATGCTTGAGCTCTTAAAACCTAATCACCAAATTTGCTGTACATAGATAGAAATACCAAGCCAACTATTCAAGAATATCTTAAAAAAAACTGGCTTCTGTGGGGTACATACTGAAACAATAAAGGGGTTTAATCAGTCTACTGTATGGTATACAAAGTTCACAATTACAGACTTCCGAACTAGCATTTACCTGCCGTGTTTCTACTGGAATTGTTTGAGCAAGGAGTTTGAGTGATGTCAAAGAAGCTCTTACAGATGTTAAAAATGAGAGAACCGTAACCAGTTTAGTAAAATCTCTAGAAAATACTGAACTATTAGCTAGCAACCTTTCAATTATCCACTCTTGCCTGGAACCTTGAAGACAGCCAAAATGTAATTAGTAACAGAGGAAGTCTACTACTATTGTGTTCTTGTATTTACGCATATTTTTAACAAGTTATATCTCACACACAAGTTGAATAAATTCCATTGTGTATTCTTACCTGGGGATGGCACCCGTAACAAGAATGATTACTATTCCCAAAATGCTGAATTGTTATAAGAAATTAAGGTAGTACAGTGATTTTGTCATTTGCACCTGAGAAAAAAAAAAAACACTGGGCATCGGCGTAATCTATATGCTAATATGTGAGTGAAGCGATGTCTTCTATCTGTGCTTGGGTATATTTAGATCAAGGATAGCATAGCAAAATTCTATATTTGACCATAAACTGCCGATTGTGACTTTTCATAATTGGAACTGAGAGGTTCCAAGAAATCAGATACAGATTTTCTGCTTATGGTGTTCTTTAGTGATGTGCTTGCTATTTCAATCATATGAAACTTCTGTCCGTAATTTTTTTTATAAATGAGAATGAGAAGTTCCCAGCATACAGATACAAGTCTTCTTAAGAAAGGTGGTTTTGTATTTCAACCAAATGATCCATGTACAATTACACAGCAACTATGATGATTGATGAATGTTGTATGAGCTCAAGCATGGAGGGGTTCTGCTGTAATTATCGGTATTCAAATCGTGAACATCTGAAAAAATGTGATATACTTTTTCAACATAAGTATGCCATCATTAATGATCAAAGCTATAACCAATCTTATCTCATACCATTTGCAGAAGTAAATAGGATAACTTTCATTTACTTTGACATACCGGTACTTTTTGAGCTGCTACCACCGGCACCCAAGGCACCTGTACTCATAAGCAACCATACCTCCCATTTCAACACGATTTTTTACTCAAATGACATATTGTCTCAGAATACATTTAGTTTTTTCCCAATAGTATCTTTTAGTTCCCGCTACGAAACACCGTGACATTCCAGTATTCATAAGAAACAATGCAAGACAGACCTAGTCGCGTCGGCCTTCAACAAGAAAAAGCAGTCGTCACCTCTTTTTGCATCAAATCGCAACAGGTCAAAGGTTATGAATGTCCCTTATTGGACCTTTCTACGAGCATCGACTTCCTCGTTTACTTCGTCTCATTGGCCAATCAGCAAGATCCAAAAACTGACGTAACAATGCTCCCTTTTCGCATCCGCTCAGACACCTTTTTCACTCAGACAGATCTTTAGGCGTGGCCGTAAACATTACCTCGTTTTCGCTTTTTTGAACCGCTGTTGCTTTTAATGTCTTTCGTGTTGCATCAATTTGCAAATTCTAGACATTAAGGTGTCCCAGAATGGTTTAGCACTAAGTTGGGAACCCTAACTTCAATTCACCTTGAAACTGGCAACCTGGGACAGTCCGCTTCGTTCAGGATATGGTTTTTGCGGAAATTGTGGGTAAAATTTTTCGTTTTGGCCTCCATATTGAGAATTGTCTTCTTGTTATTTATGAACTCAGATGAAGGAAAACCTCGAAGCAGGCAAAAAACAACTCTCATAGGTACACATTATGACGCAACAATGCAAAGTAAAGACTAGTGTGGTGTACATTGCAGTGTTGCCAACTTGGGTTATTTTAATCTAGATTTAGATTATTTTCGTATAATTTAGATGGAAGAAATACCTATTTAAATGTCAGATTATTTTTTGGATTATTTTAGTATTCATTTAGATTATTTTGACAAATGTTATTTTGCATTGTTCTTTAGTGACAAAAAAGTGAAGTTCGTTTCACTAGTACCTAACAGTACATTTAAAGAGATAGGATTCCTGGATATAATACAGAAAAGTTTTCCAATCAAGATTAATAGTGTTCAAAACAAGGAGAGAGGTTAGCCAAAATATTGTCAAGTATTGAATACTCTGAAAGTGGCGTGAACTGAATGCTGTTGTTATGCGAAAATCTGAAATCACGAAATACTGTTGTTCACTAATTTTACCCCTATAAGTAGGGATGGGAAATTAGAATAATTTACTATTCTAGAATACTTTAATTGAATCCAGAATACCGAATCATATTCTATTTTTATTGTTATTTAAGTTTGGGAATTCTCCCACCATATTGATGGATTATAAATAATAAAAAAATCAGTTAGACCGGCTATTCTAAGATGATACGATAGCATCCATATATATCCAGTTATAGGAAACTCAATAATAGACTAAATTTATATGATCTTTTATATTTACAGTTATATCTTGTATTTTTTGAAGAAGTTAGTCCATGATCTAACGAAAGCTCACGAATATACTTACTATTTCGTTGAAAGAGATCATGTTATTTTTATTCTTCTAAATTAATTGCAAATAATATTTTAACATCTGACGTCTGGTACACATCATTTTCCGTGAGAACTCGGAAGGACGCAACAAGCTTTCAATTCTTTTCATGATAAATACTTCAGTTACACTACTTATGTTCCAAAAGACGTGTTGATATAAGTAATTATTATTCTTTACGGCAAAATTTTCGTTTTTTTTTTTATTGAAAATGTAACTTTCGTATATTTGGATTATAATTTTTTAAATTTAAATTATTTTAGATTTTTTGTTGTTGAGATTCTAGATTATTTTATCGCTGAATAGTTGGCAACCCTGGTACATTGCGATTCCGTTTACTCGATATAGTAATCGGATGGAATAGGTAGATAGCCTACTGCGCTCGCCAAGTCCCGCTCGCTTTCTATCTTTCTCTTGCGCGTTTCACTTGTACAATTGGTTATCACTGACAAGATGAATTTGTTTTGTGACAATTTTCCATAGGGCATAGTTGCCAATCGTCTACTAACCGAACACCGCCTTAATGTTACTAACTGGGCCTCCTCTTTTTATCTCTTTCTTTGGACATATATAAAAAATCAGTCCGACAGACACAGGGCTTCTATTATATATATATATATAGCAGCTTGCTTTTGTTCACCGCTACATAATGACCAAATTAATAGTCCCATGGGACAAATCATGGCTTCGACGAATAGTGACTTGTAAATAGTATGATACTGAAGTAATATGTATATATAATGATTGCTACATTTCTTGCTGTGTAACTGCAGTTGAATAGCATTTGTGATGACCAGTGATTCAAATCAAATGATTTTATCACCGTTTCACCACGTTTTGACACTGTTTTTCAAACGGTTGATGAGCACCTGAGAATGTGTAGTCAACATTGTGCTATCCGGTAGTCGAAGAAAATTAAGAAAAACGTGTGTTTTCAGAGGTCTTGTGGGTCTAAAAAGCATTTCATGCTACGAAAAATTGCCTTGTATGATACCGAAAAAGTATTGTACATATCGAGCAACAAATATGCAGCTGTTTTCCATGATAGTACGGGAAATGATAAAGAGAGCCAGAGCAGACAAAAATGTTACAAATTCTGTTGGTTAAACTTTTTCTTCTGATTAGATCAAAACAATTTTTAGTTTTTCCAAATTCGAAGACGTGATAAATTGGTAAATTATTGCGCAGTCAAAGATTTACTGATTTTTGCGTACATGTTATGCAATTGATGATATATATTACTAGACTGAACTTTTGCTACAGCGCAAGCAACCCAATAATATCTGGTGACGCATTATGAATATAATGAGATTCATTGGGATATTCAGCTTATTACATTGTTGTAAACATAGTTTCAACAAGAGCGTGCGTATTTAGAGTATAAGTTATACAAAGATCACAAAATGTTATGAACTAAAGTTTGATTTAGAAAATTTGGACTTTGTTCAAAAACTTGTTACATTGTCTTCTGGATTGTGACGTATGTTGTCAAATGACTGTTTTCGTTCGGAATGATCTTTTGATGTATTAGCAGATTTTTGATTCATCTTCCGTTTTTTTTCTAATAACTGAAATGAGAATATTAAAATAATCCTTGCACCATAATACATCAATTGTGGTTGAAACGTATAAGGAACACATTGATGTTATAGTAAAATTACTCTACACTTATCAGTACCTTAATTAAACATAAATACAATCTAGTTGTCTCAATCATTTTTCTACAGTGCACTAGCATACAATCAAATTGCTTTATAAAGCTACTAGTTAAGAAGAAGTTTCCAATTTGTATTCAAAGTATATATATGTAAAACATAAAGTCATACTAATCAAATCTGGATCTGTTTGGAACAAAGTTGCGAAACAATTAGCAAATACTGGCTAGAAAAGCGAATGTAGGTCAGTGTTCACTTTGGATTGATCTATGTGGGGTGAATGGGGTGAAAGAATATGCAGAGAACGTAAAAAGAATTCAATGTGATACTAACCTCTACAGCAAGATACAAGCTCATTCCAACAATTAGAAAACTGAGAAGTACGTATAATTTGACGTAGACACAAACGTAACTTTGGTAAGCGAACGCAACAACAAATCCTATGGATTCCCATAACTTATAGTTTGAAAAACTTTCTTCTTGTCGGTCAAAGAAAAGTACGCCGTACAAAGCTGCAAAACATTGGGTTATTAGTAACTTTTGCTATAATAAAGTAGCGATTCGTGACGTTGAATTAAATTTTTATGTCTCTAATTCTTGAACTAGAGAAAGGAGTAGGGCGCTGATACAATTTAACGTCTGCCAGATTTTTACAGGCCTCGAATCCAAACAAGACACTGAAATTGTGAAAGCACCTCACAATAGAAAAATTTTTTTGAACTAGAACTGAAGCTGTTTAAAGAAAATCCATTCCTAATCAAAGAAGTATCCATATCTCATATTATTGTATTTTTCGAAAATAATGAGCTCTGCCTTTATGTAACAAATTCCTACTATTTGTTGAAACTCAATCAAAATTTAACTTGCATTTCAAACACCAAAACAATATTTGAACTCACCGTTCAGCTGCGTTTGCCATACTGCATCAGCAATTCCCCAAAACGCTGGAATAATAAAGAAGGGAGCTGGACTCGTTGGGTAAGGAACCCATACCTGTTAAAGAGTGAATAAGACTGTACATGCTGTAATGTTCTGTAATTATGAATTGATTATCATATATCAATAATTACTTACTAGTAGTGTGATAAATATCGCAAGAAATATGAGAGTTGACATAGAAAACAGAGGCACTCGACCCGTGTATTTTTCAATTCGTCCGAACATAAACGAACAAATAGAATCAACAGCTCCAAAACAAATCATCGTCAGGCCAATCCAGTTGACAGCAATCGGACATGTTATAAATGACTGTAAAATAATTGCGCATTCACTGAACAAAAAGTGATTTATTGATTACTCTGGTGTGCTGGAATAATGAATCAGTTGAAGAGCAATGTTATCATTTGATTGAATGTTATCTACGCAGTGCAAACTTCAGGATTTGATTTGAAATTTTCAAATTCTGTAAAAAATTATTCAAAATTGACACCTTGGTGTAATCACCCGTTATAAAAGCTTGTTCAAATCCCGAGTATATTGTGATGATTATCAACATTATTTGATATTGATTTTTCATATGAGAGAATGTTCCGATTAGGAGTTCCTTCGCTCCTCGGCTTTCATTGTTTCTATAAAAAAATAGCCATTTTTGTATTCATTTAAAAACAGGCGGTACATTTTATTATGACAGGTTTATGAGACTACAAGTTAATAGGAGAGGATAGACTCACAATTAGATGACGATACATTTGAGGTTGTGCGAAAAACTTTTTACTCGAGCGTTACCAATATAGTTCGTCGAAAAATGGAATATGACGTCGATTATTATTGAACAATGGAGAAATTATGTTCGATCGTGGATCATGGCAATGAACAACCCAACCATGATAGGCGCTCATTGAATTGGCGCCCTTGTTCCCGTATCACGTATCTAATTCAATTCAAGGATACAGAAGCACTCGCTAGTAAAACATTCCCGTTTTCTCTTGCCGATAAATTGAAACTTCTACTCTAACATTTTGATTTTTTTGAAAAATTCACTTTAGAAGAAGAAAAGAAAAATATTTTTCATGCTTAATTCTTAAACAACAAGTCTCGTAACAACTAGTCGTAAAGTGTAACAGTCACGTGATTGATTACGTAGGTTGAAAATTTCAGAAGTCTAACCTGATAATAATCTTGTCCACGAATAATCCTACATTGGCTGCGGCTAAAAAACCAACTGCCGTGTAGATTCCCATCAATATATAAATGGTCTCATTTGGAATTGCTTCGCTGGTTGATTCGTCTAAAATAGAGACTATTGTTTGAGAGAATGTTGTATGAGAGGTATATATTACTTAGTTCATCTGTAGAACGTGTTGCGATTAGAACTATTCTAAAATATGGAACAATTTGATGTAGAATTATACGATACTTAATATCATTTTCATATAAAATATGTTTTTTTTTCCTTTTTTTATTCAAAAAGTTCATTATTTACTATAATAATCTTGTAATGAAATTTTGAGTCAAGTAAGAGGATACGAGTAAAACATCTTTATTTTATGTGTAATTAAAAGAAATTTCATGATATAATATTTTCTGTCATCACTGAAGAGGGTCAGTGTGTGTCAGTTAATAAAACAAATTGGATTTTATAACGTGACGGTGACACAAACAAGTAATAGCTAAAATATGTACCGAACATGGACGACTTGTCCAGTCTTATACTATAGTAAAACTGGTATGTTGTGTGTTGTATGTTTTAAACATTGAACCGTGTTTGTCTGAGTTAATAAATAGCCTATAATTTCTTTCGAATAAAATCATCTCTACCTCTTCCAGTTCCATTCTGACAATCATTGGCACCACAGAACTCCGCGATTCTCAACTTTTCTTCTTGGCTGACGCTATCTGGGAACTCTAAGATAAAAAAAAATTGCTTTTTTTATTACGAAGTATACATTTATGAAATATTTAAAATTGTTATGTACTTGATTTTATGTAATGTTTCTGACTTGCTGAAAACTTTGGCTTTGATCGTCTATCAGTTCAGGAATTGGGCTAATAGCATTAATTACTCAACAACCGACACGTTGAACCTGAAGTGATATATTGAACAATAAAGCATTGTTCAGAAACAAGAGAATAATCACGATTTTGGCAAGTAACATTATTAACTTAAATAACTCAAAGAAAGATAAGATAATTGAGGCTGAAATCGGGTTAACTGATAATTTGCGTACGTGATGTCTACCAGTTGCCTGTTTCCGTTACGTGTATATGTAGGTAGGGCGACCCGCGAAATGATTTCCCCATCTGTCTTCTCTGGCGTTAATGTAGGCATATTTCATTTATTTGGTAATAAATAACGAGTGATCTTACATTACTCAGACACCAAAAGTTATTCATGAATTTTGTTTTGCATTTCTAAGCTAGTGGCTCTCAACTTGTGGTACGCGGAAGCTTTTTGAGTGTTAGACGAGTAGTTTGAATTATTGAAACAATAATCTTTTAAATTGGCTAAAATATGGCTACAACGCTTTATCTTCCATACTGTATGTATTCGAATTAAATTCTTTCAGCTCAAACAACAGACGACGCAAATTCTCTTCCGATTTTTCACACGAATACGTTGTTACTTCATAAAATTAATACGTTGGAACTTTGCAGAAAGGTCTAAAGTTGATGTAGTGCCACATAAAATACTCACATAGCGCGTTGCTTGTGCCATTGTTCCCCACCCCAAAAGGGGGTTTTGTCGTGTCCAGATAAAAAACACAAAAGTGGTACGCAATCACTAAAAGGTTAGAAACCTCTGCTAGCGAAACAGATAGGTTTGAGTTATCCAACATTTATTAGATCTTTCAAAACTTTCTTTGATTAGAACATGCAATACATCTATTGTATGCAAACTTATGGTGTTACTATATATATATATATATATAAAGTGTGTTATCAATTTATAAAAATCATCATTTGACTATATGTATTATTTTGTTAGGTGGTTTTATGGATACCCTGCATATTCCTAAATAGCAGTTTGCGTATTTCATAACTATCGACTGTGACTCAGGTTATAGCATCCTTATACAATTTTTCGTAATGGTTATCAAAAAAGTATTTGATCGCGATGAACCATTTGCCCTTTACGGTTAAATTTCGTATAAATATGCATTTAGTTTGTCCCGTTGTCAAAAGTCACGAATGCAAAGTATGCAGAAAATTGTTTAAAGACGTGACTGTGAACATGTCCACTATATATTTTATTTCACTATTACGTTTTACTGGTATGGCAATCCTCGCAGATTCAACATTTCTTTAGATATCTTATTCTATATTAGTAAATAACGACGTTCTACATCACATCCAATAAAGACCACGCATACAATTGGTAATGTAATTGGCATCGGATCGAATTCCCTCTTATAATATTGTTTTATCATATATAGAGAGAGAGTAAAAGTGGCATGTTTATATTATATGATGACCATATTCAATGTTGCTTACATTCCCTAAAATGACCCAATTACAAAGTGTTTATATAAATAAAAATGTCATTTCTCAGAGTTTACATCGACAGGTACGCAATCTTTTGAATGAAATATAAATACACTAACTTACACGTTTAGTCTACAAGATTCTCACCTAAACTCGTTGTGTTAGCCGTCGATAAAACAAATGAAGAAATCAAATTCCCAATGATTTGATTCATTTGAAATATTAGGAAAAATATTCCGAAAAATCTGTTGATAACAGCATCTACACTCTCCCGCGACAATCGTGCATATCTAATAATAGAAAAGAGATGGAATACATAATAAGACAAATATATATAAGATTTCAGTTAGATTAACATTAAATTTTAATAGCAAACTTCATTTAACGCACCGTTTGGCAGCTGTTGTTAAATACGTGCATTTTGCTGACCACAAAGGAGCGCCAGAAATCCCTAGAATAATAGATCCGGGAACCAATGTTCCCCATGTCGGATAGAAGTTTGCAAGTGAATACGTTGTGTAACCCAGAATCGCACCGAACATCGTCCATTTGCATCCGAGATGTCTTATCACTGAAAATCAAAAAAGAAAACTAGTTGTAATAATGGTAAGCTCCGGATTTAAATCATTTAAATAAAAAAGGTACCGTAGTTTATGTGTACCATTTGTACAATTATTATAAATGTGTAACTTTGCAGTTTCAATTTGATATTTTAATCGCTAGGAAATTTAAATTAATTGAATACAAATTAATTAATGAAACAATTAACGTAATGTACTAACACTTTCCTTGTGAGAATGCTCACTCAATTGGTTCAGACTTTCTGACCCTTGTGTACTTGCGCAATCAACACAACATAAATCGAGCATTTTGAACTGTCTATCATTTTTTAACTGAACAGACAATTGCCACGATACCAGTAACAATATAGTATTATCCATTTACAATCTTTGATTCAGTTATAAAGAATGTTTCTGAAACTATGAAAACATGCAATGTTTTGTTGATTGCGTACGAGTAAATAAAAAAACACTAACCATAAGTTGGTGTAAACAATGAGGAGATAATCAGAGTTCCATATATGATAGATAGAGATCCCGTTCCCAAACCTTCATCCGAATTCAAACTAGACTGAAGATTTGATATTCCGTGGAATGCAGTGAAATTCAGAAGAAATGACAAACAAATTAAGAGGATGTTCTTCATAATGTTGAATTTTTCTTTCCTAAAACGGCAGTAAAAAATCACTTAAAATCAAGAGTCGCATTCCATTCAGTATTTGATTAACACTATATTTTGTTAAGTATATATCATCACTTGAGAACTTGAAGTTTATCTGCTATTTTAATTATACCGCCGACAAAGTGCTGGTCAAGGCGATAAAAAATAAAGTTGCAAAACTTCATTTAGTTTACCTGACGGCATCGTGATCGGAAAGTGAAACTTCCTCGTATTGAGTGGCATTGCCGGGCGTTGGTGCATCTTTGCTAGGATTCCCTGCCTCCATTTTCACAGCAATTCAAAAATAATTCTCCAGTAAAGAACAGCGCTACTGTGTTCAAAAGATAAGCTTTACATATTAACGATATATTGGTGATTTAAACATAATATATGTATAAGAGGTATATAAAAGGTATTATTTTTTGAACGAAAATATTCGAGTGATACATTTGTAATCGTTTTGAAAGAAAGACCTTTTTTCCTCCCCGCAAGCGCTTATAACAAAATACAGTAGGCTAATATACAAATGACAATCTCATACAACTTTATTGTTTATCCCGTCAGACTTCATCTCGAATGGCGAAATATAAACAAGTCAAATTTTGTATCGGATAAAAATAACACTACACTGCATCTTGCCTGTACCTCATTTAATCTTCCCTTCTAATAATATTTTCCCACGATCAACGTTCATTTTTATCGAATAAAAGAGACTGATTCTGCTATATCATTTTGCAACGCAAACAGCTAATCCTATCACAGACTATATCCCATCATTTCATTATTTGTCAACGTGCATGAATTCTTTTGTTGCAATGAGATCCTCGTAGTACAGAAATTCGAAGTTGTTTGCAGTCACAGATTACATATTTACTTTGCTGTCTTTACTACATACCCACAATATGAAGAACGTCATTAAATTATTGGTAAATTTAAACTGAAGTTAGAGTTCTGTAGCGAACGTGCCTTGTGTAACTATGAATTATAAGTGTGTTCCATTTCACACAGTAGGTCATTTTATTGTTGCAACACGGATTACTGATTACATGTACTGCCTTTCTCGTATCGACCAATTTGATGATGTATCGTTCCGGCTTGCCGAGAGGGCTGCATAATATTGTGTTTCGATTCACTTCTGTTTTACTGCGTTAAGTGTGATGTGTTTTGGTTCACCCCTGATTTACTGTGTTAAGAGTTAAGTGTGTCTCAATTTTATCTGTTTTCGGAATTTGGATTGTGCATCTTCCTATAATATACAACAACGATTAGCATCAACAACATTCCACAACGCGTGTCAAAACAATAACGCGGGAATCGAACTTAAATATATAGGGTGATAGTCTTAGATATATTTCATGTAATTCCGTTTATAATTCTCCAGTTACCATCGCTCCAAAGCGGGGTTCTAATGCTATTAGGCTGTGCCTTGATTTTCGATTTTTGAATTCAATCACGATCAAGGGAAAACACCCCGTGCCACACTTGTACGATTTTGTCAATAAATTGCACGGCTGTCGACATTTCACTACACTTGATCTCACAAAAGCTTATAATCATATTCCTATCTTGGAATCGGATCAACCAAAAACAGCCTTTTCCTGCAACAATAAGATGTACATGTTTAAAACTCTTTGTTTCTGGCTAGCATCTGCCCCAGCGACGTTCAATTATTTCATGACCGAAGTTTTAGCGAACATCGAGAATATATTTGTATTCTTCGACGATATTCTCATTGCAACCAAAACAGAGGAAGAACATTAGATCAAGTTCTAGAACGCTTACACAATTATAGACTTACTATAAATCCAGATAAATGCCATTTCAACAAATCAGAAATTAAATTCTTGGGCCATCATGTTACGCCCGAAGGAATACAACCCTTAGCCGACAATGAGGCAGTATTGCAAAAATATCCTCAACCGAACACACTGAAAGAAATAAGATCTTTCGTTGGTCTTTGTACATATTATAATCGTTTTGTAAAGAACTTTGCTACCATTATACGACCATTAAATGAGATGACAGTTGGGAAGCCTAGTAAACGTTCTCGAATCAAATGGAATGATGAATCTTTGAAAGCTTTTGATGACACTAAACATGCTTTAGCCAATGCTACGCTGTTGGTTCATCCACATCATCAAGCACCCAGTTCTTTAATTACTGATGCATCTGACATTGGAATATCAGGTGTTTTGCAAATGTTTGAAAATAATCAATGGAGACCTCTGGGCATGTTTTCGAGAGCCCTTCCTGGCCCCCAGAAAACTTATTTTACTTTTGGTAAGGAACTTTTGGCTATTTTTAAATCTATCAAACATTCTCGGCATGAATTGACAGGCAGGAAATTTCAATTAATCTCAGACTCGAAAAGCCTGGTACAGGCTATTCAAAGTCCGAAAGAGCGATTTATCCAACGGGAGGCCCGTCAGCTTGAATACATATCAACTTTCGATTTCACAGTAAAACACATTTCCGGTGCATTGAATATCGCAGCGGGCACATTGAGCCGAATTGAAATTCCCCCCGCAGAGCATGGTGGAATAAATGCCATTGTTCCTCAACAGGAAATTATCCCGTTAATTGATATCTATAACGCACAACAAAATGACCACGAGCTAAAGCAACTTCTAACAAACGCAAGCAAGCATTCTCTACAGTTAGTACAATTACCAGTCCCAGGATTGGCAAGAAACATTATTTGTGACGTCAGCCTCGCTGGCAAACCTCGAACATATATTCCAACTTCATTACGATATCGCATTATCAACCTAACTCATAATTTGTGTCATCCAGGAATATCAGGAACTCAACAACTTATAAAAGACAGGTATGTCTGGCCGAATATGAGTAAAGACATCCGTAAGTTTGTTCGTGAGTGCATACGATGCCAGAAAGCAAAAGTTCAACGACACATACGCACAGAATTCAAAAACATCAAAGTTCCAGATGAACGTTTTAGCACTATCAACGTAGATTTACTTGGACCACTCCCTCAATCTCATGGTTATGTTTATTTGCTTATGATAATTGACAGATATACAAGATATCCAATTTGTGTTCCATTGAAGGACAGTTTAACTAATACAATCGTATACGCTTTCACTAATAATTATATAAGCCATTTTGGTGCTCCTAGTACCGTTATTACAGATAATGGACCGCAATTTACATCAACAACTTGGAAAGATTTCATAACGTTCCTTGGTTCAAAACATATATTAACAGCGCCATATCGTCCTCAAGAAAATTCTTTAGTTGGGCGTCTTAATCGAACTGTTAAAGCTTCTCTTGGAGCTTGTGAACATCCATCTGACTGGTTTCCGAATTTGGGTTTTGTATTACTTGGTATTCGATCAGTTGTTAAAGAAGATTTGGGTTTCAGCCCTGCTGAGTTGGTTTACGGATCAACATTACGCCTTCCAGGACAGTTTGTGGAACCGCAACCAGACGCGACAAATACTGACCCTCATACATATGTAAATAAACTTATGAGATTTTTCAGAAATCTCTGTTCAAATCCAACACGCAAACAGCCTCCAAGGAAAACTTATATACCAAAGGACTTGAGAAATTGTAGTCATGTTTTTATCAAAATCAGTCGATCAAGAAATGGACTGGAGAACTTCTATGAAGGACCTATCCAGGTCTTAAAACGTGGAAGTAAGCATTTTAGCGTCGACCGGAACTCAAAGCCGTATGAATGTTCAATTGACAACTTAAAAGTTGCACACCTACCAACTTCTGACCTATTGCATGAAGATATTGAGGATAGGAATCTTGGCGCCAAATCAAATGAACGACCGGCGAGCGATATCACGGTTTCGCGTCCACGGACTTTCAATTTCAATATTTCAAATAATAATACGATATCCGATACAAGCACGAAACGATCAAATTGCGATGCAATAATTCATTTTACAGATTCAGCGCATCGACTGGGGCCGTCTCCGGAAATGTCAAATCAGCAATAATCAAATCGGCCGCGAAGGCTGAGAAAACGCCCACGCCATTTAAGCAAAGACTTTATTCTTTCAAGCGAATTTCAGGTGAATATCTGATGACCATATTTCACTACACATTACTTTGCTTTGTCATGCTTTGTATGAGAACGCAAGCCGTTGAGGGACCACTGAAATTATGCCACAAATCGTTACATGGGCAGACTTACGACATACGCAAACCAGCTATTTGCAATCGACACAACCGATAAAGAATTGTTCAGCAAACATCTACATCTACCCTTCTTGCAAGTGTTGATACCAAGATCGTAAACGTACGACCTACTGGCGAACCATTTCATGGCTGTTCTTCGTCAAGCGCAACCAAAAACACGTTCAAATACCTCAGCCAATGCGCACCCAATTCCGGTTTTTGCCGGAGCAGTGGGTTTACATTTGTTTGAAATGTTGAAGATTGGAAAGCTTGTAGAGCTCGCAACTTTCCGAAATTCAACGCTACCTAACTCTTGTTACATTACAATGTATCGGGCAATCTTACCGATTGGAAATACCGATCATTGGCCAAAGCCTTACCTTCGAAACTTGCTCTCAACTAACGGAATCTTGCTTTGAATCAAACGAAGTCTATCGTACATACAATGGCTTAGTTTTAAACGTAAATGACAGCTGCGAAACATTGTCAGATTACGTCATAGAGGCGTGGCCGCTATTTGGCCTCATTTACGCTTTATTCGTTGTACTCCTGCTTTACATAGGTTATTTCATCTATCGAAGCTTGCCAAACTGCCGAATGTCCGTTCGCCGTGCATTAACAAATGGATTGCTGCAACCAATACAACGACTTCTCAGCATACCACGACAACCCGTTGTACAATTCAACGAACAACAAGAAATACACCCGTTATCCGATGTCGAAATTGACGATGAATCGATGGAAAATGCTAGCAACTTCTCAGATGCGAGCGCCCGCAAGCTCAAATGGAGTCGAAAGTTTGACTGTAACAACCTTTTAATTTATTCCCACCTATTCGATTTCAAGTCGATTTCGGCGGTCGTTGCGAATTGTATATGGTGTGTATCTCGCAATGTATCGCCTCGTTATTAATCATCTTGTATTTTATCACTTTATTCGTCTTGTATTTTATTAATTTTTCTCTTATTATCCATTATAAAACATCAAAACACTTTACTATAAGAATTTAATTATAAAAAAAAACATACAAATAAAAAATTGTGTAGTGTCAGTTTTCTTTTCTGTGTATGTACTTGTAATTACTTGTTATTAATCTATGTGTTGTTTTTTAGATATCATGAGTTCTTTTACTTCATACAAAATTTGATTCAGGTACAATTTCAGGGATTCAATGGTTCAATAATCTGTCAAATTACTAATTATTCAATTTACAGGATTTTTTCTCATTATTTTGTTTCAAATAATCTCTAACGCCAATTTTACAATCTTAAACACCAAACCAATTTCGGTGTGATACTTAAATACTAAATCCGCCATTTGTTTCTTCTTAGGCACCTTCTTTAAACATCAAAGCCGTTTTACATTCTTTTAGGTCCCTTCCTTCAAGTATTGTCGCCATTTTGTTTACTATTGCGTTACAATTTCATTTTAGAATGTTAAGCATTTCTAAGCAACATAGAGACCCTTTGAATTTTTTTCTCGTATTTTTGTTTTCTCTCGTAAACGGCGTATATTCTCTCGTATTGATTCGTTGCGTAAACTTAATGGTGCGAATGACTCAAAACTAAAAATGACTTTATACAGTACATACGTTAAAACGTATGCGTTGAAAAACCATATTGTTCGCTATATAACATAACACATAACATATTTCTATATATTTTTAAAACGATTTGGATGCGATGTTTTTAATTACTAAAATATTTTTTCATAGTCACGTTCTATTTGTCTGCTGCTTTCGATATAGCAAATTGCATGAGATAACAAAGAAGTATGTAGTGAACACGAGAACAGTGGGTGTTAACATCGCCATTTTACTTATTCCTGTCAACTAAAAGACAGTAAAGAAAGTCAATGTTCGAGAAAACATTCATGTTCGTGGGCACAAAGATTATATGAATTGCCAAACAGTGCAACAAATTTTTTTTAATATCAGTCAAATATGACCGTTTGACCGACCGTTTCGCAGATCTTGCTAAACAATGAACGTACCTTGCGTATGAATCATTGATTCCGTTAAATACATACACAGTATGCAGTGGCGTGTCTAGAGGGGGCCAAAAGGGCAGCACATCATAGGGGTAAATTTTTGGTTAGTTTGATTATTTAAATAATAATAATATTACAAACATTTTACTCTTACTTAACTTTTAATTTATGTATATATAACTTTATATAATTTATGTGTTATGAATAATCTCATGTAGGTGGTGGCCCAAAAGTAGGTACATAGTTATTAAACTGTTTTATATGCTTTGAAGCATAGTACCACAAAAATTGCTTATTTTTTCAGATAATAAATCTAGTGTGAATTTAACATTAGTTTTCTAGCTGCTTGGAAGGTAATAAAAAATAAACAAAATAACTGTATACCTATTTTTGGGCCACTCTGAACAAAATCTATAATTTGTTTATTCTCCAATTATTTTTGAAGTTAGGTATGAGGGGCAACATTATCAAAAACTTCCCCGACCAGCAGAGAAGTTTGACACGCCACTGACAGTGAGGGACTGAATTTTTTTTTTTTATATCAGATACAATAATATGCACACCATAAAACAACAGACGGGAAAGCGAACAAAATTTAAAGCAATATCTAAACACAATTAAGCATGCTCGCTTACCTCACGGTCAAATAAAATTTCGAGAAAAATCGGGCTCGATTTGCTAATTCAATACAATGCTAAAAATTCAGGCAAAGATCAAGGTCAAAAACAATTTTGTTCAGGAATATACTAAGCGTTTTTATTCATGACTTCTCTTTTTGAGTGGAAGCTTTCCCGAGCATTCGCTTCTCCGGCCAATGTACTTGTACACTTTTGTACATTGTACGCTTACACAATTTTGTTCGAAGATTTTGAATGATGACTTTAAAGCATTTCTTCGACCTGAACTGTTGGTAAAATGGAACTAACTTCTTTTATATAACTAAATACCGTACAACATAAAGTTGTATTAGTTTGTAACTTTAACCATTATATTGAATCGGATGATCTCAAACTCAAACATACTGTCATGGGTCATTTGATCTTCGAGTTTTACCGGGAAAATAAGGCATATTACCTTTTTACTCAATAAAACAATCTCGACCAAATCGTTCCCGTTCTATGTGGGAAATATCCTCCAAACTAGCCTTTCCTTTGTTGCCCATCAGATAATGGCCTCCAGGGACGATTGTAAAACATCTGTGAGCTAACAAAATTGTTACCGGTTGTCTGCGTAGTCATCTTCTGCATACCGATACGGTTGACGTAATCATGGACTATATTGGATGCATGCTTTACGTTTAAAAAAGGTCGATTTCTGGAACACCTGATATAAATTAGTATTACCAATTTATTTCGAAATATAAGGCATTTTTTATTATTTCTAAAATATATTTGCACTCGAGTACATTTGCACCTATGGACATTTGCATGCAATTGCACGTACATTTTGTACCCATTCATTTGTACCCATGGACATTTACATCCGCGTATATTTGTACCCATGAACATTTGAATCCACGTACATTTGCAACCATATACATTTGCACCTACGTATACTTTCACCACTGTACATTTGCAGCCACTTTTGCACTTTGTCGTTCATTTTTTTAACAAAATAACGCAAACACTGTCAAAATCACGTCGGTGTTCGAAAGCAATTACGGTATACCTTATGAAAACTTGCCACAATTAAATTTATTATGTCAGAGTTGATTAACGCGCTTTGATAGGAAATAATAATTAAACCTAGATGAAAAAAAAGTAGAAAACAAACTCTACTTGGCGAGTACAGCATATATATATATATATTGGGGCCTGGGGGATATATATATATATATCATATGTCGATCAAGTTGTTTACGACCCTTGTCTTAAGTTGTTTTATTACGCCACAGTGATGTCTACTCCTTCCAGTTGTTTTTCACTCGTCTCGAGGATTTGCTCAATGCTAGGAAATAAAATTACGGTTATCGCGGGGGGATATGCAGTGAGTTCGCATTCGTTACTTATAATAATATTAGCATGCCCCATTTTCGACGCAAATGGCAAAAAAAACTCGTTTACTTCCAGTCTCCATGGGTGTAAATGTCCACGTCTATGCGTACAATTATTTTGTACGCATTACACGTACATTTGCACCCGCGAATATTTGCACCCACGGACATTCGCATTCATGTACATTTGGATCAGTACATTTGCTCTACACGTACATTTGCACCCCCGGACATTTGCACTCACGTACATTTCGATTTTAGAAGTAATAAAGTATATATTGGCTTGTTGTTTTGGTGGACGACAGTTTTCGTCTGACGTTAAACGACAAACAGCCACGGTCGCACCAGTTCCTGCACCAGAAGTCTTTATCGAACACATCGAACAACGCGACAATATTTATCATCAACTCCGTCGTACCACCACGGTACCGTTTTGATCGATCGCAATACCATACGATCCAATAGGATACTCAAACAGTGAATAATGGGCTTATATAGTAAATTAGCATGCACGAAAATGTTTCATTCAAGTGTGTACCTAGATAAATTTACCTATACCAGTGTATCAGTTGCCCCGGTTGTTTTTTCGGTATAATAAAAAATATTCGAAAATTACCTCAATATCGGTTGCACAGACTGTCTACACTAGCCATATTCTCCCGACATGGTTCATTTTTCGCTCGCAAAGCCTTCGCCGAACGTCGACGGGGCGACGCCGATTTTGCCCCGGTTGCTCATTGTATATCGTATTCTCTCTTTTATCTTCCACTCGCCGCGTTTGTCTCGTTTGTTTTCTGTTTCTTTTACTAAATCATCGGGGCCGATCGGGGCTAGCCCCGAAATTATGACGACACAATGCCGACGTTTCTTACAACAACGTGTTGACATATTCACGCATTCCTTCTCGTTCGTTGGTTGCTTGAAGAGTTGATAGTTTCCTCGCCTTCGTTTTTGTCGCTTGTTTCGCTATTTGAATCGATTAGAGACCTTTGGTCCATTTGCTTTCGATTTTCCACATTCCTTTTGAGCTCCTCACTTCTTTCCGGCTTCGCATTTCTTAGCCTTAGACCTCATAATGAATAAGGTTGATGCACTACTTCGCACTCCGTTTTCGCAGCTGCCGCTGGAACAAAAATTAGAGGTACAACGTCTTGGGCCTTATCAACCAAAAAATTGTTCACTGGAACAATCCCATGACGGAGGAAAGCGTCGGCGTACATTCTGCGCAGAAACTTGGTATAAAAAACACGAATGGTTGTGTTACAGCGAGGACAAAAATGCACTTTTTTGTTTTTATTGCCTACTTTTTGCTACCGCCCGTGACTCACGTTGGTGTAAATTTGGTTTTAGAGATCTTAAACATCTTTCCGAGCGTGCCAGGGATCATCAATCTTCTATGAAGCATCTGGACAATGCAGTAAAATACCGAACATTCGGAAATGTTAATATTGCAGCACAGTTGGATGAAAGACGCGCGGTTTCTATGCGTCGGCACAACCGAAACGTCGAGAAAAACCGCCATGTTCTCGGTCGATTGATAGATGTTTTGAAGTTCATTGGTTGTCACGAGCTGTCCCTCCGTGGGCACGATGAACGGGCTGGCTCCTCTAATAGAGGGGTATTTTTGGATATGGTGGAATACACCGCATCCCTAGATACAGTATTGAGAGATCATCTTGATGCCGCAACTGTTTCGAAAGGGACATCTAAGGATATCCAAAATGATTTGCTCGACTCAATGTATAAAATTTATTTACAACATTTGGCTCTGGAAATTGAGAATTGCCAGTTCATTCGATTCAGTCTGACGAGACAACTGACATCACGTGCGTTTCCCAACTGGCTGTGATTTTTCGGTTTGTGAAAGATGGTAAACCTACCGAGAAATTTCACAGCTTTGTACCAATCGTTGATCGCACGGCTTGCGGGATATCGGCTGTACTGAAAGAAGTGTTATAGCCTTACAACGCGAAGTCAAAATTGATAGCTCGGACTTATGACGGCGCGGCAGTCATGAGTGGGTCGAAACATGGTGTTCAAGTTTATATAAAAGAAGATTTTCCTTATGCGCATTTTTTAGATTGTTATGCACACCAATTTAACCTCGTTATTAAAAATATGTGTCTTGATACCCCTCTCGTCCGTATATTTTTTGCAAATGTTTCGGGGTTTTCTTCATTTTTTTCCGTTTCGCCGAAGCGCTCTGACCTTCTTCACCAGATATGTAGCCGCCGTCTCCCAGCTTGTGCACCAACACGTTGGAACTTCCAATCACGCGTGGTGCAGGGCGTGTCCGAAATTAGGTCTGAGCTCATTGAGTGTTTCAATGGCATTCAGAGCTCTCCGGTTTGGGACGAACGCTCTGTGAGGGAGGCGGCAGGTCTAAAGCGTCTGCTAGAAGATGGTGAGTTTTCATTTTTTCTCGCTTTTTTCTCCACAATATTCTATCACGTGGATGTATTATACAGCGCATTGCAGTCAAGGCTAATGGATGGAGCGTCTGTGCAGTCGTGTATTTCAGACTTCTGCGATGCTGTATCTCGTATCCGGGAAACAATAAAATACGACGACACATGGAGTGCTTCTTTACGCCGCGGGCAAACAACGCAGCGTTTGATTTTGTCTGCAAAGGAATGCTGTGACATTCTGGTGAATCAAATAGGCGATCGTCTGCGCACTGAACACCTTGCCGCGTTCTCTTTGATGAACCCCAAAATTTTTTCAAAATTTGCACGTCAATTTCCCATCCATTTGTTGGTTACTGTCTCCAAATTTTACCCCATGATAAACGTGGGTAAATTGGAAAGTGAATTGCGATGTATATACACCAATCAAACTTTTTTGAACATCACATCAACTTGCGCGCTCTATGGGTTCCTCATAGATAACACTCTAGTAACTACCTTTGCGGCGTCTGCAAAATTTCTGGACATCATTTTGACGACGCCTATTTCTTCCGCCGACGCAGAGCGAACATTCAGCAGGCTGAAGCTTATTAAAACGTATCTCAGAAACACAATGAAGCAAGATAGATTAAATTCCTTGGCTGTTTTATCCATTCACAGACACGTTATTTCTGGGATGCATGACTTTAATCAGCGCGTTATTGAGCATTTTGCTTCCAAGAAATGTTCAAGCAGTAGAAGTCTAGCAGCATATATATCTATGAGTGAGCGACGCATGTCCTTATCTTTGCATTACCTTTCCTTTCTTCATAGTAACGTTTTAAACCTTATTTTAGGTTTTGTCTGCTTTCCCGAAGTTTCTGTTAATAGGTCATTGTATTTATCTGGGTAAATATTGCCTTTCCTTTTGAAAGAGGTTTCAAAATAAACTATGTCTATATTTATTAATCCCTTGACTTGGACCGGTTTTAAAGACACTTTCTTATCGTTAAAAATTGTCGCTTTTGTCGATTGGTTGTTACTGATGGAATGGTTTTTATACTCATAAAATGATGGGAGAACTTACAGCGCTCATCCTGTCCCCGTAGACAGGGGATGACTCGGGTGGGGGTGACTTGGTCCCGCAGTAGCTTGCCCCGGTTGTCAAAATGACCACGCGCCGCCACTGCAGTGTATACTTCAATTTACTGTAGCGGTTCCGTTACCGCATTTCAGCGGTTCTCGTGTTTAGCGAAAGTCGAGAGTTTTTTTTATGGGATACGGTCATTTAGGTGTATAAAACCCCAATGGGTACGATAGTCGACACCGGGTGGACTTCGATACCGGTACCGTATAAGATTTGACAATGCAGTTGTGGCTCCGATCTTGGTATTTCAATTCACGTATCGGGCTTGGAGCGGACTTCTTGACACTGTCGGCTATTCTGACTTTATTCTCTTTTCCGACACTGTATTCTACTCTGTCTTTAATTTCTTAGTGTGTGTATGAGATGTGTTCATGAGCTTGAGTGATTGTTTTATAATTTGATTGGTCATAACCACACAGTTGTATCCCACTAGCGATTTCCCGAGGCAGTTTGGGCCCTTTGCTCACTGAAATAACTCCACTGATCCAGTGGCTCTAAATTTATTTGGTTGTAATTTATTCCCCTCCCCACCACTTACTTCCACAAATTCACGCTCGGCAATGAGCATGGAGCACTATATATGTCATATATATATATAGTTTTATACCGCTCGCCTCCATTATGTCAATTTTTATTTGCAGATATATGTCATATGTCACCAAATTATAATTTTGATCAATTGCCTTTAGTTTTCACTTCACACCTTTCATCTTTTCAATTCAGTCGATAGTAAGAGGCGAAGTACCTATTATACAGTCGGTTAGAACCCATTGCCGGGTTGGCCAGCCCTTCGCAGCAAGAGTATTTTACGTTATTTTTTGTTGTTGTTTTTTGTGTGGTTTTTGTTCGGCGGGTTGGCCGCGACTGGCGTCGATTCATACGTTATACACTTTAATTATATATCCGCCAGATCACGAGCATCCGACATTTATTTCATATTTCGTTGGGGGGGCTGACCTAGTTGGATAACCCGGATTATTTACTTTTATACTGACAAGTGTTATTTTCATTACATGTTCAATTCATTTTTTATTTAGGTTCACGTTCAATATCGTTCGTATTTATTTGTATAAATACTGTTTCAGCCTTCCTGCGTGGGGAAGGCCAGGGGTACTGGCGATGTACCGCAATAAAAGTACTAATAGACAAAAAAGGGATATAGTCATTGGTAGGATTAGCTGTGAGCGTGGCAGAAAGAGATAGCAGAATCGGTCTCTTTTATTCGATAAACAGCAAACGTTGATCGTGGGAAAATGTTATTGGAAGGGGGGTAAATAGGGTACAGGCAAGATGCAGTGGAGTGTTATTTTTATCCGATACCGAATTTGATTTGTTTATATTTTGTCATTTGAGATGAAGTCTGACGTGACATATACAATAAAGTTGTAAGTTGGAAGGAAAAAAGAGAACAAGAACGCCAATTCAATGTGCGCATACATGGTGGTGTTTATCATTGCCACGATCGAATATAATTTCTTTTTCTCAATCGACGTCATATGTCCATTTTTCAACGAACTGTATTGGTTACGCTCGAGTAAAAAGTTTTTTGCACAACCTCAAATGGATCGTCATCTAATTGTGATGAGTCTGTTCATCTCCATTTAACTTGTGATCTCATAAACCTGTCATAATAAAATGTACCGCCAGCTTCTCAAATGAATACAAAAATGGTTATTTTTTATAGAAACAATGAAAGCCGAGAAGCGAAGGAACTCCTAATCGGAACATTCTCTCATATGAAAAATCAATATCAAATAATGTTGATAATCATCACAATATACTCGGGATTTGAACAAGCTTTTATAACGGGTGATTACACCAAGGTGTCAATTGGTATAATTTTTTACAGAATTTGAAAATTTACAATCAAATTCTGAAGTTTGCACTGCGTAGGCCATAGTGCAACACAGTTCATTCACTTACAGCATCGAATCATAGCATTGTTTTTAAACTGATTCACTATTGTAGTACAGCAGAGTATAATTCAATGTAGATTACACGAATAATACTTGTCTACAAATCTATAAATTCCTTTTTGATCAGTAAAAGTACAATTATTTTACAGTCATTTATAACATGTCCGATTGCTGTCAACTGGATTGGCTTAGTGATGATTTGTTTTGGAGCTGTTGATTCTATTTGTTCGTTTATTTTCGGACGAATTGAAAAATACACTGTTTTCTATCTCAACTCTCATTTTTCTTGTTATTACTACCACACTACTAGTAAGTAATTATTAATATGATAATAATAATCCAGATTTATCAGATTGCACTTCTTAATCTATGAAAAGGGAGAGTAGAGATTTCCTACATAATGAGTGAGGGTCGTGCGATAACTAGGACTGTTGTTTGTGATCCTACTCACCTCCCTCAAAAACTGGTGAGATTCTCACCCATAGTGACACCAAATCATCCATTACAGCATGTACAGTCTTATCCACTCTTTTACAGGTATGGGTTCCTTACCCAACGAGTCCAGCTCCCTTCTTCATTATTCCAGCGTTCTGGGGAATTGCTGATGCAGTATGGCGGACGCAGCTGAACGGTGAGTTCAAATATTGTCATTTGATGTTTGAAATTCAGGTTAAAAAATTTAACTGGGTTTCAACAAATAGTGAGAATTTGTCACATAGTGGCAGAGCTCATTATTTGCGAAGAATACGATAATATAAAATATGGATACTTCTTTATTTAAGAATGAATTTTCTTCAAACAGCGTCAGTACTAGATCAAAAAAATCCTTTTAATATGAGGTGCTGTCATAATTTAATGTCTCGTTTGGAGTCAAGGCCTGTAAAAATCTGTCAGACGTTAAATTGTAGTAGCTATAATTACGTCATTCTTCTTTCTATGGTTCGAGAATTAGAGGACTAAAAATTTAATTTAACGTCACGAATTGATAATTTTATTATAGCAATAACCCAATGTCTGCTTTTTGTTTCAGCTTTGTACGACGTACTTTTCTTTGACCGACAAGAAGAAAGTTTTTCCAATTATAAGTTATGGCAATCCATAGGATTTGTTGTTGCGCAACTTTGTTCCAAACAGATCTAAATTTGATTAGTATGACTTTATTTTGTACATATACTTTGGATACTAATTATAAACTTTCATTTAACTATAGTAGCTTTATAAATCACTTTGATTGTATGAAAATGCATTGCAGCAACATGATTGAGACAACTGTAGATGTGTATTTATGTTTGAGGCACTGATAACTGTATTTTTACTATAACCTTTATGTGTTTCCCATACGTTTTAAACATAATCGATGTATTATGGTTCAAAGACTGTTATATTTATCTTATTCTCATCTCAGTTATTAGAAAGAAAACGGAAGATGAATCAAAAATCTGCTAATACATCAAAAGATAATTCTGAAAGAAAACAGTCATTTGACAACTTACGCCAGATTACAGAAGACAATGTAACAAGTTTTTGAACAAAGTCGAAATTTCTGAATCAATCTTCAGTTTAAAACATTATGGATCTTTGTGTATCAACTCTATTTACGCACGTTCTTGTTGAAACTATGTTTACATCAATATATTAAACTTCAATATCCCATGAAATCCTATTCAATACTACACAAGGTATTAACTAGTTATGCAGTTGCTTGCGTTGTAGCCAAAAATAGTTTAGTATTCGATTCAATTGCATAATGTGTGTGTAAAAATCAGTAAATCGTTGGCTGCATTATAATTTACCAACTTATCATGTCTTTGAATTTAGAATAATTAAAAATTGTTTCAATTGAATAAGAAGACAAAGTTTTACCAAGAGAATTTGTAACATTTATGTCCGGACCGCTTTATCCCTTCCCGTAATATCATGAACAACAACAGCTGCATATTTGGTGCTCGCTATGCACAATATCTTTTGGGTATGTCAGATTTGATCTTGCACTACAAGAACATTGCTTTAAGCTTAAAACCTATTACACTAGTTGCTCTAACTAGGAAAACATTGGAACATTGTTGATGCATACTATGATCGATGCTATAATCACAAGTAGATCATCGCTTCATCAAAAAACGAACAGTGCTGATTCGAATCACTACTCACCAGAAATGCGATTCAACTGCAGTTACACAGCAAGAAATGTAGCAATCATTATACATATTACTTCAGTATTATATTATTTACAATTCATTCTTCGTCGAAGTATTAATTTGACCCATGGGAATATTAATTTGGCCAATTTGTGGTGCTGAATGAAAGCAAGCTGCTATATATAACAGAGCTTTGTAGCACTAAGGCTTTATTGAATTGTTTTTATGCCCGAGGAAAGAGGATGCCAAGTTAGTCACTGACATCGCAGATATATAGTAAAAATATCTGTTGCTGAATAGCCAGCAATTCAGGAACGAACACAAATAAATTTATCATCGAACAATTACGATTGTAATGTCATCTTATAATAATAATGCTAAATAGCTGCTGCTAAAATATGTAAGCGAACTGATGCGAATTTGGAAAAAAGATTAGGGTTTTAACTTCGTACGTAGATTGATGAACTTAAAAATGAGGAAATTATCATAAACTGATTTCATCATATTTACATATTTTACGTAACAATTAATTCAGTACTTTCGGGGATTTACTTTGTTCCTGGTAAATTACCTTAAATTATCTCGAACTGATATTATAATTTTGTATTTGGTGTCTTGAATGGCTAAATCTCGAATTCAACCCTCACAGTGCTTCTATATAAAACGTTGAGCGCTGTGGATCAACCTGATACTACCCAGTTCCACACACTTCATTACGTTTGTGATTACGTTTGTGTTTGAACTTCAATCGGGAATATATAGTAAATGCTGTAAGTGAATACGAGGAAAAGAATACCCATGATATCATATATAATAGATTTTATTTCTAGAAAAGTTCACAGCTAGTTGTATTAGACATACTGTGTCTAATTGTTAGTCACTGTGTAAAAAGATAAGCATTATTTTGGAACCCGTTCACTATGCAGATTTGTCCCTTTTATTTAGAATTAGAAGACAACTGTTCAGAGATAGTTTAGTGTAGACATTGGCGAGAGGGAGATTTATGAGCATATAAGACCCATATAAAATTGAAAAATATGTTAAAGGAACGCCCTTCTAATATCTTGGGACGCACTGTAACGAAATTTCTCTGTATTTGGGTTTTACAAACAATGTAAATAACGTCTAGTCTCTACAGTTTTAATAATGAATCCCCGTCCTATAAAACATGTTTAAAATGGTATGCTGTAACTTTGTAACAATACTTCAACAGCTTTTACAAATGGTTGGATAAGCGGTAAAGCAGGAAAAGTAAATATGTAATCTGTGACGTGCGAACAAATTCAAATTACAACTAAGCCTTCTTTCCTTCCGATGCGTGCTGTCCCGCAATTCAATAATGGGCGCTGGGAATGCGATTGGCTACTGATTAACTTAGAATCTTGTTAAATTGTTTTTGACGGCTACATGATGACAATAGCTACAACATTACAGTGAGGTATTGCTGGATACAATAAAAGCAAACGTGAAGTCCAAGTGCAGTTTTTGTCAGCATTCCGATACCAATTACCATATTATGTTGTTCTGAGTTAAAGCGCGATTAGATATATGGGAGAATCGTTTTTCTTGTGTAATGCATGCATGTACCAAAGGAGCGAAATATCAACAAAAGGAGTAAGCGAAAATAAATTTCTGAAAAATTAAAGAGTTGAGATAAGGTTCAGATATTTCTTGATTTCCAACTTTGGATTATATTATAGGGAGTTTAAGATACTAGCTACGTCTATATGCTAACTTTTGTTTAATCAAAGCAATATTTGAATCTGAAGCTACTTTTTGAGTTGCCTAAATATGGAAGCTGAAAATTCCAACTTCGAATCCGCTACGTCCAATAGGAGAGTGTACGACGAAGTTTCTCTTTCTGATCACGATGCTGTCAGGTAAAATCACGGACTTTGAAAATTAAAGATACTGTATTTTGCTTTTTATATATTAATTAAGACAGAATTTTTAGGTTTGGAAAGAGAATATTATTTTGCATTAATAAATATTGCTCAACAAATATTGTCATCTGATTCGACTCGGAGTAATGTCAAGTGAAAAAAAAATACAAAAATAAAAGTATAAACTGACTTTTTGTTGCTTTCAGCATTAGGTTTGTTTTACGTATACAAATCATATAGAAACTTGCATAAACGACATCCGATATACAAAATATTTGCACAATACGTATTACTCAAGGTCATTTAGTCTGTGTGCGCTTATCGTCGAAAAATCTGTAAACTGATTGTTTAGTATCGATACTGGCGGGAGTACTAATCCGAAAATTAGAATCATCGCTTGTATTGACTAAGACAATAACGGTTTTAATCTGAGTAAACAACACACATTTATGGATCTTACTAATAAGAGACCTAAGTCTAAGTGTTTCAAAATCATTACATTAAATGAAAGCACTGAACTCTAAGTATAAGAGATGAACAACCGGCACTGCATCACACAATCATCTTTCAACATAAGGTTGAACTTTTTATCACGCATGGAACATGCTGAATGAGCTAATAACCAGATCCAGGTTTAAAGATGAGTAGTTTTACTTTGATTTACACTGGATTGTGGATGGATGAAAAATCTTTATTGTCTGGGTAATCAATTTCTGAAATTGTTCTCTATATAAAGCACTCCATGCCTCAACGTTACCAGAATTATTTACCAATCCAAATTTTTTTTTAATTTTTAGGAAAGAAAAATTCAACATTATGAAGAACATTCTTTTGATTTGTCTCTCTTTTCTTCTCAATTTCACGGCATTTGCAGGAATATCGAATCTTCAGTCTAGTTTGAATCCGGACGAAGGCCTAGGAACGGGATCTCTATCCATCATATATGGATCTCTTATCGTCTCTGCAATGTTTACACCAACTTTCAGTTTGTTGTTTACTATCTTTATTATTATTTTTAAAAAATAAACTTGTGTTATGCCATATTTTGGCAAACTGAGATAACTCCCCATTGTTGATTTTCAGAAATCCATATATTTCAAATTGTTATGTGACTCAAATTCATGATGAATCTCAACAAAATCCCATGTTTCCAAAATCTCATCCCAATTCCATTATTGCTATAGTATACGACTATTCATCAGTTACGACTTTAATATGTTTTTGAACACTTAAATAGAATGAACGATGACTGTTGAGTTGGTACACCTCTAGCATAGCATTAAGCATTGAAGTTCTGTAGTGTGCAAAGTCATAATTCTTCTATTTTTTTTCACATTGGAGAAGACAAACCCCACAATGTCAGAGTAATTGAACAAGCAAAATTAGATATAGTATATATTGAAACGTTTGCAGCTCAAACCATCACAACCACTTTTGGCACATTTGATTTGTCAAATTATTCGACTGTCCAAAAATAACATCACTTATCCCGCGTAACCCTAATCCAAATCTTTAAATTTTTTTTAGTTATCAGACATATTGGATGTAAATGGACAATATTCGGTTCGATTCTCGGATACACGTGCTATTCACTCGCTAATTTTTATCCCTCATGGGGGACATTGGTGCCTGCTTCTATTATTTTAGGCTTCTCTGGCGCCCCTCTGTGGTCAGCAAAATGTACCTACCTGACGACTGTGGCGAAAAGGTGGGTATAAAAGAATCCATTTTTGAAATCAGCAGAAGGATAGAGATAATAATATTTAATTACTAATAGATACGCAAGATTGACCAATGAGAGTGTGGATGCAGTTGTCAACAGATTTTTTGGGATTTTCTTCCTGATATTTCAAATGAATCAAATCATCGGAAATTTGATTTCATCATTTGTGCTCTCGTCAGCTAATACAGCCAGTCTTGGTACGATTATTTATTCACTATTTATACAGCGTTTATGTTTTCGTAAATTCTAAACTTGATTATTTTTGCATAAATATAAATGATTTGCCATTGTATTATTCCGTAACAAGTACATTACACTTTGGCATGTTGGTAAGCTTTGATAGCAAATTCATATAGAATTGCACGTTTATATAATATATATATATACGTAATTTCATAGGTGTAACCTTACGGTAACGGCAGGTGTTGTAAAGTTACCTGAAGATACTGATAAAAAAATTTGTTCAACTCCATATTTGATGTAAATGATCTAAATACTCAAAGTACTCGCATGATTTCAAACGCCTCATTTTTATTACAGAGTTTCCAGATAGTGTTAGCGAAGAAGAGAAAGTAAGGATTGAAAATTTCTGTGGTGCCAATGATTGTCAGAATGGCACTGGAAGAGGTTTTAATGTTTTCACGAATTATTTGTGTTTGGCCTTGGTCACTATTCATGGCAAAAGTACTTCTGACCCACAAAAGTTATCGGAATTTGAAGTGGAAATAGCGCAAAATATACCAGTAATCGGTGTTCAATGAAGTTTAACAGCCGTTTTATATTGCTGTCATGAAACTATAGTTTAATTATATAAGGTTCAACTTACATATATACGCAACTTTTCATTGCCTCATTTTTAACAGTCAGCAGTAATCATTGTTCATGCATTTTGTGGTTTATTCGTTAGAAATTTCCTGGTATTTACCAAGCGATTTTATGATTAGGACTACGGAAGTAAAGTCGTGGATAATTAATTATATGTGAGTATGCAATGAAAAGAGAGCACCACCTGAATTGACAGTCAATGGGTAAGGGGGCGTTGACTGTCTGGTATCTGTTGAGTAGTTAATCATTCCCGCCCTGATCACTATACATCAGAGGTCTTTTATTGTACTTAAACTTCTATTGATCAAATTGTACAGTTTGGTTTAATATATTAGGTACTAATTTCATTTTTAATTTAAAAGTAAACATCTTAATTTAAGCCGATTCAACTAAAGATGAAATTCCAAACGAGACCATTTACATATTGATGGGAATTTACACGGCCGTTGGACTTCTAGCGGCGGCAAACATGGCGTTTTTCGTGGATAGAATTGTTATTAGGTGAGGTTACTCCTTGTTAATTCAGAGTGATAGGACTTAACGTTTCAGGGTAAATTTTGGTAGCTTCGTTTGATGAAATTCCAAAAAAACTTGCGTCCTTCAACCTGAGCTGCCATTATAAATATAAGATTGGAAACGCAAAAATTTGGGAATTCTAAAAATACCAGCCGTGACATGTCTGTCTTGTGTACACAGATCGCAAAACTATAATTCAGCGAATCTTTATTGTGATGCCGCTTTATGGTCTAGCTTTAAGTTCCGTTGCTATTGTGAAAATTCTACACGAAAATATATAATTATAAGCGTTTTTTATATTGTAGTGCAACGAAAATATGGTGTTCAGCTGATTTATAAATTACTTTTAGTGATCTTAATTAAGCAAAGAGGATGGCAGACATTTAACATTTTTCCTTTCAGTAAATAAATGATATTGTATTATTTGTATTTATTATACCTGACATGCCTTTCTGCTAGTGAAAATACTGGTATCTAAGAACAAAAAAGCAATAGTATGGGTGTACTTTCTGAAAATTAAATAGTAAAATGTAATGGTACATGCGGTAATTTTTGATATTATATTTCTGAACAGAGACAATGAAAGTCGAGGAACGAAAGAACTTCTTTCCGCAACATTCTTGCACATGAAAGATCGACGTCAAATTATGTTGATCATTATAACAATGTATTCTGGATTTGAGCAAGCATTCATAACGGGTGACTACACTCAGGTATCAGTTTTATTTGCAATTTATTCATTTGATTGTTTACTACAAAATTGAAAGGAGCACTCATACAAAAGCAATTGAATTGCGAGCACCAATGATGGGACTAAAGTGATATCAGGGGTAAAATATGTGCTATTTTACATTTGTTGGTTTAATCATATCTATGGGGGCTTGTATGTTAAGCGTTTTGTACAATGAAGAACAATACCCATTCTACAGTCCTTGTCAAACTAAATTTTAGTATTCCCATACACCTTATCAACTTGCAGAAATACCAGAAGGCTGTGTCCAATTTATTGTATATAACTAACGTGTGGTTTGATGTATTCAATTTCAATGATTTCTAATCGGAAACAGATTCCCAGAAAGCTTTTGACATTTTGTTACATGTTTATATGCACAACTTGATTCAACACTTTCTACTGGAATGGACGTGTAATGGTGCTGAGGTTAAAAATTAGAATGGTGACTAGAACGGATATCTTTGTCGACGGGCTCTTCAATTTTAATTACCTGTAAACGGACATTGAACACACTTCTTTTAAAAAGATAAAATTTTGCTATTGAAAAAAAATATTGTACATCTATAGTTGAGCGGAAGTAAATAAACGAAACTGTCTGAAGTGCGGATATTGCCTTCTCAGGAATATCATAACGGAACTGATATATATAATATATTCTATCTAATCATAACCAAATACTTTTATCTTACAGTCATTTATAACATGTCCGATTGCTGTCAACTGGATTGGCTTTATTATGATTTGTTTTGGAGGTGTTAACTCAATCTGTTCGTTCCTCTTCGGACGTATAGAAAAATATACAGGCAGAATACCACTGTTCTCTCTGTCAACTCTAATAAATCTTGGTATTATTATTACACTACTGGTGAGCTTTTGTTAACTGCATTGACCGTAGGCGTTAATAGTGATGCGAATTTTTTAAAAATATTTATAACTAAACTTCCAGGCAAAGATGTACAGCTAGTTGCCTAGGCAAGTCTTGCAAGTGAAATTATTGTATTCACTATTCAGGCACACTTTTGGTGGATTTCACGAGAAAATTTTTTTCATGCATATTGAATCAGACCGAATCCGTTATTTCACGTGATATGACATTCAAATTAAAAAGAATTGTTGATTTGAAACAGTTCTTACGGTCACATCAATGACCTTCCTAAGTGCACAAGTGCGCGGACGCAAGCAAACAGTTTGCTTACTGATTTTGAACAGACACGCCTCCTAGCTCTGTATTTGCTCTGTCTTGTGTTAAGTTAATAATGAATTTTTTGTACTTATTTATTAGCTCATTGACACGATAGTTTGGGGTTACGTGGGTAAACAAAACCATATACAATTGCGGACATCGGTACCAGTCTTGAACGTTGAGGGTTCCAGAACCTTGCTGACATTTATTAGATTTATATAAAAATTAACTAAGTTATCCTGAGTAACATCGTATACTTCTCGTAATTATTCAGAAAATTCAGTAATTCCAACACAAACTCTATTCAATCAAATGCACGGCGGTGTTTACGCTGATGATATATCACGAGCTTTCCAGTACATCACAAACTTGATCATTCTTATAATATATAACAGGTATGGGTTCCATACCCAACAAGTCCAGCCCCTTTCTTCGTGATACCGGCATTTTGGGGAATGGCCGATGCTGTGTGGCAAACACAACTGAACGGTGAGTTGAATGGTCAAATTCACTCTAATATTATCTATCCAGTGAATTATACAATTTTCCTGGTTTACACACTACCGTTAATTAAACGGATAAAAAAAATGCCGTGGATAGCACCAAAAGATTTCATAGTAATCTCTAGAGAAAAAATGAACATACTATATTTTAAAACAGTATAATGCTGTTAGCTACCGAGACTGTTCAATAATGTACAGATTGTATACCTTTTAAGTTATGATTCTACAATATGTCTTATATTGCTTATTACAATTCAGATAATTTGATTCAGTTATTCTATACGAAAGTAATGTTGGTGTTCTAAACTTGATGTTGGTGTTCTGTTACAGCTTTGTATGGAGTGCTTTTCTTTAATCGACAAGAAGAAAGTTTCGCAAATTATCGCCTGTGGGAGTCTATAGGATTCGTTATTGCTTTTGCTTATCAAAGTTTCATCTGTGTCTACATAAAACTATACGTTCTTCTCAGTTTTCTGATTGTTGGGATGAGCCTATACCTTGCTGTTGAGGTTAGTGTTGTAAAACATTCAGTTTTTCTCTCTCAACTGATTGTGCGCGGAGCACAAGCACTTTATTATAGCATTGAGAGACTCAAGCTAGTTCAAGAACCGTACCTATTCTCGTTTTTCTTGTATATATATGTCTTGTACCAAAAATAAGAAAGATGGCCTTGAGTTGAATACCCTTACAAAAATAATCCGTATCTTGAAGATTATCAATAAACAAAACCACTTGATCAATAACAAAGTAGAAACACTTGTAACGTTAGCAAAACTTCTAATTGGGATAGAAGCCAAGGCGTACGTCTGTGTTTGAATAATAGTGCAATTGGCCGTGGAAAATAATAGATTTTGATGGAATTGGTAACTTTGAATGCATTTTTTGTGTCAAATGCAAGACAACTTACTACCAAGAACCTTAAAAAACCATGATGGGTCTGGTAAACATTTCGACGCGAATGCCTAGTTCCCAAGTTTAGGTATAAAAAATAAAAGAAAACTATGCTTATGCCAATTTTTACTAACATTTTTTGACCCTTTGGCTCTAATTCGGAGTAAACTTATAAGAAACCGTCCGTGATAATGAGACCTCACGATTCACGACATTTTACTTCAGTGTTGCCATATTTGTGTAATATAAATTGAAGCTGCATTGAGTACGTACGTATTTATACATTTGTGTGCTGCAAAATACTTAACGAAATTTAGTGCGCATCTCTTTGATAACCAATATATAATAAATCTAATAGTAAGGTTATTTACAAAAATGTAGATAGCAGTCTGCAGAATTTAGCTTTCATTAGTATTATGTACATAATACTTTATGCCTTAACAATTTTCAGTTCTTGGAAAAGAGACGTGATAAGAACCCAACAGCCGCTGATATATCCAACGGTCAGACAGGTCAAAAGTCGTCGCTTGGTGACTCTCATGGAATACAAAACGGTGCATATCGTACGAACCCATCGGTAGGCGAGTTGACAAGCTTCTGAACAAAGATCTACGTTAACAATTTTATGATTAAGTTTTTCCATTTTTTGAGAATCTGTTTAATTTTTCGTTTTGCACCTTGCTTGTTATATGCGACATTAGAAGTGTCTCCGCTTCCATGAATTTGCCGAATAAATTGTATATATATATTCATCCATTATGTATATTGTTTTGGATTCTATTGTCTGAAGTAGTAGAAAATCAACTTTTTCATCATTAATATTCGTAAATCCTTAAGGATATCAAAATTTTCGTTTGATGTACGTTAACATTTTTATGATTTTGTTTTCCATTTTTGAGAATCTGTTTAATTTTTCGTTTTGCACCTTGCTTGTTATATGCGACATTAGAAGTGTCTCCGATTCCATGAATTTGCCGAATAAATTGTATATATATTTATCCAATATGTATATCGTTTTGGATTCTATTGTCTGAAGTAGTAGAAATTCAACTTTTTCATCATTGATATTCGTAAATCCTGAAGGATATCAGAATTTGCGTTTGATCGTCGGCAAATTTTAGAGCGACAACAATAGTGTTGCGATTGCGCCATCGACGGTACAGATAACTGTTGTTTTATTCTGGAAGCTATTTTTGATTAAACTTTGAATTTATTATTTTTTTGTATTGAATATGTCACAGTATTTTATCATAATAATGATGGTAGAATGAAATTCTACGCACTATTTTTATAGTGCTCCTGAAGTATGCGCACCAAGATGTCGCATAACCTGAACCCTAACCTGGTACACAACCTGAGTTCAGGTTGTGCACCATCTTCGTGCGCATACTTCAGGAGGTCCATTTTTAATATTGTGGACATGCTATAACATGTTATAAACCACATCCATGTGCCGTTATTTTGTGATATAATTGGCAACTAATAAATTTTATATCATAGGTGGTTTAAAAGTCATACATCTCCCATTTACCACTTTTATTCTGTAACTTTTCGCCTGACCTGAGTCAGACTTCATTGCGCAAGCAGCAGCAGGGTTTTATGAGTTGATTCATTTCTTTTTCGAACAAGCGGCTTTTTAAACATAAATTGCTGCCAAATCTGAAATAATCGTAAATAGAATCGATACTCAAATTCTGCTATATATCCATTTAAACCGCTGTGTGCCAAGTTTCTTTCTCCAATAACGTATTATTCGGCGATGTAAAGCTAACATTGTCCGAGTCTTGCCTACTATGACAGATAGGAATGCTTACTATAAGCATAAATAAAAAACGAGAAATCATTTGTCTCCATATCGATACCGAAGAATAAAGCGTGTTTTGATTTTAAAATTGATTGCACTGCGTAGCTTCATGTTTCCCAGAGTAGGGCAGATTCTTTATTACAAAACCATATTTCGTGTTTGAATGTTCGCTCCAGCGTATATTCGTTACAGAAAAACAACTGTTTGTACTGATCTTTATATCAAACAATAAAATTACCGCAATGTCGACGAGAAGCTGCACGTTATTGTTACACAACGATTAAGGTCAATTGCAGCGGGCGATTAACCACGGTCAATTTACTTGCAATGGTCGTGGTGATTTAAACCAAATTTGCAATCTAAATAGCCGGGGGATACGCCGTGCATGCCGCATATTCACTTCCAAAACGCAAGGCATTTATGAAATTAAGAATGGAGAATGGTTCTATTTCAATGGAGGAAATATTACCAAGATCTTGTGTTTGCAAACATGGATTTTTCTCAAGTTTTAAAATTTCGATATTGAGTCAGTTACCGATAACATTCAGATGTTGTTTTTAACTGCGTACATTATAAGCTTTACTGAGTAAAACCGCCTGAGTATTTCTATGTTGTAACTGACCCACGGAGGTCTTGACTTACTATAGTTAACGGGTATTTTGGCGTCGTTTACAGATTTTTGTCCGCCATGCATTTGGGCAATTCATCAGCGACTGTAAATGGCCATTAACGCCAAAATAAAATGAGGGATTAACAGACCCGCATGTTTTACGATACTTCTTCGCTTGGAAATCGAGACTTAGACCATGGGAGATAGATGGAAGTTCGTTGGCCGCGTATTATTATTGGAAAGATGTCATGCCGTTGTCTGAAACGTATATGGTGCATGAAAATCATTTAATTAGATTTGAGCAATTAAACAGCGATTTTATCACCTCCCTGGAATTGATTTCCTTTTAATGACTATTAAACGGATGGCAAGTTCGTTTACCCTTGATGAGATTAAAGCGGCGACTGACACATAATGATATTTAATGTTTGTCGGTCGGTCAGTTGGATGATCCATCACTATATTTAAGAATGCTTTGATAGGTTAAAATTTTAGTTTTCGAATGATTTCTTAGATACCGGAATAAAAAGTTGTACAGTTTTATTATTGTTATAAACAATAGGTGCGTTGGTTATTGTGATTGTCTTAAGATGAGAATGACGTTTGAAGTCATAGAGCTGCAAATAAGTAGCTGCATGGCTGTAAATTACACATTTAGGTGATTGTCTGACAGGAAAAGCGCATATTTCAAAATCAGAGAAAAAAGGCAGTGTAGTCTTCAAAACACGTGTGCTAAACCCCCAATACGTTGACTGGAATAACCCGAGGCGCAAATTATCCTTTAAAAATTCAGTGCCATGTTCAATTGCTGGAGAGGGACAAAAAATTCAATGATTTACACTTTTTTAATACACATCTCCAAAAATGGAGATTGGATGCGAAGGATTTCAATGTGACTAGTACGAATAAATTTGTTTTTACTCGCAATTTTACATGATTTAGGTCTTTAGAATCTGCTTGTATATAATTCGAGAAGTGAATCTCGGAGTGTTTCAGTCGTGATAAATGAATAATTGAGTTCATAAAAAAAACTGCATTTAAATTTAATTAGTAAATATAAAAGTGCGAAATTCCGTATAATCCTGTTATGGCATTTTTCGATTTTTCCATAATATGTCACTACTAAACAGACATTGACCTTCGCTTGTGATGTCATAAACGAAGCATTCAATTTATGTAATAATAAAAAAATAAATATACATATCGTCATTGCGTGCGACAGTCATGATCCCAATCGGAATTCGGAAATAGGTGAAATATGCTTTCAGAAGGTACACAAAATTTAAACTTTAAAACGAGAAACTCACGTCAAATTGTTACATACCATGCTCACGTTGTTGTAATCTCTTTAATATAATGTTTGATATATTTTAATTATAAAAAATAGTGCCGATCTATTGATTGAAGCTAAATTACTTGCATTATCGTGCGGAATTTCATAATGTGGAACAGTGAAAAGGCGACCATGTAAATGCTTTGGAATAGTTGTGCTGAGAAAGCATTAAATCATGTATCGCCAAAGCATGTTCATTGGTTGACTAAAATATTGCGTGCATATATTGGCCACTGAACTCAATACACCCTGGCTAAGTTAGTTTTATTCTTAAGAAGTTAAGACAACACTAGATTCTCAAGTACGGAAAGGTATGGACCTCAACGTTGAAGCACGATCTATCCGTGGGTAATACTTGGTTATTTATAAATGAATAAGTATTCGTTAACTGCGTAGTAAAGTAATGTTGTGCGTCTTATTTATTAGGCGTTGTCATCTGCTGTAGGATAGTTGAACGACCCCGCGAGGCCCACAAGCAGCTGCGCGAAATTCTTCAATAAATATGAATGCACTTCTGTCCCAAGGGAGACGATATTTCAAATGCAAACTTAGGAAGAGTGTGCGTACGTTGGTAAAACGCATCGAAGTTGCGAGACGAAAAAGAGATCGGAATTGCAATGATATTTGTTTAGACTGGAAAGGGCGTTCAACGACCAAAAGAAAAATATACTTGGTATAAGAGAATTCAAAAATATAGGGACTGCGACGGAACAAAGTACTTACTATGCAATATCTGCTATTTTTACTTACGTTTTTTGGAATCGATTTAACTGTCAGAAGTCAGTTTGTGTGAATTATCAAATCTGGCATTACTGGTAGATATAATGAGCTTCTGAAGAGCGATTTTCCCGGGTATAATGCTTGTATATATGTACTAAACTCATGTCATTCCGATAAAACGATTGATACGCAGTTCATTTGTCAGATAAAACGATATAGTGAATTGAGTTCTTGATTTTCTGTAAACTTTTCTCGGGTCACGTAGAGTCTACGAACTGACCGCAGCAGACTAAATGTTCAGTTTTTCTGCACTAAACGGACTGTTCCTTCGAGGTTTTCATAACACTCCAAAATTAAATATATAGTCGCTTCAACTTCGTTTCTGACATTTTTACGGACTGTACTAATGATAGTTTGGGTTCCAGGTTAGACGGTTAGTGCTTTTTTGTGTTCTTTATGCAGATGCGACACGAAATGTATGCAATGAAAAAGCGTTGTATATAAATAATAATACAAATTGTATTGATCTTTGTATTATTCTTGAATTATGTATGTTTACTGTTATTCGGTTTGTAAAAGCATCACGTAATATTCGTTATTACTACGGGTATCCCGGTAGACTACCGGCACCGCAACTTTCACGACTTCGCCTGATCACCGAATCGCGAATGCGGTACCGCTACAAAATGCGCATTTTTTTATTTTGATGACGTCACCGCATACGAAAAAAACAAATCCGCAGAAATATTTTAAATACATAAAAGTGATAATCTACTAGCGAAAAATACAATCTTTAACCACTCAAAAATTCAAAGCAATTGGGACAGTAGTCGATGAGAAAAGCTTCTTTTTCATTGCATCAAGATCAAGAACACAAAATGACAAGACGATTTATAGGCCCATTTCGTGTTCAATAACTCAATCATCCGTTTTGTACTATTTTACAATGCAACTGTTTTCGAACTTTCTTCAAATTTTTAAATAACAGGAAGCAATTGTTAATTAAGCGCATAAAAACTTGGCATGCTGCTCACTATATGAACGTTTGTTTAAAGCCAGGCATATATATATACTCTGTATATTTGGGAAATACTTTAGTTTTATCAAAAAATATCTGAGCCAAGATGGTGAAACTGCCTGTGATATGAATCTGACAACAAGTTGCAAAAATATTCAAAATTGTCCACTATCTATTACTACTTCATTATGATAAAACATTTAAGTCATTACGTCCAGTTTAATTGCTATTTTTTGCACTGTGATTGATGGAAAATCAATAGCATTTATCATTAGCCTATAGTAGACTACATAAACATATGCGTGTTTTATTTAGTCGATTTTGCATGCTAAGTGATGATTTTTAATAATATTCCGATCACTGGCGATAGTTTGTTAGTTACCTGACATATACATTGTGGTAATGGGTAAGCTGTAAAATTTTGACGTATGGAATTTTTTTAGTTATAAATGACGACTGCGTGCATATTGGTTTTCAATATGGCCTTACACGATTTGAATATATACAGTAGCTTAGGTACGTACATCAGAAATATAGGAAAATTAGACATATTCTTCAGTAGTCAATGCTTATGATTGTGGATTTTAAGTCTCAGACAAAAAAAACGTTGAATCTGGTGGTCTGGTATTGCAGTTGCATAAACGCCAATAATTCTGTCAGTGTCGCTACAGAAATACGTGATATAAAACTATTGTAACAGCCCACTTCAGGAATGTCTATGTTTTTTTGATTATCCTATAAATATAATATTAACGAATAGCCAGCAATTGTATAGCCAGCTATCAAAGTCACAATTTTATGTTTAAGATCAATGCCTCTCGGAATTTGAATTTTACTTCAAAATACAGTAATATTAAAATGTAATTTTTACGTCATATTCAATGCTGCCATTTAAGTCATATTATGATGGCATAGTAAATGGTTCGAAGTCGCCCGCTATATTATCTTTGATCGCTGTTTTCGGTTAATGAGAAAAAAGCCCTTTACAAAAGAAAAATTAAAAATATAAATTTAAGATTTAAATCGGTGTTATTTAGTTATATGTGGCTTAGAATAAACATGTCACGCAAAAATATTTTTGCTCCAAATTCACTATTTATGTTATTTTATTGTTGCAAGTTTTATTAATCATAGGACATTATAAAAACAAAATATACAACTGCATATTGTACGCGCTTAATTACTTTCCTCTCAGACCTTTCAGAATATGGTTTGGCAAAAATGTACTCTATTGTTTGTGAACAATTTTGATGAACGTTGTGGAATTTTGATTTCTTTCGATTAAGTAACGTCTTAAAAATTATGTATACATAAATTCCTGATCGGCCAAATTTATTCTAACGGTAATTGAAACGATTTATTTTGGGAAAAATATATTAATTAGATCATCAAACTAAGGTTGTGGCGCCAATAAACTAATGGAAAGTTCTGACATCCATCAGCGTTACGATCTTGAATATAGCAGTAGGAAATGTCATATGCCAGGGATTTAAAAGCAATCTCTGCTATTGTCTTCTAATTAGAATAATTTTGTGTGCTTATCGATTCCTCAAATAGACTTCAGGGATTGTGCTTGACTTGAATCCATTACTCAAAATAAATTGCATTTCAAAACAAATTGTTTATTTTGTTGTTTTCGTAGGTATAATGCCCGAACCTAATTAGCACAATAGAGATTAGTTTGGTCGTAGCCTATTTTCTCTAATCACACTGCTCCCGGGAGGTCGCCAGTGTGAGTTATGCGTGTGCTGAGGTCTCGGTAATTTTTCACAACAGCGCTTATAATTTGGTCGTACAGAATGAATAGGAAAGCCCTCATCGAAGTAGGTGAAGACGAGCAGGAACGCCGTTTACAGCTAAACAAGCTTTCACTTGTCGAACTGACCGTTCAAGATGAGTCGCGACATGGACAATACGTTATGGCTATCATTGGCAAGATCCGTGTAGCAAATGTAGGATTTGAAAAATTCGTATTTGCTCGTGTTACATTCAACAATTGGGCCTCATTTCGAGACTACAGCGGATCATATATAGAAAGTAGCCCAGACGGTACAGGTGACATCTTCGCCTTTGGATTCACTCGTCGTGATAAAAGGTAAGAATGAAATTTGATATAAATGCAGATAAATATTTAACCTATTAGCTTCGATACCACTATTGTTTTGTAAAACAGACTCATGTTGCTATGACAATTACTACATAATTCATAGCATCAATTTAACATTGAACATTCTTCGAGTCCAAATAAAAGTTCTGGTTCCGGTTTGTATGCTCAATTAGGGTTCTAAAAGTAATCCGACACACATCCTTATTATGTTCAGCGCTTATATGTGATTCGTGGATTTACTCGGCAATCAATCTCCAAACCTCAACAAAAGTTGTTCATATATGTTGCAGTGTCGCATATTTCTGGCTGTAGTGTGGCTATATATAGCTCTGAAGCTGATAGCTTTGTGGTGGGCCATGTAGTATTAAGCTTGCCTTTAGCCGGTTTTTCTCTCGTTCTCATTGTATTTTTATATGCAGTGATATCTATAATATACCTCGAGCTGTTATAACTTCAATATACAGTATATCGATTATCCAAATACCTAAACTAATGTCAGTGTTTTTTTGACAAAGATAATGGCATTTCTACCCTTTTACGTTTCGTCGGAAGTTTATATATGTATTTATTAACACTGAAGGCGAAATGGAAATTTAGAAAAAATGGATTATAACGCCATCGGGTGATAAAGCAGTATCTGTTATAAAAAGATGAAAATGTCGTCAGTTTTCTCGTTCGACTTTGAAAACACATGGTACTTATGTGCCTTTTTATTTTAACATTTAAATGTCTCTCTCAACACCAAGCAATAAAATATATGTATCTAATGGAAGCTACATAATAGTTGTGTATGCATATAGATTTGTCACATCAAGATTAAGAATTTATGAGGTCGTTCTAGTAGTTCAAAGCTCATGTCAATCTGAACAATCTACATCAAAGAAATGTTATAAAACTAAATCAGCAGTCAAGATAGCGTAATCGTATTTACAATGTTATGATGTTATAACTAAATATAATATTCCAACATATTAGCTTAATTTCTTCATGCACAAGTATAGTAAGTCTTTAGTTTTGCTTTCACCTAACCGATGCAGCCTAAATTCTTTTGTGTTCATGAAAATTATTTTCCATCTCCTATTTCAGGCCAGTCAACGTTGAATTTGCATTATCGGGCTCATTGGAAGGAAAAGAGTATTGGGAAAATAACAACGGTAAAAATTACTGTTTTCACTTAAGTGAAGATCCTCTTAATGACATAGCAACTGGAGAATCCGAACCGGGCGTTGTAACGACCTGGCGAGTAGCAGAAGGAAGTTCTCCAGATAAACAAGAGGAAATTGTCTTTGATACATCTAGTTATCCACATTTTGAAGCTCACCCCTTAACGCCAACCAAACTCAGTTATTATACGACGTTGCATCGGGCGCCAGAAGAAGAAGTTGTTCCCAGCAAAGCGCCTGATACAAAACATATCCGTGCCTTCAATGCATTGGCAATTGGAGAGTTGTGCGAAGTTGAAGACAAACCCAGCAATCCAGATGATGGAGCTATCGAGGCGATAACTGCTACTTTTGCGGAAACGGGTGTTTGCATGACCGGCGAAGAAACGCAAGATGGAATCGAAGTTCAAGCAACGGAACCGACACAAGATCAACAAACAGTTGAAGATCCCATTGAACCGATTAAAATCACCAAACCGATAGACGACGAATCGCCTGATGACGTTTTTGATAAATTAGAAAATCCGAAAGAAGAAATGCGAGTTGACCTTCAAATCATTGAGGAACCTGGTGACGGAAACAGGCCAGATGGTGAGAGAAAAGATACCGACTTGACGGCAAACGATGCTGCGGGTCAACAACTAACAGAACAAGACCCTAGTAAGAAAAAAGACAAAAAACAAACAAAGGATGAAAAAAAGAAAAAGAAAGAGGCGAAGAAGCAGGAGAAGAGCGACAAAAAGGAAAAGAAGTAAGTGTAGTATTCAGACTATTTTCCTTTGTTATGTCGAGCTAAAACATTTTTCGCGGTAATCGTCGCCCATGGATAATTTCACGCGATCTGGTAGAGGCTACTTTTGCTAGAAACAAAATTGATACAAAGCTTATATATATACAGCATAGCCAGTTAATATGTAAATGCGATAATAACCATGCCTCTTAGAAATAAAACCCAGATTTATTTTTTCTGCTAACAATTGGATAGCCAGAATCTCTCATTCGGTTTAATGAAAGTTTTGATTATTATCTCAGAAAATCTAAAAAGAGCAAAGCTCCTCCAGTACCCCAAACTCAACAAAACGAAGATCAAAAACCAGATTCTGAAACACAAGAACAGAAAAATGGAAAGGATAAAAATCCTGATCTCCAAAATGGCGACGACCAATCAGTTTCAAGTAAAAAAGAAAAAATAGGTAAATTCCTTTGGATTGAAGTTTTCCGATATTTTAATTACGAATAATAATACGAATAATGAGTTCCGTTTTATCGGTCCCAACAAATTACCCTTGTTTAAATATTTACGAGCTCAATATAACTTTTTACAAAATGTCACTTCATTGAGACCATTATTTCTATTGATCGACTCAAATTCCACACAAAATGACGTATTATCATCAATAATATGCGAAGTAAAATATGCAAATAGCATGTTACTTTTAAATGAATATTGTCCATTGAAATATAGAACTGGTTTACTGTAATAAAAATACGTTACAGAAGCACGTTTGAGAATGACGAGACGTAACTTTTCGACTAATTTTGCGGGGCAAGCGTCATGGTAGATGCTTTCATTTTTTTTATATATTTCCAGGAGACGAAGATTCCCCAAAGAAGCCAAAGAAAGGTTTTCTTACGAAAATGGCGTGCTGTGGAAAGGCCGAACCAGACTGATCTCGTCTGATGTGGTTGACTTATTACTTTGTTTTATGAAGAGTAAAACCTATAACTTTTTGTTTTATCTATGTCAGTATTACGGGTCATCGTTTTTGGCACTTGATGTACTAACTACTAATGCACATTTTCATAGCACTTCGTTTTGGCAAAAAAAGAAATTTTTATTTATAACGAGTGTTTGGTTGGGAATCTGGGGTAAGTTATATGGCAACGGAAGAGTTTTAGGATAACCTCAGATGATAGCAGAATTATTGAATTTATTTATGTGGATAGGAAATACAGTGTAAGAGAGTTCAGATGCCAGTGGCGTTCAAACTTTAAAAAGTTTTTTTCTTGGGTCGATTTGTGCGCATATCCCCTTTTTTAGCGTTGCGCAAAGCCTGATTGAACTAGGCTACTTCGAAGTGGTGATTCAGTTTGATAGGTGAGAGCGCACTGTGTACTTTAATGATATAAATCATTATCACTCTCTCTCATTCTTTTTAACCTATTCGGTTTGAAATGATTATAGAGGTTGTGTTTGGTTGTACCATAGTTCTTTACAGCTTACTTATCTCAAAATATCCCTATTTTGAGCAATGTATGATTTTCTGATTAAAAATATCTAACTGCACCAAGATGGCGCACATCCTGAACATAGTATGTGTACCAGGTTAGGGTTCAGGTTGTGCGCCATCTCGGTGCACATACTTCGGGAGTGCCCTAAAGTCTATATAGTGTAGTGTAGACTCTACACAAACACAATATTAAATAAATATGGTTCAAATCTAAACACCTAAATAGCAAACTGGCAAACACTGAGAAGAAGTTCAAATTCGAACTTATTAGAATAAGCAGACATGTTTGTTTGCACACTTATGACAAAGTTGAAAACCGAGAAACAAAACCTTAAGATTGGTTATTTACCACTATTAACTAATCTACTCAACATACAAATGCCTGTGCAATTATAATTCAAAACACGGGCATGATATAGCACAATTATTTATCTTGACTGAAACTGACTACAATAAAGGCATTGTAATGCACGTCATCAACATAATAGTGTTGGGCATAAATAAAAGCGAAAAACAGGAAAATTGTACACATTTTCTGAGCCATTCAGTCTGTATAGGTCAGGACAACATAAAGCTTGAAAGTATTTGCATCATTTTGTAAAGATTATTTGGCGATATATTTCCGAACGACTTGCTACATTTTCTATTGTATGATTTCATAGGTTCTAATATTACCGTCAAAACAAAATATTAAACACGCACTGCCTGTTCTCCGATATTAAAAACACGCAGTGTGCTAGTGAACGTGAGAATTTTTTTGAATGGAAAATAAGCAAATTTAACAGACAATTAAAATATTTAAATATCTTGTGCTTAATTAATGTACTTTAAAGAAAAAAGTATAAGCTGACAGAATATCTTAAAGATGATAAGGCAAAACACAAAATGATTTAATTGCAATATTTATACAAGAACCCAGTTGCAAAAATACTCGAAGAATACTCGGCGGTATGGCGGTATCTCGAGGGGGATAATTATATGCGAGAGGATTGATGGACTCCTTGCCGCTGATGATTAAATCGTCTAATCGGCTTCCTCCGCCGCCCGGGATAAATATGTGAATCCTAAACCTAAACTCTCTCTCTTCCTGTGTTTTGAAATTCGAGTCAGTTTTGAGCAGTCAGTGAATGTATCAACTTTAGTGGTTCTCCTCGCCGTCTCATTTTCAAATAAAAGTACAAATAGGTAATGCGTTAGTCGATAAATCTTCATAATGTTTTGAAAACAAATCTTATATTTAATTATTCAAGTCGAGCCTTTGTGATCTGTCTCCATCATAACGAAGAAATTTTAACTGAATCAGATTTAACCGGATATCTTATTACAGACTCGTCAAAATCATCAATTTGATTCATACTTTTGGCCGCTGAATCTTTTGGAGACGGGATATTGCAAAGAAAACTACCGTATTACTGTGTTATTGGGAAATAGGGTTCGAGTTGGGCGCTATTTTTGTCCCCTTTGAGCGCGAAATTTGTCAGCAAATGCCTCTCAGATGTGAGATACCGTCACGCAATCCAACTGGGTTTTAGCCTTCTCGAAAGACGACTGCGCCAGTCAAGACAATTCAATAACGAATACCGGTACCGGTACCGCTACTGGATTAATGCTGCCCAGTTTTAGCTGCACATGCTACCGGTACTCAGCTATTCTTGTAGCATATTGCTGTATTGTATGAACGAGTAGAACATGGATTTATCAGATGATGTCCAACTTATCATCGATAGACTCACACATGATTTGGAAGAAGCACAACAAGAAAAAATTCAGGTAAGTTTATTTTTATATCTGATTCTGGGATTACCGTACAGTATTATGTTTGATCAACTGTACTGCTGTACTGTTGGCAACTGTACAAAGAATTGAAAAAAAAAAATGGGGGGTTTTTACATCATCCTGCGTTATTGATCAATCAATTCCAACCGAATAATTTAGTTAAGTTTTTTGATCAAGAATTTAAATATGTATTTAAATTATTCGCATAGGCCTATCTGCATATTCCACATTTCTAATCTAATGGTTAGTGGATATGCAAACTTGGAAACAAATGAAATATAAAAATTAGAAACAGTTAACATCCTACGGTAAACGTAGAAATGATGGACAACAGAAGAATATGATTCAAATATCACAGACCACTTTCGAACTATGACTTGACATTGTTGTAGGAATCATGCTGACGAGTTGTCACACCAAGAAATAAGTATCGATAAATGGTCTGGCATTTTTACTAAACTCTATTACCTACCTCTTACACCAGTCAGTACATACAGCACACTACTGCACTATCCAAATTCCAAGAATTTCCCTCCATTTCGACACCTCAAAACCAAACAGTGCTAAGTCCACTTTTCCAAAAAATGACATTTTTCAATTGCTGATTTTCCTGGACTTAGCTCTACATTTTGGTCTATTTGCCTTATCTCTAGGTGCTCTAGATCTCAAGACAGCTATGGACATAACCCTGCTTTTTTTAGGGTATTTGAGAACTAAACAGAGCTGTGTCTACTATAGTGGACTTAGCTCTGGATAACTGCATTGTAAGTTGGGGCTAAGTCCGTTTTTTGGACATAGCTCCTCTCAAAAAATATAATACAAAGCGCTAAGTCCATACCAGCCTCTATAATAACATAATAAAGGGGCCCTAAGTCCAATAAAATTGTTTCTGGTCCAGAAAATTGCGAGCCAAAAAGGGTTAAGTCCAAAAAAAACCCCGCCAAAAAAAATTGGGGCGGAGCACAAATTTTTTTATACCATCTAAATATGGCCTTCATTGTAACTTTGGTGGACCATAAAAACTAGACATCCTCGATGTAAGGTATTAGAGAAATAAAAAAAAGAAACAAAAAAAAAACGTTTTTTGCGTTTTTCTCAAAACTAGAAAAATGGACTTAGCCCAATTTGGATTTCATGCATCGATTTGGTTAGATAAAACAAACACTCTATGTGTCTCACAAACGAGGGGCGTCTGGACCATGTCAGATGCTTCATATCGCGCCATGCTTGTCTCAATAATAATCTTAATTTATCGCGGCCGTCACATGACCAAAATTGCCGTTTTTTGCTAAAAACTCTCGAATGATACGGTAAAAAAAATTTCGGTAAATTGGTTGATTTTTTCCCAAGAAATTCAATGATGACGATATTAGATTGCATTTTTTTGTAGTATTTTGCGCAATTTTATTGCACTGTATTATTACCGATATTGAGGGACAACAATGTCCAGATGTCTCCCAAAGGAGGGGTGTCTGATCATCTGTAAAATGGGTTTCTCTGAAACGGGACAATATCACCCAATTTGTATAGTGTGCCGTACTGCCAGTATTCAATAAAACAAACAGTCTTTTATCTCTGACACCGTTTTCACCTCAAACACTACTTAGCAGTTGTTTACCTCATACAAGTTGTCTGTTTGCTTCGAATGCGGCTGGTGTCCCAAATCCCAAACACAGCCCAATCCACTTCAAAGTAAACAGTCGTGAATTGTGACCCACCGTGTTTATTCATATTTTTTTTCAATAAATGTTTGTGTGTACAATGTTGCCAAACTGGCGCAAATATTACTATGTTTTAAACCTATTGCAGGTTTTGCTAGTTACCCCGATTTCCCAATCTTGTGTGTGTTCATTATTTTTGTTTTGTATATGTTTTTTGCGAGGAAATATATATAAACTCATCATCACTCCTGGAGCCCTACAACAGTAGAATCTCAGATTTTATTAACATATCATTGACAATATTTTAATTTCACAACACTCCATTTCTATATTTCACATTGTACTGTTTACCATTGCCGCACTATCCTGCTTTTTCAAAATTGACTAGTTCATTTCTGTGAAGATATACTGGGCTAGGCTCTTGCACTTACTCCATGGTTTTCGAATCCTAATCATGTATGCTTTGGATAAAAAATACTTTATTGAACTTTAAAGGTTTGCGAAGCAAATATTCACAAAATAAAAACTTGAGATATGAACATAACTACGGTGAAGTAATATTTTAAAATAAAGCCATATTAAGAAACCACGGATTGATAACTCTGTATTGGAGTATTGTTTATTTTCAAGTTTTATTTGCTTGATTTCATATTTTTAATATTTCAGGCGGCTGAATATGGATTACAAGTCCTCGATGAGAAGCAAAAACTACAACAAAGATACGATGAATTAGAAGTTATATTAGATTCTACTCAGAGAGAACTTGATGCATCAAAGAATGAATTTGAACTCAGCAAACGGGTATGAACTATCATCAGTAGACTACTTTTGTATTTTATATTAATGAAAAAACATACTAATTTAGTAATTACGTTTTCAACTTTTTGAGAATCAATTGTCTGTTTTTAAAACTATGCTTTGCACTTTTTTAATTCAGAAATAGTTTTTATGCAGTGAAACATTGTTAGAACTTGCCTTATCAATTTTTACATTATGAAATTATTTTGCAATACCAATTCTGACATTATGAAATGAAGAATATATATAAATTTTAAGTCTGTTCTACAAATTTTTTTGAATATAACATGGGCCTAATTTTGTTGTCAATTTTGTTGATCAAAATCAGAAGCTTACAGATTGAGACAATTCCAACTTATGCCTTTAATCAAGTATTATTAAACACTATTGAATATATCAATGTGATTCAATTATACTATTAGTTTGGGTCGTATACTATCTAGTGGGAAATTTTTAAACTTTTTGTAACACCTTCAAAGATTCATTCAAGTTTGTCAGAAGGCATCTTCAGTTTCACTTATATAGGATATACGCTATCTTTCTTTTTGATAGTATTTATGATGGAAATTTTTATTTGGAAGTTTAGGAATGTAAAAAATTCAATCAGTATTTATTTATGTTGCATATAAGTGCAGCAAATTTGTGTAGCATAAATAAGTCCTGCATTCTATTTTTTAATTAAGCTTACTCTCAAAATTTAAGTTTGTATCAAGTCCACATTACATTTTGATCTCTGTGACCCGAGTATTGAAGTAATTTGAAATCAACAATTTCCTGAAGTTGAGCTATATATCGTTTTCTTTTTCCCTAAACTTATTAAACCAAATCAAATGTTTATTTATAATTTTTTGTTAATCTATGAACTTTTAAAATCCATATTTTTGAACTTGCCAATGTTTCTAAATAATTCTCATGAAATGGGGGTGTGGCGCATTATGCTAAGTGTTAGGAATATGCTCGCTACCGCACCTCTGATTACCGCCTTTCTGATTACCCTGCGTGGGTTCACAAGTTCGAATCCCACAGGATTTCCTCTCCCCTGGGATAAATATGGGAATCCTATTCTATCCTAAATGCTTAATATGACATTGGGTAAAAAGGGGACAAATCATATATTGCAATGAAGTTTTGTAAATAATTTTGATTAAAAAATATTAACTTCTTGTTTTAAAAATATTTTATTTGATCTAAAAGCTTCATTCAGTTATTTTAAACTTCAAATCACCATGGCCATAGTATACTGTAGAAAATATGGAACTCTGTATCTGGTGAATGAAATATTTCAAGTAGGCCTACACCTACTACTAACTTATAACTATTAATAATTACATTATGGGGGAAATAAGGACTATTTGTCATATTCTAATCCCATGGGGGTCTTAGTCATATTCTAATTTCATTCGTATCGAGTTTCTCTTGTTTTGGCCCTGGCAAAGTATCTAATTTACCAGATATCCTTTTGACATTGTCAACAGCTAAATGAAAATTTGACAATATGATGATAGATCTTCATAATTCAATATATAAGGTATATAGAATAGATATTTATTTTTCATTAGGCTCTTGAAAACAGCCAACATCAAAATAAAAGAGTATTTCATGATGGCGAAACTCGCGAACAAACATTATTACAACAAAAAGAACAAACAGAAGAAACTCTGATTTCCACAATACAGGTGTTTATTCTTTACTATAGAAGTTATAACTGACTATTAGTACAAGTCTGTAGTTCTAAGAGATCTTGTCCACTGTGGATTCTCATCTCAAACAATTGTTGTATGGTTCATCTCAGTACTGTAAGTGTTTTTATCATGTCTACAATGCTTTAAAAATAATAAACCTTAGACTGCCAATATAATAATGGCTTATTCCTGCATTTTTGACTCTGTGAAATATTTGTGTAAAAACAGATCAGATCTACTCGTATATACAAAATGAGTTAGCTGTCCTTGATATATATTTTCTGTGGTACTCCCGAAGTGTGTATTCCAATTTTTCTTATTTTAGTTCTATAACGAGTTCGGGGACTGTCTGTTTTAGTCAAGTGAATATACCTCCTGCCCATAGGTTTCAGTCACTGTACACAACTTGATGTAAAGTAGGCATACAAAAATAGTTATTTTATAAATGCTCATTACGTTTTGAGACAAATAAAATGAATATGTATCATATATATATATATTTGTATTTTTAAAAGTCAAAATTTTGTAATAGTTTCTAAAATTGATATTGATTTACTATATAGGATCTTGAATCTGAGTTGATTCAAACGAAACAAACCTTGAAGAATGTGTCAGCAGAAGTTGATGGATTATCTGCAACGAACGGTGAACTTGCATCGGTGAGAATTTTTTCTCTTCACAGCTTTAATATAATTCTTATAATCGTAAATATATAGCGCATGCGCATCTATGGACATTCTATGTAAAATTAAACTGGCAGTTGAATATTGTCAGACTTTCTTGAATTTTTCTACCAAAGGTAAGGTGTCAAAACCATGGCACCCCGATTCAATTCTGCTATTTTACTTTACTTAATAAAAAGTATCACATCATGCACAATTTTGTATGATCATGCTTGAACCACCTCCATCTTGTCCGCCAATCTTTTCTGCAAAGCAAGTTTTGGATTCCAAACCCTTACCTGTACTAATGCATTGCCTCAGTGGTCCTGCCGTTACCATTAATGACGTTAATTACTGCAGCAGAGGGATTAATTATCGATTTGAAGCTTTTTAATGATCAGATAACGAACTTATGTGTAAATCGCATGAGTCATTGGTTTCATCATTGGGCTTTCATGTGCATGTATTAGAGCATTGCTCTCTTATTTTGTATAGTACCATATCTATATGCCTCGAACCTCGAACTGGAATTGTATTCTAACTCAGAAATGTTCAAAACTGATATTTAAATTTCAGTCTTATCAAACGCTTGAGAAACAGAAGAGTGCAATTAAAAGAGAATTAAAGGAAACAAGAGTCCGAGAGTCAAGGTTATTGAATGATTACACTGAACTTGAAGAGGAAAATTGTAATTTACAAAAACAGGTTCGTGCTGTCACTCTTCTTATTGATTTTACAATAATATGATAAATTAGGAAAGTTACGACTATTGCTGGTTAATTCAAATTAAGTCTTCGTGTTTGACATCGCAGACAGTTGTTTTCAACGAGGGTTCGACGACACCCTAGGGTTCCGCAAGTTTACATACAAATACCAGTAAATATTTCTTAAATATAATTGAATACACTGGTATAATGAAGGATGTTTTTACTGGTGTTTTTTGAAAAAAAACCTGGCGTTTCATGTCAAATTGTTGTTTCACATTTTTTGACATATTTTATGATAACTCCCATAATCAATTGCATAGGATTAGGGGGTTCCTCGAGATTTGGGAATGTTTCTTAGATTTTCTGTTCCACCAAAATGGTTGAAAACCTCCAAGCTCTTAACCCCCAAAATTGTACTGCGGGCTGTGATTGGGTAAAAAAATCATGTGAACTTGAAAGTAGACTTGTTAGTTGCTTTATTTGTAGTTTGTAATTCTACTTTGATTTTCTAAGAAGTTATTGTAGTCTGTCTTTCAATTATTACAATTAGTATATGAAAAAATAGTTGGAGGCAGTTATGGAAAGAATATCCTTATACTTACTCTATAATGTACCCCCTGAAAAGTTCTGTACCCCTGATAGTACATGTAGGCTCCTCCAGTTTAGGAATCCCTGTAATAAAATATATCTAGCATACAGAGCTAAAACTTGAAATTTGTTAGTTTACAATGCTGTATTTCACTTGCTATTTCATATTGCTGCGTAGCATTATTTTATAGCCATAGTTAAATGTCAAAATGTTAAACATTCAATTCAAAGGCAGTAATATTTTGATAAGCATTAGAAAACCTCCGATTCATGTAGGTAGAAAATATCATGTAAAGCCCAACTATTTGATATAGTCTCATTATTTCACAATACTCACTATGGTATTATTATCATAATTACGTTGTCATAAAATTTCCTTTTACTTTGTGGGATTTATGATAACTTTATTATAGGCGTATCGATCATAATTATCTAATTGATGAGGTAGTTGGCGTAATTACTCCAACCTAATTAGTAACAATTATAAATTACTCAATTGGAATTTTTTTTACAAAATATTAACCTACCAAGCATGGGCTGTATTTGGATTTGGCTGTTGAGACACGATCCAGCTATGGCCCATGCTTGTTAAAGAACTATTTCTGTTGAAGTAAAAAAGTAAAATACTCATTTGGAATTTTTTATCACCAAATTATTATTCTATCGGGCATGGGCTGTAGTTGGATTGTGCCGATGAGGCACGACCCAACTACAGCCATGCTTGATAAAAGACCATTATTGTTGAAGTAAAATCATTTATTTAGAATATTTTTATTCTAGGTTTCGGCATTGCGACAATCACAAGCGGAATACGAAGGTTTTCAACATGAAATCAAGCGACTTGAAGAAGAAGCAGAATTTTTAAACAGGTTGATAATAAAAGTTGGAATTCAAACGTTATTGCTATTTCTCTCTTAAATCTTCAAAACTACCCGAGACCTTTTTTGTTCACTATTTAAATACTATAATTTGTGGATTGATGACCAAATTCACTTTTCTGAAATACGATGGCATTTTAATGATGCACAATGGAACATTACAGCATGAACATTGAACAAATGAATGAAAAATCTTCGAAGGAAATTGTGTAGTACACTCCTCTCTCTTCTATCGAAATGTCCATATTGTGTGGGGTTTAGGAAGGAATGATGTTGCCTGCAATATACATACATAGCTGAATTTGGCCTTTGATAACGTGCTTTGTTTACAATCTCTCTTTTGGCAGAATTAAATGTAAGCAAAAGTTCACAAACGACCTTGTTTGGATTTCTATATCATATGACAACACATCTCTTGTATTTCGCGCATTTACTGAATAATTTATGATTTATTGACCATTTAGCGTAATGCAATGTGTGTGGCGATTTTCTTAAATGGAAGTTACAGCCATGTCGTTTGGATTGTTGGGAAAATGTGAATTACAAAAAGGCATAATTTATCACACAATCTATTCTTTCAAAGTCATGTTTTTTGTTCTTGTTGGTATTTTTCTTATTTTGGTTATGAAAAAATCGCTTTTCCCATTAACTACTGGACTTCAGTGGTTGAAGATTGTATTTTTCGCCATAAGGTTATTACTTTTTATTTATTTCGAAATTTTTTTTTCCATGTTGGTCTCTACGACTGCGGTACTGGTAGTCTACTGTGACAAATTGCATACTCATACTTCTTTGTTTTGGCCCTGGTTTCCATATATTTGAGCATCGCTCGCTTGTTAGGCCTTTATTAATAGCCATTTGCTTAGAACCAGTCTCTGAGAAATAGATGGCGCTGGCTTGCGACTTAGCGAATAGATTTCTGATATTTATTATGTTTTATTTATTCATGATGACTTTTATTATATTGATTTTCTATTTCCAATGTATTCTACTGAAAACAGTTTTTTGAAAAATAAAAGGGTTTTATTCAATTTTCAACAGTCAACTTGAAGAAGCATTGAAATTAAAAGAATTATTAGAAAGCCAATTAGAAGAAGCCCTGGACACCTTGGCGAAAGAAAGAGAACATAAAATGGGATTGAAAAAAGAATTATCACAATATGTTAACAATATTTATGACACAAGTTTTGCAGTAAGTTTTTTATTGAATTTTTCTATCATTTTCTAAATAGGGATCATACAATAATATTGAGACATTTTATTGATAAATCCATTATAGCAATTCATCATACAATTCCTAAATTCACAGGGTCAGATTGATTTTTCAAATAATTCATCATTCAATGATAGTTTCCATGTTGGAAAAGATGGAAAAACGAAAAATAACAGGTGATTACATACTTATTGAATTGAAACAATATTTTCTATTCATGCTTTTCTCATACATCATGACATTTTTTTCTACTGTGCTAGTCTATTCTCAAATGTTGTTATTTTATATTAATTGCTGTTGAAGCAAATATGACCCATTATGCGATAATTATGTCCATATCAACAACGTTTTCAACTACAATTCATTGAATTTACCTGTATTTTTGTAAAATTTACAAGCAAAATCGACAGCTTACAGCAGTGATGCCTTGATAAATTGTTAAGAGCAGTTCTTTCTTCAATCAATCAGACCTCTCGTTAAATATTTTTAGTTTTATCAATTATATTCAAATCAGTCATCCATATAGATATGTATTGATTTCTTATTTAATATAATCAACTCATTTTTTCTGTGGTATGTAAATAATCTTATTTACGTTTCAATAATCATACAACAATATTCAAAATTCAAAACTCAGCGTGAAAGAGTTAGCCCTATAGAATGAAAGAAAACAGATAGAACACTTTTTTTTGATTTATGAAGTGAATTTTATAATTTCTGTACAGTGTAGGCTATATTTTATGTATTTCACCATGCTGTTTGTCGGAGTCAAGAGTCTTGTAGTTGAGGAATGGTGTTTGATTTACGGTACCGTTTACGGTACGGTATGATGACACCGAAGGCTAAAATCAAGAGGTTTAAATCCTATGCCCACCTAAGGTCTTATAAATTAGGTAGGAATGACGAACCGGGAAAATTCTTAATATTTCAAACTGATAGTAGCTCATTAGCTAACAATGACTGTTTGTAAGAGCCTTTATTGAAGAGAAAGTTGTACAAATATTCATAATAAGAAAAAAATTATAGGAAATTTCAATGTTTTTATCAATTTTGTGGTACTTTTTTTACGTTTTCCAATAATAAAATGATAAATTTAAACTTTTTCCCAGGCAAACTGAAGAATATGATGAAGATCTGGATAATCCATTGATGAGGCATATAACTGCTGATCTGAAGCATTCAACTCCTGCGAAAATGAGAAATGGACAAGAACACAGTCCAGCTCCAAGTGTTGTTGCTGACCTTCTAAGCGAATTAAATATTTCAGAGGTAATTAGGGATGGACTTGCTTTGATTTTGTTTTGTGATAAATTAATATTCTATTTTATTTTTCAATGTTTGAAATAGCATAATTTATCTTTAACGGACTAGATTTTATCATGGAGGATACTTACAATCTGAATTCGAAGCTGAATAGATTAAATTTTAAATTCTTTCACTAAACATATTGTCATGAATTATCATTCACCCCATGTCATTTGAACTTTTTGGGGGTCTTCGTTGTAGAGGTATATCTAGTAAAACCGCTACTGATATAAAATATAATATTTAAATAAATATTATAGAAATTTGACTGACAGGGAATGTATGAATAATTTAATTTAATAACAATTGAAAGAAATTTTCAGTAAAATATGTCTGATAACTTGAATTATTAATGTTTGCTTATTGCTTTCAATTGATAGATTCAAAACTTCTACAGATGACTGGGCAGATTATAAAATTTGGTTTATACCAGTGTTCTACTTTTTTCATCATGACCCACCTGGCGTGGCCAAATTTTAATAATACAGGAGATAAAAAAGATATAATAGAATTGACAATACCTTTTTAATGATACCAATGTGCTTGCATATTCTCGCACAAAAAATCGAATCTTGACTCTATTTCAATGATTGGATCTTTTAAATTTGATGAATATTTTGTATTAACATAAGTTAGTGTCGAAAAAGATTTTACAGCCACCCCGTTGAGGCCTTTCAGGCTTTCAGTTTGAGCCCTGGTTTATACTGCATTGAATTTATATTCATGGAAAGAAGCAAGATTCAGGGTTTTATTTTGTGCAACTAAATTTGAATTTGATAGCTCCAAATCAAAAGCATACAAGCCATATACACTTGTAACTTATAGTTTAGACAAAATTCATTAACATACATGATACATCAGGGCTGTGGAATCGGGAGTTTTGTATGTTTTTATTGATAGTAGAGTCAAAGTCTAAATCGCATTTTCAAACTTTTGCAGCTGGCGTAAAAATTCTGTATTCTTCATGAAGAAACAGAAACTCATACGCAATTTCAATTCCACATCGCTAGTTGAAAACATACAATCCTACAATCATTGTCATAATTTCAACTTCAATTTCTTTTATAGGTTGCAAAATTAAAACAGCAATTAATGCAAGTTGAAAAAGAAAAGAAAACTCTTCTTAATAATTTAAATGAACAACAAAAATTGTTGGATAATGTGAAAGGCGATAAAGAAAAGTCCTTCAAGGTTTGTGTATTTTTAGAATATGGATACTATTTTCAGAACTTGTTTTTTGACCAAAGTTCAAACTGGCACATAAATCAAGTTCTGAAATTTGAACCGATTTTGTTGATGAAAAAATTGCCTTTTCCGAAGTCTTTTTGTGTCACGACTCACGAGTATCACGGATGCAAGAAGCGGCCTCACTATTAACGATATACAATGGTGAATCTTGTTCTACGACAGAGCTGAGAGCCAGAATTATGGAGCTGTGATATTTTGTTTGAGCTGGAGCCAAGTTTAACCATAATAAATGAATTTGGATCTAACAGGAATTTCCATGACTCGAGCTCCGAACCATCTAATTATTTTTTCACATTTATAATTTTCTAATACCACATACATGTATATATTTTTAAAATTTAATTTGTAATATTAATTTATAGATTTCAAGTTAAATTTGTATGTTTATACCTCTTCTTAAAGAATAATTTTAAAATTGGACTGATGTTTTATGATAGTGGTCAATTGGTCATATCACAAAATATCAATGGCCACCACAGAACTGGATCTCAGCTCAGAATTTAACAAACATTTGGAGCCATTTGGAAACACTGTAATATTTAAGAGATGGAAATAATCTGAAAAATGTAGATTTTCGTGGTCTCATACCTTAATTTCCGGTACCAATGTATTTTGTCTACCATCCCCTAAAATTATAATCACATTGATTTAATAAAATTCCTACATGCAAAAGATGTTGAAAGCAAATTTGATATTTTTTTTTTAGGTTGAACCAAATAACGATGTTTCAAGGGAAGTCGAAGCATTGAGAGAAGAGTTGAGAAATGTTCAAGAAACTCAAGAACAAAGAGAACTTGAAGCAATTAAAATGTTACAAAGCACATTATCAGAAGAACGAAAAACTATACAATTTATAACTGAAAAGAAAAAGGAATTAGAATGTGACATGAAGGTATGTGACCACCTTATTTAATGTATGAAGATATTGACAAATTGCCAATTGACTGGTCTCCTGTTACTTCACGTTATTACTGAGTTTGTACCCCCTCGCTTTGAGCAAGTTTCCTTTAGCGTTAGGCTTATATATGACTATCCTTTCATTTTCATCAGCGATTGAATTTGTAACTTATTTTTCTGAACACAACATTTCACATTTTAAAAAAAATGCCATCTTTCAAGCTAAATATTTCCATTATTATTATTGTACATTTGAGCTAATACCATCTCTTTATTTGTTTGTTGATGGATATGCATCACACCAGAACCAGAGGGTCACAGAACCCATAAATTTTTTAATTACTTATACGAAAATGAAGAAGATTTAATTAAATTTTACTTACACTTGAACTGTTTGTTTATGATTGTACCCTAAAATTTCCCTAATCTTAAGATGCTTTGCACAAAACTTATGTTCTCTCTAGAATATGCTCCAAAAGATTGGGTTAAGATTATTTGGGTCATACATAAGACGCAACCAGTACTGGTCTGTAGTGTATACAATAAGGCATAAAGCACTACTCGATCTATACATTATGCACAACGGCTCTTATTAAGGCGTGCTATCGATTTTTATGAAAAAAAAGGTTTCGTGGTAAAATACGGTACTTATTTCAAAACCAGTATTCTATATTTTTGATTTGTTTTAATTTATTTTACATTTTAGAGAGTTTGAACTCATTTTTCTAGTATTCTACCAAAGTGATACTCCATTATTCTTTTGTTTAGGAACTCATCACAACTTCAGATAACCATATCCAAGATTTCAAAAAATTATCAGATGATTTATCAGGAGTCAGTGAACAGTTATCTCATCTTTATCATCATACTTGTCTTATCAACAGACAAACTCCAAATCGAATTGTTCTTGATCATGTGAAGAACCAGGTACTTGATTTACGTGGTTCATTATATTTTATCGACATAATTAGATCAATCGTTGGTTGTTTTGACAGATATTTGATGATTTTATTAGTTTTGATTATTGGCTCTCAAACTTTTATGATTCGTTGCTCCCTCCCAAAGACTCTTTCTGTGTTTTTTTTTATAAAAATACCGAGTATTGCTTTGAATGCGTTTCCAGCAGTTATTTTATACTTCTTATTTAATAATGAAAAAACACAGATAAAGGAAACAAAATAAGTTGATTATAGTAAAAGAATCACAGTCAATTTACATGATATTGATATTGTCATCCTGGATATCCCATAGTGAAGTCTTTTGCTTGTGCCACCCTTAAAACCATTCCGTAGCCGCCCTCTCAAGGGACGATGAAAATAAGATTTTAAATCTTACCATGGGTGCATAGATGAGTAAAACCAACTATTTTATTATTCCTGTGTATTTTGAAATAATATTCCCAAATCTTGAATATCGAATATATTCTCTGCTGGGTCATTTTTCTACAGATAAATTTGCATAAATCCACTATGGAAATGAATTTTGGTAATACTGAATAGTTGAAATAATTGGTGTTTTGATTGTGTGAATATATTTTTACTGACGTATATATTTTACTGACCTTCAGATGTCACATGCTTGTAATGAGAAGTTTTCAAATTGAGTTATTCATAAAATTAAAATTTTACTATATCGCATGTAACCAATTTTTGCTTATATCCGAACATTCGATTGGTTTCTGACATTTATGGCCATTGACTAATTACATAATTGTATCAATATTTTAACTTTTCACATAATCTTCAGACACATCAAGCCAAAGATGGAAAAGAAAATGATAATGCAAATTTAGGAATTTCAGAAGGTGAGATTTGCTCATTTTTTTCAGTCAAGACATGAGATGAATCACACATCGATCATATGGTTTATGTATCTATTCAAAATGTCCATTGTCAACTGGACTGGATATACGTAGCAAATCCTGATAAATTTGATCCACACTCCAGCCTATCGAGGTGTTTTAGCTTGTTTTAACTGGAGCTGGAGTCGTATTATCCGCTTCACAAAAATGATTTTTTCAGTCAAATTTGCCCAAAGCTAGGGCTGGGCATTTCGAATCGAATAGCAAATTATTTGAATCGGTTCAGATGGGAATTTCAAATCGTCGCCACCTTTTTTTTTTGTCCGCTCACAGGTCGAGGTGAATCTATCATTTTTTTATTCATATTAAATTTTTAAAATGCAATTCTGACATATCACTCTTTTCTCCCGAGTGGGTTATTGATAAAACATGTTTCTTGATAGATTACGTGTACTCACTAATGTGTCAGGAGCTCCCATTACAATAAAACAGTCAATACAACTATATATCTTTCAAGTATTCGATTTGAAAAAAATATTCTATTCGATTTTGGAATCATCAGATATTCAAATATGCCCAGCCCTTCTCAAAGCAAAGTTGCACGCACTCACTTAGAAATAGGTTTTATCTCCGAGAAAATAGGTACAAGAGGTAATTTCAAACTAGTCAAAGGGGAATTTTCAAACTGTTAATAGTAATAAAAGAAGTCTAAATTTTATGCAGAAACTTGAACATCATCAAGTTTACCAAGCATGAAATGAAGTTTTGTTATCAAAAATATGATTTTCTTGGAGTGACACTGGAATCTGAGTCAAAATTTTTTACAACCCAGAGTAGGAGCCAAATTTATTTTAACTTTGAGTACCCTGAGTATTGCCCTCCACAACAGATTTGCTCTCGATAGACATCCCTATTGTGATATTTTTTTCAGTCGACAGCGGGGACCCAGCATCACCAATCGTTATTGTTGCAACGATATTAGATCAAATAACCCACCTAAAGCAAGCAGTTGATCAATTAGCTAAATCAAAAGAATTAGCTGAAGAAGGTGAAAGCGTTCGACTCGGGAATTCACCTGATTCGTCGACTTCTGAAGATCATAAAGATGAAACTGAGGTAGGTTTTCATGAATGTTATCTATGTTTTGTGCTGGTGGATTTATGTTTCGTCTGACCACATTCAGACTTCCTCAGAACTGAGGAGGTCTGAATTTGGTCAGACGAAACATTACAGAAAATATATTTGTGTTAGTGTGCTGTGAAACTCTTAAATTACCCAAGAGTTACTTTTTCTTCAATCATAATGGATAGGCTAATTTTACTAATGATCTACCACTATATTCACTTCTAGACAAAGGTTTTCCCAAAGCGATTGGTTACATTCTGTTTAGCTTATTGTGTAATCATTGCGGAGCATTTTAAATTTATGATTTTGTACCTTTTTTATTGGAGCAATTACTAGTAACTAGATCAAACTGACCCCATTTCTATCTACAGTAAAGTTTTGGATCTATAGCGATTTTATTATTTTATTTTTCTTGTTGAAAGGCATTCTTTTGTAAACACTTTAGAAGAAGAGATTGATGAAACTGAATAATCTGCGATTCCAAATACATTCAACTATATTTCAGAATGCGAAATATTCGAATATATTCTGAATTGGGCCTAAATGTTCATAAAAATCAAATTTGAATTAGTTTCAATATTCTATTTGTTTGTGGACAACACTGGACTCTTCTACATGCAACAGTTATTTGCATTCACATACATTTACATTTTTTATCCAATTTACCAGGTTCAGATGTTAGAAGAAGAAGTAATGAGACTTCGTTCATTATTAAGTTCAAAACGAGAACAAATTGCAACGTTGAGAACAGTTTTGAAAGCAAACAAACACACAGCGGAGGTGATTTTCTCTCTCATTCACACAATATATATATCTAAGCACTTGTACATTTGTATATTATTGAATACGTGAGTATAATGCTAAATAAATAAACTAATTGCAGAATAAAAGTTGGAGACACGTCATGAAATTAATGGATCGATTTATAAAATTGTTGTCGTTGTGAAAAAGTCCTACAACTTTTTACAAAATTCCCTACAACTAATCGAGCAATCTGTTTCAAATTTTTATTACTTAAATGTAGAAGTGACTATAAAGCTATCATCTTATTTATCCTCGCATAATATGCACCAATAATAATACGCAATACACTGATCACAAGATATTTCCCCCTCAATTTTGCTGATGACATTCAGTACAAATAATTTTTGTGACATCAAGTTGATCATATTAGTCTTTTGACTTTCGTGTCCATATAATTGATTTGAGCGTACTAATTTTATTTTTTATTGTTTTCTTTCGAAAATAGGTTTTTGGAAAAATCAATTTTTATTTCCATCTTCATTTATTTTTTTAAGGTTGCATTGTCAAATCTGAAAAGCAAATATCAACATGAAAAAGGATTTGTATCTGAAACAATGCTTAAGCTTCGTGCTGAATTAAAAGCTCTCAAGGTACAGTTTTTTATATGTTGTATAAATGTGTGAGAAACTGCTTTTTCATTCTGCGTTTCTTTTACTGCTGGATCGGTATGAGGCCTGTGGCTAAAGGATATCTGACAAAATTGCGAAAAATTTGAATTTTTTTGTATTTCTTGCTTGTGATATATCACATTTTTCTAATATCATGGACTCAATAATTATCAGAGGTGAGAGGAAGTTTGATAGGCAAGTTTAATTATATTGTGAACCACATCCTTTGGTCTATTATCAAATTCGTCAGGTATGAGAATACACAAGCAGGAATGACTTATGAGTTACATTTTCAGATGTATTAACATAATATGTGTCTGTGTGAGTCTCCTGAAAACTTCTTTTTTGTAAAATAATGAAAATATGTTAAAATTTAAAAAAATTAACTTGCAGGAATTCTCTCCAGGGGAATTATCGGGGGTAATACTGAGTAGGATGTATTAGATGATTACCTGCAAAAATTAGTCATATTCATGCTGCTTTTTAGTATAATATTGCTGTCATTCGCTTTTTTCATACTGTGATGGCATAATTTCAAATATTATGATTAGTATTAGCAACACTGGTAATGTAAACAGCTTGTAGTCAATTTAGGATTTTATGATTAGAATAGGGTTTTCTTATCTATCTATCCAATGGCATCTTGTCCTGTTACCAATACTTATCAGCATGGGAATTATTGGCCAGTTGGTCATGAACTTATGTATAAAATGAAGTTTGTTATTTATCCTTTTAAATGCTTAAGGCATATTTGAATTCTAAGGTATCAATCCATGAAAACAGGCATAGTTATGAAATTTTTTAGTGGATATATTTAGCTTCTATTGTTCTTTTTATGATATAAAATTACAACATATTATGGGAAGGAAAAGAGTTATGTGCTTAGTAACTTAGTTTTCGATATCTACTAAGTATTAAATGTGCTATTGCCATTTTCATTATTTCAAAAGTTTGCTACCGGTACGAAAAAAGAACCAAATATTCCTAATTTTCACATTTCTGTCATAAATACACCATCAAAAATTAAGAATAAGCGATTCTAATATCCTTTTCCATAGAGTGACTGATGAAACTTAATTTACAGGAGGATGCAGCAACTTTTGCATCATTGCGAGCTATGTTTGCTGCAAGATGCGATGAATATGTTACACAATTAGATGATATGCAGAGACAACTTTCTGCTGCTGACAGTGAGAAACGAACATTAAATCAATTGTTAAGAATGGCTATACAACAGAAATTGGCATTAACTCAGGTAGGAAGAATAATAATAATGATACAGTAAGCGAAGATGCACAATTCTTCTCTTTTGACACAAAGTTGATATATGAATCATTTTGATAAATTACTGTTTTTCGTTTTGTGTTTGTAAAAATCTCATTTCTTGGGAACTTCATATGACATTCGGAACAATTCTTTGAAAATTAGCTGACATTATTGCGGTGGTCATATTAGTCATTTAACCATCATGTCCATATATGTAAGCATCACTCTCTTGTTGTGTTAATAATATGTTGTAAATGGTCGTCACGACTGCCCTTTAAATGTGAGTTAAAGTTCCATTTGAAAAATCATTATGCACCATCCATTTTACCACGAATTTCATATCTCTTCTCACTCCAAATTATATATGAAATATGCTCCATATTAGTGACTTGTGTGGTAGCTTTTCCTTCTAAAAGACTTTAATTTTGATTTGAAGTGAATTTTTTTAATTTTCCCAACATTCACATGAAGTTTCATTTTACTTTTCCCATCATTCTATGTCCCTGAGATTATTGCATATCATCATTTCCTATTTTTTCAAATAATATGTTCCTTGCTACTATTTATGCCTAATCTATTAATAGCACAAAATTCCAACTTTATCATTGAAATTAACTGTATTGAATATAACTTATTCTAACTTTCATTTCTTCTGAACATTCATGGTTATAAACCTCATGATTGCAAGTGTTTACATATTTCAGAGACTTGAAGATCTTGAATTTGATAGAGAACAACACACAAGACAATTATTAGATCATCAAACCAGTACGTCAAGTACAAAATCTGACGGCGGATTTATTGGTATCGCAAGGCGGAAAGGAAAAACTGGTTAGATTTACTATTTTTTTAATAAATTGTGTGACTGCTTGTCAGTAGCCTGTAAATGCAGGGGTGTGCAACCTATCATACACAAGGGCCAGTGTAAATAACGGAATGAAATCGCTCGCCGTGCCTTTACTTAACAGACCGGTAGGCTTTCTAGTCGTTGCAGACACAATATTTTGGGGGAATTGGAATTACTCGCACATACTTGATTAAATTAAAAACTTGTTTCGAGAGCCGCACCCCATTCAAAAGTGGCGCTTCTCTGCGGGCCGCACGAGTTTTCATTGTGGGCCGCTGGCTGCACACTCCTGTTCTAATGCATGGAAAAGGTTCAAGTCTTTCACTTACTAAAAGTTTTTGTCTAAAATATATCACAAATATTCCAAGTGATATCATGGAAAAAAGCTATTTGTTAGTGTTACTAAATACTATAGTGTAATCAAGGAGATTCAAACACAATTGAAATCAGTGATAATCGTTTGACGCCTGACGCTGTAAAAAAATTGAAAAAAAATCAAAGCATTGTTGTTTACCAACAGAATTGTAATGGTTTGTGAAATATCATTATTTAACAAAACCCAGTTTAGAATATATATTGGATCTTCCATATTCGAAAATATTATTTTAAGTTGTATTTGAAATAGTTAATTATTGTTTATCATTGTCACAGGGAGGTAAAGACCGTCTTTATTATGGCAGCTGCTGCTATCTATACTTACCGTATATTATGGTGGAAGAGTATGCTTTCATCACGAGATGTCGTTCTCCATTCCAATTACATTGTAACACAGGAGAAAGCTGGTGTTGGGAATTTTGCTTTGAAAAGACATTTCTGTTCATTCATCCATCGTCATATTGCATTTTTGGATTCAGTTTTATTTTTTTGCTAAATTTTGCGCAACTTATTAAGTGTTTCATAAATTATTCTTCACAGAAGACAAAATATTTTAGAAAAATGTTCCACAAATTTTTTTTTAATGGTTTTGGCCTTGTTTATTGAACATCGTTAAGTTATTCTCGACCAATGATGGTCTCCTATGTGCAAAATTGAATGTGTGTTCATCTTCGGTCCATTTTTGATCATAGGATAGGATTCAATGCATTACAACTAGAGGAAAATTATATCTTATACATAGGTTGGTGTTGCATATAGGTACAATATTATAAAAATAACAATATTTTTTATACACGATAAAAATAATATTACCATATTTTTTTACTATAATTGATCAAGTATTTTGGGTTGAAAACAAAACAAAAAAGAAATTACACTGTTTTGAATTAAATATTTTGGATATTTCACTCATTTTTTTTCTTTCGTATTTTTCATATTTTTGGCTAACTGATATTCGTAATTGTTAACTACTGAAGCGGAAGCAACGCCATTTTGAATTTTACACTACCTATTAAATAGCCTATATTACGTGTGGCTTTGTATTTAGTCCCTTGAAAACTAATCCAGTCGCAAACTGGAGCCCACACTACTATTTTATTCGTAAAGGCCATGATCTCATTTTTTTTTATATTTTGCATGAAAAAAATTGCATGATTGGGGTAAGAAGTAAAATTTGTAAACAAATATTTGCTAAATTTATGTTGCGTGTTTTTTTGTGCGACAGTAAAACTATCGTAGGTATTTTGATGAATACTTTTCAAATGTTTGCTTGGGCGATCTTACTATGTTCGTTATTAAAAGATATTTTGGCAAATATTTAAAATTATTTTGGTATTCATTCTTTCTTCTTGGCATATGTCATACTGTTGCTGCAAAATCCAACAGTCATTTGATTAAACAAATTTATTTTTCAAATCGATATTAGCTAACCAAATAGTTCATGTAGTTTAATCATTTGAGCAATAATAATTTAGTTCTAGAACAAACTATTATTAACATAAATACCTCATTCATTTTCACCCAATCATTTATATGATCATGCTGCCTAATGCTTGTCCATGTATAATTTTTTCATCTCCAGCACTTTGCGTTTTTCATATTGTGTTTATGAATGTGTTTCTTTCTGAACTTTCTGCTAATTTTCCCCTTTGTATTGGTCGAGTTTCGAATCATTAATTTTTGTCAAATGATTTATAGGATATACAATTTTTTACTCCAAGACTGAAATTCCACAGTTTAACATTACCTTAGTCTGCAGCTTGAATTTGTAATCTGTAGTCTGGGATGGCAACTCACTGGGTGACTAAACCGGCTATTGTGATCACCCTGTATTTATAAAATTTTGAAGCTTCGTTGGTTTTTTGTCCCTAACTAATTCAAACAGTCTAAATCTATTAATTGTAAAAAGTATTGACTAACGATGGGGCGAAGATGTTCTGATGATTTATTATAAAAAATTAATTTTCTTGAGAATTAAGAATTTTTAGGGATTGGTTTATTCTATTAATTTGCAATTTGAAGACTTTCAAAATTGATGGCATTAAAATAGGCGATAAATGAGAAGATAACTACCATAATAACAGATATTCCATAATCACAAATATTGTTAGTGAAATACTGCTGTGTGTGTATATACCACTCTTTTTTATATCTCAATTTCATGTCAGCATAATGCACGATATAAAGAGTACACAAAGATGTTTGGAAGGCACTACCTTTTTCCTGTTTTTTTTTTTTATTTCCTATTTTATTATGCTATCCTGTATGTTCCGCATCACTGGTGTTGCTGCCAATATCATAAATCACCTAAATTGGTAATGGTTCATTGAACAGAAATGGGTTTTACTTTATTCATAGTCTATGTGTTCAGTAAATACTTCTTCGCAGATTTGTGCTTTGGAAATTCTTTGTTTCTCAACTAAAGATAATATATTTATAGGTTGTATGTAATCATCAATAGCGTATTTTCTTAATTTTTATCTCGTAATTTTGCTTGGTTGAAGTATCGTCATAATTTAACTTGTTTTAATTTTCTTAGTCTAATAATGCGTGACTTTGAGAGTCGAAAATCGTCTTTAGCGAGTTTCACCTTTTATGGTCCCAAATTCGACCTAACCTAAGTTTTTTTCCGCCTGTTTGTTTCATTTTTTTATGCAGTTGTTTAAACTAATATTACATTTTGTTGGTACTTCATATAAAAATATTTTTGCTTTGTTGCTGTTGCATTTTTTGGAGATGTTTTATGAATGACTATATTATATTACACGATCATTGCATGAAATAAGTTTGTTTGGTAAAGGTAGCAACCTCCGTGGTTAAGTAGATAATTTATGATTTTTTATACTCACCGTTTTGTTTAACAACTCTATTATAAAATTATTAATAAATTTACGGGGAAGGAAGTGAAGCCAGTAAGACAGCTAGCCATATAGTGAACTACGATTTCTCTATTACCGTATCAGTCCAAGTCTGGTGTGTGTGTGTTACGAACCATTTAATCTGTCCAGGTACATGTTGGACTTAGATGGTGGGCAGGAAGCCAGCGATGAGTCCAACAGCCCTCTTGCAGCTAATTATCTTTCATACGTAGTAATATAATCAGTGCCGTGAAAGCATGGACAAGCGTTTTGTGAAAGGCCAGCTGTTTCTAAGTTATGTTGACAAAATTGTCCGTTCGCTGATAACTCGTCAAAAGCAACAAATTTATAAAATCACCAGACTAGGTCTACAGACAAATGCTCATAGCAGAGACCGCCTATAGTTAGCAGAATTGGTCGAAGTTTGGCGTGTTTTCGCTGCAGTCCCGTTTTTTAAACTTCCCCGAGTCGGTGTTTCAGTCCCTCGATGGCGATAACCAAGTCAAAATTGTCATCGAAAATATAAAAGGCAAGTTTACCAAGCGTTCATATCAGTCTACTAAATGTAAATTTCTCTCGAATTCGTCAACTATCTAGTCTCGTGCCGAAATAATATGGTATATATATTGATCTTCCATTAGTCTTAATCAAAGAAGAAGTTCATTTCATAATACTGTATAGTTTGTTTATTTATTATACATAAAAAAATAATTTACACATTGCAGAAAAAGGGAAATTTGCAATAAATAAGATAACTTGTAGAATACAAGAAATGAACTTTCGTTTGACGGCAGCGACTTGAGCATTAAAAAATATATATCTATGGTGAAAAAATGCAACGAAAAATAAAATTTGAAATGCAGCATTGTGGGGGTTTCGAGTACTATGGGATCAGAAAATTCTCCCAAATAAACAGACATTTTTTACACAAAGCTGTAGATCACGCGCCATGGAAATCGTATACATAGATCTAACCTAATAACAAGTGTGTCATGGAGGATCGGCGCCCCCCAAAAAACGGGACCGAATCCATTTGGAACAACATATTGTATAGGTTCAGTTATTTTATATATTTTTTTATTTGGGGGGGGGGGGGGGGGGGGCACCTTGTATAATTATATTTAGAAACAAATGTAAATATTCGATTGAAATCGGGTATTATTGCATTCCGTGAAGTGTATAAAGTAGATAAAAAAAAAGTTGTAATGAACGTTAGTCTAAGTTGTAGTTTGTTCTGTTACATCAATGTAGATTACTAGAAGTCCTGTAGATATAGAGTGCACCATTTAATATATTTTAGAGAGAATTGGGAAACGTATTGATAAAATAGACGAACTGAAAACATCAGCGGATACTTTACGATATATAGCAGCTTGTTATTGCAGAAGTCTAACTATATATGTGTAACTAAATATATATGTGTGTAAAAATCCAGGTTACAGATCTACGTTATAAAATCTTTACGACGTAATCTATAAGTAAGCACGTAAGCAAACGAGAACCATAATATAAAACAGCAGCAAAGGATGGCATAAAAAGTACATTACGAAAGCGATGATGACGAATCGTGAAAGCTTCTGGTTTAGAGTCTCAATATCCTCTTCTATATTCTAAAACAAAAATCGTTGTTAGGGATTTAGGTGTATATATATGCAGCATGCAAGTAAGGTATTCTATTTTCCAGAAAACTCAGAAAATTGTTAACCTGAAGAAGATAGAAGAAATATGACGCTACACAAAGTGGTAAAGGAGAACAATTATTAGATTGCGAATGTCAGAGAGTTAAAAGACGAAGAAACAATGATCATTCCTTTTATAACAGAATTCATTCTCGCTAATCATAAAATAGGAAAATGTGGGCAATTGAAAATGAAACAAAAACTGAAATCAAATTGATAAATTACTAAACCGTATTACCTGGATTTTGTCTTGGGTTAATCTCGAAATGGAAGAATTATGTTCTGTGAAATATAATTAATATTATATATATATATGTAACTAATTAAAATGCAATTCTATTTTTAAATAATTTAGCTATCAGATTCAACCTACCTGGAGCAAACATACAGCTTGTTGTGTTGATATGAACATGCTCAGCGTTTCTAACGTCGGTTAATGAAGAATTAAATATCAAGGTGTCACACGAAATATCGTGATCTACTGAAAAACAAATCAATTCATTGAAATCCGAACAGAAATTATGGAAAATCTCCATATAGTTGTGACCCATGGTCTGAGCAAAAATTTGATCTTCATAGTTGACATTATACTTGAAAACCATCATCGCAAATGAAGGAAAATGGATGTGTTCTGAATGGCGCGGTAAACGTTATTTATATTTATGGAGAATCTTGGTTTGTATCAGATGGAAATGCAACAAAATATTAAAATTTTCATATACTTTCTTACGCTTCACTGTAAATATTAATTATAAAAACCTTACTTTGCGAACAATTCATGTTGTCATCTTGCTCTGTGTCTGTTTCATTTCTGTCAGATTGTCGTCGACTATCGACGAGATTATCTTCCGTCTGTATGGATCGGTTCGAAAATGGGTCGTCGTTCCGATAAGCTATAAAAATGCGGTAAGTTCATAGAAATGGAATTTCAAATTGAAGAACTTATATATATATTACAAAAGGTAAATACCTTTCGACACGGTTGTCTCTTCAACATCATCAAGAAACGCACCGGCTAGATTGTTGGAATCGTCTAAAATAAACAAGACGATTGCATATATTCCAATCTTGAGTTTAGAATTTGACGGATATGACTCCAAATCAAACATTGAAAATGTCTTAGACTGACGAACAGTGGTATCACAGTATAGGTTTTTATCAGTACTTGTCCATGTCAGGTTGGGGTATATTTAAAAACTCGCTCAGTACATCTCACCACTCTGCATCTACCTTCAAGTCAGGCTGGCGTATACATTTGGAAAAGGGTGATAAATAGTTCGGGGGATAAGGAGTGTATGTGGGTCAGTCAAGTGGTCAACAAGTATTTTAAAATTCAAGAACTGAATGCTAAATCATATATAGCCATTGGTGTTCATTACGAGTAATTCTCAATAAAAGAAGGTAGAGGTGTTAAAACGTATGAATATCATTCCGGTACGATAATTTCACTTACCATGCTTCTGTTCTGGCAACACGTTTGCCACGAGCGTTACTTCGTCATAAGGAGGTCTTTGTTCCTTTGCTTGGAGGATACCCTGTGTCACAATAAACATCACATGATACTAATAAAATAACTATGACTTAGAAGATTGTTGAAGAAATAAATGAAATTCAATATTCAATCGCATCCTCACATGAGCATACACCGTCATCCATTGAAATATTCTTGGTGTTCTCGTCAGCGATATGTGGATGGTTCCGACACGAAGTTCAAAAGATTGTGTAAGAGTGAGTGGAATTGTGTTCAATATCTCCCTAGAAACAATATCCTGTTAACAGCTTGTGTACGTTTATGCGTAAACTCTCTCTGTGATGCTATAGAAATACGTAAAATCACTACAAAAATTCATGATACCAAGCATGATCTGTAGATAGATTGAATCTGCCAATATATACCGAGTTTACGATAAGCGAATTACGATTTACGCTCCAATTCAATCAGATAGGAAATGCGATATTTTTATGACGTCAATGTATATGCTACGCAAATACAAATCCTTCGCTCAATCCCAGTTTTGTTTTTTAGACTTGTGACGCACAAGATTCATTGTTACCTTTTATTTATGGTGGAAATTTTGATGATATTGATGGTAAACATACTGATGTAATTGATATATATACGTATATAAAAGGCCTTGAAAAATAATGATTAGAGAAATTACTAACGACAACTATCTGTGTATTGAGCTGCTCTGGTGAGGACGAATTCGCTTCTCAGCATTTCAATTCATTCGCAAACGATACTACTCAGAACTTTCATAATCGACTTAGCTTTGCCCTATACTTTCAATTTTTTTTTAATCGTAACCGGAATTGCCATTGCAGTCTTTCGTGCAGCTCAATGTGTGTTAATGTACGTACAAACCTTGGTGCGAAAAAATGCTTCAGTAACCAACAACTGTAAATGCTTGGACAGGCTGTTTTAGTAGTCATGAACGATTTTGTTGGTTCATGTAGATTGCCACGATTCGCATATTCTGAAACAGTAACAGCACAACGATTCAGTGATGGATCGATATAAAACAAAAAGCATTTGACGTCGCCGATACATTGGAAATGAAACAAAATTATGTTCTAAAAATGGTACCACTCCATACCATAAAACTTATCATTTATGAAAAAACGTAGGTCTCCTTAAAAATCAATTTTGATTGTAGAACATTGGCTGAATTTTAATTTCTGAAATATATTGATTGTTTACTGCTAATTACGTTATTGACAATTGGTCCATTCATCTGAAACCTTATATCAGGCATGGTCAACCTTTTTAGTGACGCGGGCCACTTTCACACGAGGAAAGTCATTGCGGGTCACAAACTTGAATATATACGAGTATATATATAACAATTCTGATTTACGTAAGAAAATGTTCCTCGCTGAATCAAACGCTTTGACTGCACAAAACTATTGCGAATATCTGAACACAATATTCGCGCATTTTTACGCAGTGAATTTTAGAAGTTTTTTCAAACACAAAAAAAAAAACAGTGGCGAAGATATTGTACAGTACACCTTTTATTTTACGGGGCGAGAAGAAGGATCGAAGCCTGCACGATATATAATAATGATAATGAATTAAATTTGGGTTGCAAATTTACTCCTATAGTTTTATCGACCAAGATCACACAATAGCTTTCCATTTTATTGAGAAAAACGCGCGGTGCTTCAAAAAAAAAACATCGATGTCGACCAGAACGCAAAATTTGATACACCTTTCCCTATATATATAAAATTCACGGGAGGAAGGCATAAAGGGAGGTTAAATATAACAGGCCGAAATAGACAAATCGTCTATATCAGTGTTCACTACAGCAAAAGTAAATTGAAAGCGATGTATCGAAAATTTTCATTTAGTCTTGTCTCTTGCGTGTTGGAACGATGAGATATAATTTTTTTATTAGTCATTTTTTATGGGAGATGTCAAATTTGTGGAAGACACCAGGTTGAGTTGAGTTTATTAATTTCGAAAAATACTGCGCGGGCCACTCCACATGTGGCCCGCGGGCCACGGGTTGGACGACCCTGCCTTATATGGACTGGTGACTGGACGAGTGGCCATGGATCGCCATATGATTAGACCACCTTATTGGTGTCCCTTTGTCCCGAAATAAATATGAAACTTCTGGTTTACCCAGATATTGAGAAAATTTTGATTCACTGACCTTCGATATCAGATCCCTTGGCGTCTGTTTCCGGGCAACTCAAATGTTTTTGATTTGAAGCAAGAACGCCACTCTTTTCACGCCCTTTCCAGGATTGACGAGTAAAATACACTGTAACAATAAATTACGAATGATTATGGTTTTGCTGAATACTAATTTTATCGAAGCAGCTGTGTTGGATCGATTTCATCGCATAGCGTCTTACCAGAACCATTTCAACGCTGCAATGACGGTCCTTCAACCTGAGTTCAGTAAGCAGGACTCAAACATTTGGACGGCAATGCCCACAATGCAGTGCACCACACGCATGGATGAACGCTAAATACCGTTGAACCATAGTCAACAGTATTCAGTAAACTATGGTTGAACATCATTGGCGAAGTTCTCTAATAACAACAAATGCTTCCTGTTACTTACGGATTCTCACACCGCCATTGAAATTTAATTTGACTTGTTGAAACTCGCGTTCTAAGTATCGGTATGTATATTGGTAATACTAATACAACGATGTCGTTACAAATATATAAGTATATATTTATACTAAAAATTCCAAAAGTAAGACTACAACAACCCGTCTTACCCGAAAGTTTTGCTTTTGAATGAACAAGTGAGAGTATCTTCTTCAGCATTATCCCATTTTGTAACCACAGCCAATAACCGTGTAAATATTTAATGTAAAGTGCACTCTTTCAAATATATTAAAAACTGAAATAAATGACAATTCTGGTAAATCGAGACACAATTTTATGCCTTTACGACCATGTCTACGCTCCGTTACTATTTAGCTAGAAATCATTCGCCCTTCGATTAGAAACATTTATTTCCGATGCGCCAAAATGAATACAGAAATACATGTCTTGCAGCTGCATTACACGAATGGTTAATATAGCATCTGGCGAAAAAATGCGCAGCAAACTATAACGTCCTTCTTTGTTCTTAAGCTTTTAGCTAACAAACATCGAATTTCGTGCTGTGTCTGTGTACCTAACTACTGTATATATACCCCGGGAAATAACCGGGTTTGGCGAGCAAGTAATAGTCTTTGAGGAAGGAAGTCATAGTTACAAGAACAAAATAAAAACCTCGTCGACGCGCTACTTCTCGATTTTGAATGCGACGTATACTAAGGATAGTCTTACCGAATTGTGATTCTTCTTGTTGGAATTGTGAAGAATCGCTTTCTCCGCAACTAATGCACCAACCGATTTGTAATTTCATTTTATTTATATATATATATACTGTATACATAAAGATTAATGGGGTCGTTGGAGGTTTTATTTTTCACAGCATTTGACTGTTATTTTGCTGACATAGGCCTATGCATTTCACCCAAATCCAATAGGTAGAGCAGTTAAGTCGGCTTGTAGTGCATTGATGGTAATTCCACGTGAAATCAGATATGGAAAACACGGAGATATCTTTGTAAATCGTGGTTTTTGGCTTCCGTATATTAAGCACAACTGTACCAAAGCCACGACAATCGCGCATATTCGTTAATTATTCTTTACCCGGAATGTTTCCCTGTTAACTGAATTGAAAAATATGGCGATCATGATATAAACAGTCCGTGGGAAAGAAACCAGTATCCGGAATTTAGAGTATGAATGAATTTCCCTTTACCTCAAAAAATAAGTGTCACGCAAATGCGGCAACTACTTGTGGGTACCATCGTCAAAGATCCCTAGATGTCCACAGAGCGCCAGTTCAAACACCCAAGTTATCATTACACGATTGCATGTCACTAGAGCTTTTTGGCACCTCAAGTTCCAAAGGAGTTCATAAGTATTTGTTCCATTTTTTTGTTTTGTTTTTCAAATATTAAAACACTACTCTTGGGGGTACTGACTAGGCTAAAACCTTTTTTCTGCGATTGTGGTCGACACAGCTTCTGCAATTTGTGAATATATATGTCAGTCCGATGGCCTGCCCAACGAAATGAATTATTGCTCAAATTCTCAAAAGCAAAGAAACTCCGGGAAGATGGATGAATACGTCAGATCCAAAAGCCTTCAGGTCAGATCAGACCGAACCGGTTAAACGAGCGAAATGTGATTCACGGACCAACCAATCCGAATACTGACCAACGGTCTTTGATCGCTATCACAAATAAACATATTCATACACCAATCTCCCACAATTTAGGACTCAAATGAAAGCACACATCAATGATAACTAAAATTTTAATATGTCAACAGAAAAAGAAAGTAAAATTTGTCCGCGTTGAAAGTAGCAGGAACTGCTGGGTTGGTAGCGAACCAGCAAAAGTATTTTTACTTCTGTCATCTGCAGGTAAGGGGTTTCAAATTGAACAATTATTAAGAATGAAAATAAAAATGAAGCCCATTCTAAAATCGAATATCATAAAAATAACAACGAAATCGAATAAACTAGTGGAAATTTATTATAGATCATCGATAGCCATCAGAAACCGACTTACAATTATTCTCAGTATGTTACCATATCAACAATGCAAAGCATGGAGTTAGTCATTAAATTACTATTCGCTAGATTAGATAAGGTTTCGACAGGTGTTGCCTGAATATACAGAGACTGCTTAGATTTAAATTATGAAATCACTCAAATCAAGGTTCAAGATCTCATGTATGGCCAAGGATGATCATGCAAATCAATAATAAATTTCCACTAATAAAAAACAGAACTAACATAAACTAAAATGCAACACTAAAAGTTGACAATAAAATCAGAAAATCAGGTGATACAGACTCTCACAATCATAAGAATATTGATCAGAGATCAAAAGTGTCAATTTCCATCTACTATTTAGTTTAGTAAATAGATAAAAGACTACAATTGCAGTGTAGTAAAAGGTTATTAACTGTATATTCAGTTCTTGAGTCCAAATTTGAGTTCTGACAAACCAGCACTTGCTTGAGTAAGAAGATATGAGATTTGTGATCAATAATTTCCCTTCAATTATTTATTATTAATCAATCGGATATCTTGCAAAGCTAATTAGAAATTGTAAACATTCCTGGCATTCTGGCAACCTATTTTCGCTCAATTTGAAAGTATCTGATGGAAGAAAGCAACATAAGAATAATGAAAATTAATGTTAAACTTACTTATTATGATCCTATATTTCAGTGGTATGTTTAAATGGTTCTATACTCGAAGACCATAGCCACATTCTCCCTTATTAAAAAAATAATATGCCTTCACAATCAGGTCAATAGGGTTTAAAAATAACATTTCGAGTGAGGTTTATTTTGACTAAGTAATGCAACTTCTGCAAATTCATGCTATTTCCCCGAACGTTCGTTTTTAAATTTTTGCCAATGTATAGTTTTTGAAGACAGTAGAATTTATATATTCATATCTCGACATATTTCACTCAATTGTTGTTCATAAATAGGGATGTTACGCATCAGTAGTTCTTTGCAAGGTCCCAACAAACGTTCGAACGATTGAACGTCCAATACTGGAAAATAAGAGAAATCATTTTAAAAAAAGTAAAATTAATCCCTGCAAAGATATAAAAACAGTAATACAGGGTGTCGTCCATAAAGTCTTAATTTTTTTCAAATCACAAAGGGTATTTATCAATACCATATATTGTTTTGGCCCTCACAGATGTATTAAATGGAGTTAAAATACTTCAACAATTACTGCATAAAAAAACAACGAACCCGGTTAAGATATATTGAGAACTGACTTCAAAAAATTGAAATTGTAAGGGACTTTATGGATACCATGTATTCTAAGTTATTAAATAGTTAATTCCTATGGGCATCTTCATGAGTTAAATATATCTATAAAAAGAGTCTCCTCTCCATTTCAAACAAATAAATACTGCCATGTAGATGTAACTACAAAAATAAATCTATTATTATAATGAATACAAAAATTATTATATGAAAAATTTACACGTGGTTACACTTTTCCTCACAATTCCATTGTCTATTACTCTCATTTTAATAACCTAAAGAAAGGATGGTCCTACCTGCACATTTGCAATCACCATCTGCAAAAGCTGAAGCAGCACGAGGTTGATTTTGTAATAATGCGAGTTCACCGAAATATGCCCCACGACTGTACCTTTGCAATTGAACTTCTTCTTCTGGGTTATTCTAGAAAATACAAAATATATAAATAAAGATAATAAGGAATTCAAGAGTCTTGCTGCACTGTAATACATTTCATAAAGTGATGTCTGATACTCAGACAAACAGTTTCCTGAGACTGTTGAATCGTTTAGAATTATTATTTTCGCCCTTTCTATAGCATCCTAGCAAAAAAAAACATAGAAGGATGAGTTGTTTGAAGGGACTGAAACCTATGGGCAGAGGGGTGTATTCACTTGGCTAACACAGACAGTCCCTGAACTCGTAATAAAATTAAAATAAGGAAAATGGTAATAAAATTATGGCCTAACCCTAACCTGGTACACATACTACGGGAGTACCGAATATGGACATCTGTCAGTTTAACTTGAACTGAATAACTAAATTTGACATCTATCATCACGAATAAAAGTCCAAAATTCAGATTTCAAATGATTCCAAATATATTAAAAAAAACATACCGAAATTAGATTCTATATATCTAGATTACAATCGATAAAACATTCCTGTAATAAACTTAGATATTGAAGCAGGGTAAACCTTTTTCAGTTAAAAATTTAGTTTTCAAGAAAGCTATAAATCGGACCAGCTGGGTCAAGTGTGGAGCATTGCGTTCTTGACATCCCTAGTTCAGATTGATAAATATTAAAGAGAATAGATCAATTAGGCTTAGGTAGTGGGAGTCATGAAAAATTGATAAGTCCGCAAAGGTTTGGTCACTAACATTCAACCACACACGATAAATTCAAGAAGATAGCCAAAAACCTAACCAATTGGTTCAATTGACAAATTTACATATCAGTGAAGGGAATGTCTCAGTTAAAATGAAACAATGTGTTTTCATTGTCCTGGGCTTGACTGAAATGCAAACAATATAATGATTTTAATCCCAAAACACTCCATCAAAGACTCATATCAAGGGGTAGCATACTTGGTAAGTGCTCAACCCCTTAAAACCAAATCAAACATACAAAATTGAAGTCTGACACAGTTATTAATGACAAGTGTTCTAGGAATCAGTTTTCGCAGCTTTGAGTTTGAGATGTTCAAGAAACTCAGTTGAAATTCAATTTTTCTGTTTTTAATTAGAAGCCAAGATCTTTTTATAATATTTAAAAGCATAAAAAATGAATTATAAAACAATACAGTATCATATATGGACCACCTATTCTTTGTACCTTTGTGGGCATTTTAATATGTAGTGTCCCACTACGCAACAAATGTTCAAACTAATTTCGAATGACGTTTTGCTTTCTAAAACCTAGATGATTTCATCCAAAATACAAAATATTAAACAATTTACTTGCTTATAAATGCTCCCATAACATTAATACTTGGATTTTGGAGATAATGAGAAACACCGAGCATGATAATGATTTAAATGGTTAGGCAACACTGAATTTTTGAAATTTCAAATTACACATATAATTTTTCTATTCTTGAGGGGGTATATTATACAGAAAATAGGGGTTTTTGATAACCTGTATTTTATTAAAAAGACGCACACCTCACAAACGCTTTGTTTTGTGTATTGTTCAAGCCTGATTTGAGTTAATATTCTATATATACTTTATTCAAAATATATCTAGAGATTTCTGAGAATAACTTCTAGCTGATACTACACACCATCTAGGATTTTCACATTTATCTTTGAGGAAAGGAAAGTTGATCAGACTGCATTTTAAGGGTGGCTTTGAAGGTTGTTTCAGAAAGCAAGGAAATTTTACTTTGGATATGTGAACACAAACAATTACTATTCAACATTAAAACTACAAAATGTTTTCTTTTTGGATATAATGTAAAGAAACCCTTAGAACACAGAAGGCTTAACTTAATACCTTATAGCTTTATTAGTATTAACCTTTAATAACACATGAAATTTTTTGTACAGTTAAAATGATAGCGCACGTCAGCTTAACACGTTTGTTTATTTTATTCTTCAAATGTTATGTGTACTTTACCGACAGAGCGTTCGAATTGACTTAAGCGTTGCGCTGTGACGCCTGAATAATCAAACAATAAAAATGGGGAGCACGACACCATTGGTCACAAAAACCTCTGTGGTTAATATTATACTTAATATAATATCACTTAATGTTTGCCAACATGGAAATGCCGACATAGTAGAGCTGGGAATATATATATATGTATAGGCTATTGAAAAAACCTCATATTTCAATGTATTGAATGAATTTTTTTAAACAGTGTTTTTATGTGCCATATGCCTCAAAAACACCATGTGAAAATTTTTTAAAGTATACGTATTCTACAGGCCATAATGAATTTTTTTTTTCTCAAAAATCAATCGTGTCCCTTATAATGTGTGTCAGGTAAGGATTTATGTTTTATTGCCGACACTCAGAGCTAGTACGGGAATTACTTTATTAAAACTGTTGTCTGTTGTGTCTTACAACCCAATGCGCCTTATGTATGAATAGAAACCCAATTCAAACAATAAATTGACACTGTGCCGTATAGACTGTAAAATATGGTACACATACCACGCATTCATTTTATTTTTTAATCAACTTTAGTATTTTCTATTTTAAAAGTTGAATTGGAATTAAAATCTTTAATGAAAATTTCAAAATAGGAAATACGCGAACTTCAAAATAAAAAATAAACTCAAGATTAGTGTTGGAGAGATGAAGAGTTAATATGAAGTTCACAAAATATAAATATCATCAATCATCACAAATTTAATGGGAGTATTAATGGAAATTGAAGCGGTAATTTGAAAATGAAAGTATTTGTATATTTGCAATTATGTTCTAAATTATTGATCAATTCTACATTATTGATTCTATCACACTAAACTTGACATTTTTAGTTACTGATAAATGTTTAAAATAGTATATCATAATTTTATTTATTCCTTGCAAATATGGATAATAGAGTTACACATACAAAGAAAAACAAATTTCATTAAGGGCATCCATTTTACTTGTATATAGGAAAACAAAATTTGAAGGATCATTTGTCATTATTTCAAATAAACCAAACGTATCAATCTGTAAATTCTTCATGCTAAATCGAAATATAAAAAGCCTGAAAACAATTTGCTATGAAACATTAGCATGTCATCTCACGATGGTCTCATGAGATTTGCATAAGCCTGTGACAGACGTTGTCTTATGCAGACAGATTACTTCAATGTAATGCTATCTCGGAAGAATAAATAAATATTAAATCAAAGATGGGAAGTCTATGCTGAGCGTGGATAAGAAACTGCAAATGATTTAGAAATGGCCAAAATTTATATCACTTACAATACTGGAAAGATATTTTTTTTAATAAGCTACAATGAATATAATCTAATTTTGAATAAATTAGAGCACTTTTTAAATCTCCAGTTGCTAGAATATTTTTTGTCTGCTCTTATCACTTTAGTGGTTCTTTGGGGTGGGTTAATTGGGTACCAATAAGAACTCGTAACTAGACGCAAGCTAAAAAATATATATGTATATTTTTAGGAATTTAGACAATTGAAAAATACAAAAAAAAAATATGTTTGATTAACTTCATTGCATCACTTGCATGCAATTGCAATCAAACAATAATCAATTCTTACCGGGTTATCACCACGTCGTTTAATCACAACATGTCCTTCAGCTACGATGTAAAAAAAATCTGCAGGATCACCTTGTCGCAAAATAATTTCACCATCTTTATATGTTTTAGTAACCATTGCATCTGCCACCTTCATTCTTTCTTCAGGCTGAGAAGCAAAAAAATCAAAGTCTTACTATTTGGTCAACTCGAACCCATGCATTACCCAACCTGAGTAATCTGGAGTGACGCAGTATATTTCTACTGCTTAGCGTGTGACACCCATGGTGAAGCAAGGGCAAAAATTAGATAATCTAGTACGAACTTTAAAATCGCTCTAAAATGATATTTTTAGTGCCGCTTCGGTATGAGATCTCAGAGGCATAAATCTACTTTGTCACGGAATCTCACTTGCTTAACATGATCTCAATCGCTCTTTTCGCTCAATCACTCTGGTATGTCCCTATTCTCATAGAATTAACTTCCTAACTCTAACACCGATGAAATATATAACATACATATAACATTTAATATAAAATATCAAATATTTTAAATTGGGTCATGTTCTGCAGTCATACATATATGTATATTCAATGAGTTGAAATTGAAAAGTTAAAGACCTTTTCGGTCATATTGTGACTGTGAGAGATCAATTTTTATTTCAAATTGAACCGAATAGCGAAAAGTTAAAATATAATAATTTTGAATCAATTCTAATAATCTATTCGTTCCGGACATGTTAAAAATTACAAAACTGATGTTGGTTAGGGAGTCCACGTACACGTGCGTCAGTCCAAATTAAAATGGCCAAAAAATAATGAAAAAATGCATCAACCTTGCTATGACGTAGTTTATACTTACTGTAAGAGTAGTAAGACAAGGAATAGTTTCAAGAAATTCTTCATATTGTCTTCTTTTCTTCGCTGCATTTTTCACAATAATTCTTCGGAATGTTGTCCTGTCCTATAATCAATCCATACATAGATTTCACCTTTTTACCCACAAATTTCAATATCAATAAATTTCAACATTAAATTCAAAATTACTTGGATGTTTTTGGAATTGGATTGATTTTATGAAACATGAAAATACTAATTTCATCAACATCAAAAAATATTGACATAAACCATGATCTCACTGAGAAAATGGAAAGTTTGAAATGGAGAAAATAACAGTTATTTCCATTTTTGGAATCCTTAGGTATAGTATACGTCAGTTTATTTGGACGGTAAAATCAGCCGAACAGGTGATAAAATAACTGATAAAAATAAACAAATAAAAGCTGAATATAGAATCAATAAAAGTTTAAAATGGCCGAAATTTAAAAAAAAAGTGTAGCCGAAAGAATTGGTCTGGGTTCACTCATCTAAGAATATAATATTAATATTCACACACATACAACAAAAGAGATGTAACAAATAAAAAAGAATTCAACCAGGTATACTAACTAAAAGTCATACATATACTATACCTCATTGATATTAATTTATCACACAAAATAACAAGTTTTGCACGTAACCGATACTAAAAGAAAACAAGGCATTTTTATTCTCTTCTTTCTAATCAACTACAAGGCATAAAATTGGTTGTTAATATGTACACAGAAGAGACTAATGCGACAAAATTGCATGCGTAATTAAACGCATGTTAGCATTATTAAATCCGACAGCTTCTAAGGCAAAACATGGTTTTCTACTTACCATCCCCCATAATGAACCTTCGGTCGTGGCGATGATAGTAGCAGCACGAGGACAATTATACATCAACGCCAATTCACCGAATGCCCCCGTCCCATGATAAGAACCAACGTGATTTTGATTTCCTGTTACTTTATCTTTAATAAAGATGTCGTAGTCTCCGCTGAGAAATAATACAATATTTTATTCTGACGTAATAGAAATAAATTACTATAACGGTGTTCATAATATCTTGTTACAATTTCATTTTTGTTATGAAGTAAGTTTTCAATAACAGGATTGTTCATTTCAATCATTTCAAAGTATTTTCAACCTTCCTATTCCCATTTCCCACAAAGCACATCAAAGATTTTCTACTTAATTCAAAAAAGCATTTTACAAGCTAATATTATATTATGTTACTAGTCTTAGATGATGTTGAATGAAAACGCATGACGGTAATTAGAAAAACAAATTTATACATTCAAAACTACAATAACAATGCTTTTTAAACTTATTCTATTACATAAAGAAAATCCTGAAATATATGAAGGAAGTCTAATTTTACGAATAATTTATATTAATTCATTCAATACATGCTTCTCGAATTTTCAATAGAAAATATACCACATAAGACATAAAATTCATTCATTCAATGGTTCGGCAATTTCATTCATCTAATAAAATATAAAATACAAGCGTGGAAATAATAAAATCTGCTGTTGTAATTCAATTGCCAGATGGAAAAACCGCAAGCATGTTTTAAATATGAACATAGCAAAGAGATGTACTAGTGTCAGAATACGTTGACGCTACTTTTACAAATCTGAGATATAAAAAATCATTTAGCATTAATCCAAATACCACAAGTCACAAAACCCCTAGCAACAGCTTTGTGGGATTTTGACCTGTGAGAGCTCAATCGTGGTTAATAAAGATCTTAGATAATTCCTATCTTATGATGTAATAGCAATTGACAAGTCCGACATACAGACCTGTCAAAAATTTAATGTGAAAATTTAATGTGAATAAATCAACTATAGTGATACAGGTGAAATACTAATAAAAAGAAGCAGAAGTTTAACCTTTCAATAACGTAAAAATTATCTCCATCATCTCCTTCATCAATGACATGAGTTCCTGGTGTTACTTTGTGTTCGAACATTGCATCTAATACTTGTTGCATTTGATCCTGAAATATTAACATATTTTCGAAAATCTGTTCCAAAATACTCGAATATTAAAATAAGATAAAAAATGGAAATAGAGCATTATTTCGGTCAGTTTTCTATAGTTGTTTTAAAATTAGATCAAACATATTTTTAATCTGCATGTTTTTTGATATTTTAATAAAAATTTCAATATTTCAGAGATAAATTCTATATTATTATAAATTAATTCTAAAACGGTTATCACGTTTGCAACCAATTTGGATATTTAATTCATATTTTACAACCTTAAATACAATATACTACTTTGTCACTAAAACTGGTTCTCTGCGTTACCTTACTCATTAGACTGGCCCTCTGCGCACAAAAGCCAGAATAGGGAAAATTGCGAAGTAAAATCAAAAAGGATTAAAGTGATAGGTGTCAGATTTATACAGGGTGACCCCGAAAGCCCTAACATTATTTGGAATATACCAGTACTCTAGAGCAGTGGTTCCCAACCGCCGGTCCGCGAGAAATTTTGTTGCTTTTATGCCGTCTCAATTGCTTCACCGAAAACGAGTTTGCGTTATTTGTTACGCAATTTCTCTTCCGCCGTCCTATTGCAACATCTTTTGCAACTTCTTGGCGCCAAGTAATCCCACATCTCGCATTTTCGGCTCCGATTCATCGCGAATGTGCTCCATCAAATCTCGCAAGATTCAGAAACCTAAAAATCGGCACGCGTGCTTTTTCTGTTCTGCATGCTTTTCCCTATTAATATGACCATCCATAAAAACGTCATGCATATTTCTTTGTTTAAACCAAAAAACAGTCAAGAACAAGACAATATTCTAATAAGATATGAACTTGTTGCCACACTGCAGGTGGTCACGAGCAAAAAAGCATGGGCCGCAGAGATTTTTTTCAGTATTTTGAGCAGGCACAGTAGGATTTTGAGCCTGGTGCCAAGTTACTGACGACTTTGTCATTGTAATATATTTGTAATATAATATAATTTGTATATTTGTAATATAATATTTGTCATTACTTATTCGTTATGCGAAAAAACATTTTCATCACCAGCTTTAAGTAAAACAAAACAAAGAAATCGGCTGCACGCCGCTTCAGAGCTACGTGTTGTAGAAATTTTTTTGAGGCCTAGTTTGCAATCATATATTGGAAACGAAACAGCAGCAAAACTCTCATTAGAGTTAATTGTGTTTGTACATGATTTGGAGTGTACATGTTTTTTATGTGAGTTGTTTTTTGTGTGCCTTTCTTACGCATAATGGTTGCCCAGCACTGTATTTCATTACACAAATATATGGTATTATTTTATGCTTCACACATTTCAAATTTTGGCCAGCACATTATTTGATAGTTTTTCTTCACATGAAATGTTTTTAAGTGTGCCTTTTATTGTCTAGAAGCATTTTGAGTGCCCGACATTGCATTATATTACGCATATATATGTTATTCTTTTCTGTTCCGGTCATTTCAATTTTTTGCCTATCCGCGAGTACATTCAATTTAATTTTACCGGTCCGCCAGGGTAGAAAGGTTGGTCACCACTGCTCTAGAGAGAACAAAGCTTCTATGAAAAACGTTCCAGATTTCTGATTATTTTTGTACAATCCTGCACAAACAGAAGTTCAAGTGTAAATACAATTAAAAATAAATTCTCAATTTTTGTTGAATTAAGAAATTCATGGGTTATGTTTTTGGGGGTCCCATGTTTAGTAATTAACCTTACCATTTCCAAATTAGAAAATAATAGAATTTTGTTGACAACATTTCCAAGTCTTTCTCTTTGTTCGTCTGTTTTTGGATGAACTATTCTTTCATCATCATCATCGTCTGCATCAGGATCGAATCCTTCCGCACTGACTGAAAAATTATGAAAAATATAATATATATTCAAACGATCATTTCATAGGCATATATCGATATAAAAGTAGAGACGAATTTCTTCAAATTAACTGATAAAAATAAATTATAAAATTTGCCTCTTGATTCAATAACACACTTCTTTTCAAGGTATTTTCTATACATGTAAGAAATATCTTGAGTGATGGAAATGTAAAAATCAGATATGCCTGTGGATATGTGGATATGCCTGTATAAACTTCCATAATTGGATCGAGTGTAATAAAATGAAGTGACAATAAAAAGACGACTGTTTCAGGAGCAAAACAAAAGAGCAACATTTGCCATTGGAAGTGAAATTAAACGAAAATTTATCATTTTTTTAAATTTATCATTGCTGATGATATAGTCCAGTGATTCTGAAGATTTTAACTTAGTTTATTTGCCAGCACTTCCTCATAGTCAAACCTCCAGTTTGAGAATTTTATTCATATGGAGCATTCTTACGTATTACAGTTGTCGGTTATGTTAGATAGCTAATGCAATTCATAAAATATAGAATTCAACTTTTTTATAATAAGAAAATCTTATCAATGAATGCATGATCTGAAAAAAATTAAATTTTCAAATGTACCTGATTTTCTTCTGGAGTAGTTAGCTTGTCTTGCCATCATTGCCAATTCTATCAAAAGAAATGAACATTCACTAAGGTATATAAATCATATATCAGTCTACACTGCCATGCCCTTATGTGATACTGCCCACCAAATATAGCTGCAAGAATACAGAGCCAGAAAAAGGGTTAAAACAATCTCGTATTATTACAAGAGCTATGTATGATTATGCTTGCAATTGACGACCAGACCTTTCCCCAAATCCAGAAATGCGAGTCATTGTTGTTTTAGACTGAAATATTAATGAATAGAGAATAGAGTATCAAGAGAATTGCTCAAAATATTAATTCGATTTTGAATAGTATGGTAAATTTTTACAGTTATAGGGATTCAAAAAAATGATCTTTATGTAGATTTTGTATCCAGAAAATAACTGAAGAAGTACAGATTTGCAGATGGTTTGAATGTGAAATTCATTTAGAAAATTTAAGTTTTATTGCAATTGAGTAAAGATATTATAATGATTCGCATTAGAAATAATTTGTATATCTCTATATTGCGCAAAATATATTAAAAATAGTTAGTCATGAGCAATAAAAGGCAAGATCATTACAACATTTACTTAGATATTGTTATTGAAAATTCTATAGTATTGTATTTGTAGCTATCTTATATAACAGACTAACAAAGTTTATTATATAATCATTAGCAGATAGCTTGAAAATAGATTCATAATATATAATTCATCACCAATAATTACTCATAACAAACAAAGCATATACATACGGGACCGGTAATTGATAAACAGGACAAATAAAAACTGTTTGCTTAGGAATTTATATACCTGGAATTTCAAGTACAAAAAAGCAGGTAAAAGAAAATTAAATCCTAACCAAGGGAATGCAATATGAAACAAAACATGCAAGGAATAACTGCTGCAATGATGCAACTTGAACGGCAAATTGCTCAATATTAATACGACCATGACTAATGTAATGTGATGATTAAATTTTCAAGTTGATGATCATAGATAAATGATTTATTATGTTACTGTGGTTCAAAGGTATATTTTATTACCATAAATCAAACAAAGAGTAAACATAAATGAACTTTTAAATGCCAACTATAATATGCCAATTCTAAGTGATTCAAGAGTCTTGCTGCACCCGAAAAAATATATTTCTCTAACGTTTTGTTTAACCAAGGTCAAACTTCTTCCGACATACATAATTCAAAAGCCAATCTACAGGATTTTTGAAGTTGAATTTCACAAGTAAAATTAGTCCTTTATTCTAGTTTGGCTGATTAAGCGACCAATTTGAAATACTGGATTTTGCAACAAAGAATTACAGAACACAGAATTTATTTTAATGCATTCCTGCATGTACATTAAGCTTTGAATTAAACAATTACCTTCATCAATAGCTTCATCGTCACTTTCCATATCTTCATCTGCATTTGGATCTGACGTTCCACCCATCTCACCGGTGTCTCGATGATCAAGTAAACTTGAAAAATATTGCGATGCAAATTCAACTAGATCACCGGGTTGCTCACGAAGTACCGCAACAACAAAATTCTGTCGAGAAGACAACATAGTATTTTAAAAAATGTAAAAAACAATAATGTTTCAAAATGTGTAAAATTTTGTCAAGATATCAAGAAGCGTGGTAAGAATAATAACAACCAAAGTTATAGTGCCAATGCTGCTATTTACCGCTTCATTGATTTTCTGGTTTCAATAGTTCAAATCAAAGAAAAAAATATATATTTATATAAAAGCATAGTAAACATACATAAAATGTCATGCATTCCACAGTAATGTCACATGAAAAGTCCTATTATCTAATTATACTAATATATTTAAAATAATAGGCAATAATTCCTATTAGTTTTAGTAGTTCGCGATATTTTGTTGGTCGCTAATAACTCTATCATGAGATCCAACTCCTTAATTACTCAGCGAGTATGTGTCGAGTTGCTTGCTGTGAGCAGATTTTTCTTGAATAAACAGTCACGAAACATGATAGCTCAACAAGTTGGGAAAAATAATAAGACAGTTTTCCAAACAAAGTTTCCTGTTTTATATATAAATTACCTGTAGCATTTCCTGAAGACCAGCGGGTATCGGAATGTTAGCCATTTTGATTAGTATTCAAGTCAAATATATATACCCTACAACCAACTTTTAATGAAAGATAAAAGTATGAAGTTGTTAGAGAAAAAAGCGACTCATTACAAATTATATGATACTACAGTATTAGATGCAGTCAAAGTCGTGTACAAATTGATCAAAATACCACATGAAGTATGTGTTAACCTCGTGACCCTAAATAAATAAACATATACAGATATATGATCACAAATGCATACATCTGCACATGGTAGACAATAAAGATGAAAATATATACCAATGCCAAAAACCACCCTGTTCCTAATCAACAATGTAATAAAACCCATCAGTTATATTTCAGTACTTAATTTATGTAACATTTGTCCATCTTACAATCTTCAAGTTACAGAGTTAAGTTACAAATTGGAATAGCATATAATGATGTAATGAAAACACTCTCAGTGAAAATGATTAGGAGGCTATACTGCTATAGCAGTACCGGTATAGGGTGTTCTGATGTTACATAACTTGATTTTCATAAGTTGAGCGAACTTTCGTCCTTGCATTTTCAGATTATATTTTAGCCCAAGTTAACTCATTGCATCGCTAACACGTCCAGCTTTTCATTTTTACTCTCAAGCTCAGCTAAGTTTACAAGTACATGCAATAACAAACGCCTAATTTGATATCCACACTGCAATTAAAGAAATATCCGATTGTTACAAAAACACGCGGCCTTGCAAAAATGACACCTCGTCTGCAGAAAATGCCTGTGATTGAAATCGTTAAAGAAGCTCGAGCGTGTACTGACGTCAAATGACGTCAATTCACCATTATGCGTAATAATTGACATGAAGGCAACATAAACGTACCGCAGTTCAATTTTGACGTAATAATTGTGAAAAGTGGTGATAGTATCAGCTTTATCTTCTGAAGACGAATCCAGTCAGTTACGTTGTTGTCAGATCCGGTTTCTTCTGCTTCAACTGGGCGAAAATAAAGCCCTTATGTAAACACCAACCGCGCCGATATATGGCGGGACTTCGTTAGATAAACGTACTGCGCATATGAATTGCTTTTCAGCATAGTCGCGACCAAGCTATTCCGGAATTCACGCGTCAATAACCCACCGATATTAACTCGTGACATGGACCATATCGAGAGCATAGTTCAGTAAAACGCGAGGATAGTAACATGCAGCGGGTGTGCATACATTGACTCTTAAGATCCCTACTTTGAAGTCTAGAGTCGAATAACACCAATTTTTTTCATTTAGTCCAATGTAAGAGGTACTTTAATGTTTTTTGGTGCTTCAGAAGTATGCGATGTCGCACAACCTGAATCTTAAGCGGTACACACATACTATGTTCAGGTTGTGCGCCATCTGGGTGCGCATACTTCAGGAGGTCCGTTTTTTATATAAAATACTGCATTTGATTTAAAATTCAATTTCACAAAAGCCGACATCAAAAACAACTAACCAAAATAATTATTGCCTGAACCTAATCCAACCTTGCAGGAATCTAATGACATATGACAAAACCCGCAATGAGATTATGATGCATATCTAGAGTCGATGCTGCCTGAGTAGAAACAGGGAGATGATTAAAGTTATATATGAATTCGACAATTCCGGGGGATAGTGTATAACTAAAAGTCCCATTGTTTTAAAAGAAACTATTCACTTTTGGCGGTCAGTGTACTTAATTGCGCTATTATTGGTATTGGTAGTTTGGTACTATTGGTTGGTTTAGTATATATATCTGTTTTTTGCTGCTGCCACATATTGACGGATAGAAAGGGGAATAGACATACCCACCAATGTCGTAATTAGCATTCCTAAATTATAACAGTATTTGCCTTCAACTGTACTACCGTCTTATATTAAAATTTTTAAAATTCAGGCTAGGTCTTATTTTCGGGGAAACACGGTAGTTATATCATTTGCACCATTATATTTATAAGTCTAAGGTCTATATTGTCATACATTAATCATAACTGAGAAAACGCTATTTAAAATTTAGATATGTTGTCCCAACATGCGCGCCTCGTGTTCACCGAATTTAAAGTATTCACAGAACTTGATCACTGTGGGAGCGCGACGTAGGTGACGCTTCGTCATATCATAATTAGATGTTCAGTTGTGTGTAACAACGGTAAGCCACCGAACCTGAAGCTACACTGAACCTGAAACTGTCTTTCACTTTTAAACCTGTAGCAACAATGGAATCGAATGTCAGGAATAAGTGGCTTATTTTCATCATAACTAAAATATGTTTCTGAGATTAAAGATAGCGATCAAAGTAATTGTCAGTCACGTCTGCAAAAAATTATACAAATGCCTACAGCTTGAAAGAATACATAAAACAGTCACTTCAACACAGCCAGTTTGAAATCGCATTACGTACGCTTCCCTGTCTCGGCATCTGCCATGCCTCCGTATAAACACAGTTAGTCAACAATCTTTTAGGCAATAAAAATTTGAAATAACGTTAAATATTCTAAGAGTTCACTCGGAAATTATCCATGGACTCCGCACGATGACAGATAAAATCGAATGCCATGTAAACTGCAACAGTTAGTAGACCAATAAAATCGGCCGCAGATTTTAGAGCGCATCTTCCGTAAGATATGATAGCATTGTTACTACAGTACTTGAATTCTTACAATATAATAAGCCATAAACTCCGTGTGCTTGACTTAACCAAACACACGCTTATTAATCCAAGATAAAGTCCACGATGTTTTAAGTGAGCGTTTCGAAATATTTCAGCCTAAAATAATACACTCGTAGTATACATTTTGATCGGCTGTGCGGCGTCATTCTAGGCGGCTTGGTAAAATTCGATCTTACGGTAATGAAAAATAGATTTAAAATAAGTAGCTGAGCAGGAAGTAAGAAAATATTGAATTACATATTCCCATAATATACTGTTTAAACTATTTAACTTTGCCCTGTGCTGCTTTATTATACCCTTTAATATCGACGCTATTTTCATTAGACTTTAATTTCGACCTTTTATCTCAACATAGATGCTTTTACAGGCAACACGTAAAAGCAAATCCAATTAGGACGCAGAGGTTGATTTGCGGAGTCGCTCGATACTGCGTTCCAAAATCAATATTCAGCTCCATTGCTTTGTCTTCGTTAAGCATGCAGCGAACGAAACAGTTGTGTATTGTCATCGTATATTTTGATTTGGTATAATCGGAATGACGTGAGCTTCATAGTTAGATGTACGTGACAAATTGTAATGCTGACCTCCTTGGAACATGCGAGGGTCAATTACAACGCGTACGCAGTCGCATTGCATACTCACTATATCATTATAGATATCAAATTATAACCCATCCGGTTGCGCATAATATCTTTCTCTTTATTTCGCATGAAAACGAAAATTTCGGTAAAAATGGGCTTTGTATATTTTTCGCAGAGACTAAAAAACCCGCTACAGTCTCACTAAGACACCACTGCACACAGGCGCGGCCAACTACGTCAACGGATTGCCGCAAAATGCAAATACGACCACTCCGACTATTCCGTTGAGACGTTAAATCAACTTGTCATCAGTCGGTCGTTTCTCAGACTTAGCGGTTCAGAGAAAAGTTAGATATGTTCAGCTTTTTTGTATCTAACGACGTGCCTGCTTGATAAGCGCTGACTGAACAGCTTGGCTTTGGTGATACGGCGTATAAGACGTACGGATTTTTTGTCTTCTCAGCCCTCAAAATCCCGGTAATAGTAAACCATGTTGTAGCTCAAGCAAGTTGAAATAATTGGAGGTTTCTTGCATTAATTGGCAGCCTTTTGACATGGCGATCAAGCAACAGCAAAATCATTGCAGCAAATTTGGCAACCAATAGGCCGTAATTAAGATAGCGTCACCCGACTAATGACCAGTTAGACTGGCCTGTCAGTTGTGATCTTAGCTATTCAAATATTTCAAATGGTGTCTATGTCAAGATGTTTGACGTCATACATTCCTCAAATTACAACAAATGATTGTCGGGGACTACGAAAACGCATTTGGTATTATTATTGAACTAAAATCTTATAGGTTTAGTACTCATTGCGTTCATTGCTGACCAAACGTGATACAAAAAAGTAGTATGAACTAGAGATGTACCGATATAACGATATCGACAATATCGGCCATTTTTTCGGTATCGGGCATGTATCGGTATCGGTTAAATCTAGACCGATATTTCCGATATATTTCGCTTTTTAATCTAATCCAGAATGTTTTAAAAATTAGGCTAGAATATGGATGTTAAAATTATTTTTGCGTTGAGGGATCATGTTTGCGGTATTTGCCTATATTCGCCTCGTTAACTCTGAGCCATTTCCACCTCCACCTCCCCGCGAGTAGAAACGGGAACGACATTCTGACCTGTTTTTAGCCATCTTTCAGCCACTCATAGCTCAACTAAATTGGCTATTTTCGCTGCCAAATTTTATTACATTAATATTATGTTTTATCATTATAATTATTTATTATATATATTTTATATTGCCATACATGATATGGTAATTATGATCAAATATATCAATCGAATAATTTAAAATGTGTAAAATACAAAATACGTTATATTTGCACAGAATCCTGCACAGGCAAATCGATGTATCAGTTTGATATATCTATCGTAGCCAAACCCGATGAGTTTTCTAATTGAACACCTAGTTTACGAACGTCGGTGCACAATGCATCCGCATCAATTAATGCATCTGGATCACAAACATCAAATTCTTATTATCTGGATTACTTCTTTTTCAAGCTGAAATAATGTGCACCGTGAATAATACTCCCAAACTATTGTTTTATTCCATCTACCGTGCATACCTGAAGTAATAATTACATAGTATCGGAATATCAGTGCCCACACTCTCGTGTTATTGAATTGGCACACGTTAATAGAGTGCAACCCCGATACGCACTCTTTCAGAGGTCAACAAGCACACAATGTATTGTAATGCCAAATGTTCGTATATTGTGAAGTTGCACAATCGAATTGAATCTGAATACACATATTGAAATATACACTTGAACCTTACAGTTATACAGTCGAATCCAAGCAGAAAGTCGGAAATACGCGTCATCGATTGGTCGATACAAAAACGATAAGGCTTGCTACGAAAAATCATTATCAGGGAAGTTGCTCAAATCACCTAATCCACATACTATTAATGTTGTTTAAAGTCCACGGTTACACTCCACATTACCTAGCCCCGTTCGACAGGAGAAATTTCCATATAAAAAAAGCAGGTCTTCAAGAAGTGATGCTTTTAAACTGAACTATGTAGCGGTAAAAAGCTATTGCTTTATCCAATCAATGCCGACGACTCTTAACAGTTGCATGATAGTCCGAAATCGGACGACCTTTTTATTTTCAGCTGATGGAATACTATCATACCAATTCCACTTCACTCACTATTTCCAACGGAGAAACCCAATACTATGTTAAGTTTTTGTGAAACCCAAGCGCCACTTGTCTGAATCTTTTTAACTGACGACTTGGCATAGAGTATCGCCGTCGGACTTAGCATAATGATCAAGACAAAATAATGCAGTAAGATTTTATTGAAACGAAACCAATTTCAATTAATGGATGCTAGCAAGCCCACTACGAATCTGATATTCCTATATTGCACAGTAGTACTATCGTTTTTGTTATGTATACAAGTTTGGTCGACCATTTTCAACACCTGATAATCAAAGGAGAGTGGGATTTTCACTCACTCTGGAAATCAAGCAGCAAAAGAATAAGGCACACAAATGTTTTCACGTAATCAAGGCCAGAGAATTGATGAGTTGGTTGCGGGTCTTCACGCGAAAATATTCCAGTTTATACAAATCGTATCAGAGATCGCTAGTTAAAATTATGTCAGAAATGGTTGCTCAATCATGTACGGTCGAATGTGAATCATAGATGCGGCACATATCAAGAGTGAAACATCATTGGCCCATGCCTGATAACCAGAAAACTTCGTCACAGACCACAAAATTATGGCGACAATGGAAACTGATGATATCAGAGGTTTCAACATATTCCACAATATTTGGCAAACAAAATGTTTTTATAGACATAAACACACACACAAAATATTATTATTTTAATATTACTTTATAACGATTTTAAAAAGTAATGTTCGATCAGACTTGATTATGCATGACCCGACGAAAAGGCAAAATAATAATGTATTTGATCTTAAATAAACTATAAATTCATGTTGGGCCCACGCTTAATCGAAGATGATTTCACATTAATTTTTAGGAAAAAGAAGCTATCACCAACACGATCAATGGTCGTGTACTACGAATAAAAGCTATAGCATAAAGAGCTGGGGCTCGATTTTTTTTCTTTTTATACATTTTCGGTAAAATTCAAATAGAGATATTCTTACATTCACCAAACATGAGACAGAGATAGATCACGAAGGAGAATTGTTCTATCCGTGGACCATGTTTGATCGCTAATATTTTTACAGGGTGTTCGTTCACAAGGTCTTTGGGAGAAAATTATTGATCTGATAGTTAGCTCATCTGTACAAAAGCATGTCTTCAACGAAAACACATTAGTGTTTTCTGCCCCATGCCGAACCGCCACCTCGGTTGCTGTCCTGGGTAGTAGCAGCTCCGAGGCTTGGAAAGTCGTCCATACTGTTGGTGTCCACCTGGCAAAAAAAGGGATCATACATTGAAAAATCTTTTACATCAAATTCAGAATAAAAAAGTATTTTCCTAAATCTATCTCGACTTCCTGAAAAAGTCAAATTTCGCCTGATCAAATAATTTCGTACAAAATAACGAAATTGGGTAGCTTACGCCAAACCACCAGGAAGGTCCAAATTTCTTCTGATTAAAAGTCGTGGCTCTTGATATGCTCAAAACAAAGCTTTGACCAAGTTTTCTTAATAATTAATGATCCTTAATCTGCGTACTCGCTCAAAATATTAATTTGTGAATATTGTAACTACATCTGTAATTTCGGTAGCAAAAATGATCTTATTACCTGTTGCCATGGAGCTCCTCTGACAACGAATGGTTGCTGGTTGGATTGATTACCACGGTTTGATGAAGGTCCTGATGAACGAGTGTAACGGCTATTTTCTTCACGTTCTACAATGTCTTGCATCTATAATGAAATCATCACAAATTAGAAAGAAAATATTGAAAGTGCTAGCAACCTCACTTATAGCAAAAATCTTCCAAGTTTAAACATTAACAATGTGTTCCAATTGACAAAAAAATCGGTGCTTTGGAAGTATTCGTACCAAGATGGCGCACAACCTGAACATAGTATGTGTAATAGGTTGGGGTTGTTCAGGTTGTGTGTCATCTTGGTACAAATACTTCCGGAGCGCCAAAAAATCTATAGACCAGGGTTTCCCATGAACTGGAATTTCTGGCCCCCTGGGGAGCCATGGAGCAGACTCGAAGGGGATATGACCTTGAAGTTCTCCACTAGGCGCCATCATACAACAATAATTTAAATAAAGTTAACAATAATTTATTAATTCTTTCAATTCTTTGACAATAATGCAATATTTCGTTGGCTTTTTTATTAGTAAACGTGGCGCATAAAATAACTTATGAAAATCATTAAAAGCATAAGATTTGTACAGAAGAGCAGAACGGGACCAATCTTTACCACGAATCACAAAAGTTTGGGAAGCAATGCACAGAAGCCCAAAACAATTTTTTTTTTTATATTGTCAACTCCACTTACATATTCCTCCTCCAGATTGAGAATATGTTCAATGCATTCATCCACTCTTTCTTGAGTTCCAGTCACCGTTATCAGATCTTGATTTTGTGGGAATCGAATATCAACCTAGAGGTAGAACAATATAAATAAATTCACTGTTTTCTTTCAATGTTTGATACTGTTATCAATTATCATGGAAGTTTATAATTGAATACGCTTCATCATTAGGCAATATTTTATCAGGTTTGCGTCATTTCATATCTTGCTCATGTTTTGATAATATTCTGAACAATTTGATATTTTCGATGGGCCAGTTCAATGTTTTCTAACCAGAGAGGAAGTTTGTCGTTTAGGGGGGTGAATTTTGCTTTGTATCCACTGTAGTATTACTCATATCTATAAGTTTTCCATTATTTTCGTAATATTTTTTTCATGTACACATTTTAGAATACCTACTTAATAGTCTTCCAAACAATTTAACTTCTGCGACTTCTACTATTTATATACTGTTATTAAAACGAAACTTCAATATCAAATTCTGCAAATTATCTATCCAACCCTATTCTCTCGTGTTGATCTCATATTTTAGCAATTCTTTACCTTGTATTCATCCATAATTTTCTTGATTGCTCGTCCCTTGGCACCAATAAGTCTTGGATGGACACGTCGATCAATATGTACATCTTGACTGACATGAGATTCAAGTTCAGACACCATGCCGACAATATGTTTACGAGCATCTTCCGTATTCTTCTCGTATCCAATGATCTTGATCAAGTTCTGAATGAATATAAAAAATGAGATTTGGTTAAAAATAATATAGGTCAGTTGGTATTGTTGATTATTTGCAGACGATGGCTGGGAAATATTTTCAAATTCGAGGTAATTGAATAATTACTTTGATATAATATACAGACAAATACATTAACCCTATTACAAAGCACAAAGAGTTCTTCAGGCCCCCTTGAGGGCCACAGAGCAGTTCTACGGGGGCCATGAGCAAAGGCCTTCAAAATGTATTTTTTTTTAATGAGATATGGCACATGAAAAAAACTGATAGAAACGTGTTGAAAGCAAAAGACGATTATTATAATTTAACAGTTGTGAATTAATGAACAAATTCATTCTGCTCGTCTATATCTTGGGATTTCCAAATTAAATAAAAAAATTTGATTTATCTGAATGTACCGACCACTGAATATGGTTGTTAGCGCTCATAAGAATACTAAATTTTCGTTCTCAAGCGCCTATTTTTTGTCGCTGACATCGTTATAGTTTGATACTTTACGTTTGCAATGATTATCTTAAAATTTCATCAAAATTCCAAATGTATTGTTGTTCTGGCTACCAATTCAATATCCACAACCAACTAAAAATTAAAATTTAAATGCATTTTTACCTGATTTTCATCACCACGATCAGGGAATTGAATATTGACATCGTATTTCTTACGGATTTCCGTAACGACGACTCCACGACGTCCAATGATAGTTGGATGGAAATGAGCATTGACTTCAACTTCCAAAACAAAACTTCGCAAAAGCTGAACAAAAAAAAAAAAACATTGAAATTTCACAAGTTCAATGCATTCAATTAAGATCGATAATATTTAGCTGGACAAGAGACATCTAGTTGATTTCAGTAAGCTCTTGTAAAGAACAAATTATGCAACGAACTACTCACTCTATCCTCTTCTTCCTTTTCCAGCTCTTTCACCTTTTCTTTCATTCCTTCCTTGGCAGCTCCTAATTTCTCAGCAACACCAGTAATCTAAAAAAAGATATGCACCGCTCAGGTTCAAGAAACACAGAGCACTAATAAAGCATTCAAATTAACGCAAACTTTTGTTTATCACAATTCGCTCCAGAATTGCAAATGTTCTACTAGAAGACAACTGAAGTCAGCTCAAAACAGTCTTCATTGAAATACCAGACAAAAGTTGTGGGCCTGTGGCAGCAAATAACAGTGGACATTGAAAGTAAGTTCAGAAAACAGCTAAGTGAAGGAGATTTTAGATAACGAAAAATTTAACACAAAATATATATTAACTGTAAAATTTGAAAGAAAAACTGCAAAAAAACACAGCTTACAGTGATGAAATCGCTTGCTTGATCTGCTTGCGGAATACTGATATTAACGTCGTACTCTTCCATCATTCTGCGGACTTCGGCACCCTTTTGTCCAATAATGTACCTATGGAATTTGAATGGGACTTCCACGTCCTCAGAAATGGGTACAAGAGCGAGAAGAGCTTGTTTTGCTGCCTCACATTTATCTTTGTTACCGGTGATAAGAATGAGGTCTGGTCTTTTTTCTTCCTCTTTTTCTTGTTGTTCTTGTTCGCCAGAAGGTTCTTGCTCGTTTCGTGGCCCTGGTAGATAAAATAATATTTTAGCAATGTACGAATGGCCTAATAGTTGAAGCATTAGACTAAAGTCCAGGAGAGTGCAACAATTTTTGTCGGTGGGCCATATAGCCGACTCCGGACATCTAGCTAGGCTACACAAAAGGAGCCAGAGTTCTCTATTTTGAATGTTTTCTGCCAAACCTAATCCTTTCCAATGAGTCACAATGAGAATTCAATATTCATATTACTTTCTCCTTACCATTGCCTGGTCCACGATCAGGGAATTTAACTTGCACATCGAATTGCGAAGTAATGCTTTGTACTTTTGCTCCTTTTGTACCAATGACAGTGCGATGAAATTTTTCCGGAATGATACATTCAATGGTCACTTGATTTTCCTGCAAAGTAATTTAAAATGATTATTATCTGAACACATAAGTTGACAATATGATAGGATTTACATATTTACACCAAAGAGGCTTATAGTTAGCGAACCACGGTCTCTCGTCTGGTTACCAGTCCATGTCGGGTATGAGATTAGTTAGCCTGTTATTTGTTTTCAGACGCATGGACTTGATGATGTGGGAAGCCATAACTGACTAGTGTGGTTATGAGAACCAACCTAAGACCTAACACTCTCTGAACCTTGCATGGTAATCAAAGGTGCCTCGGCAAGCGTATTCTTAAGGCTTAGCACAGTGCGCCACACTTCAGAGCCTTTCTGATTATTGATTATGCATACAATTTTAAACTAGACTTAATAATAGGTGGGTGCAAGTCTCAGTCTTTGGTAATTAGAAATTTTTAATTATGCAGTATGTTACCTCTATTTGTTCAAATTTAATCAGAAAAAGAACAAATCAATTTCTCGTGTCAATACTGTTTTTTAATCACCTCAGTATATAGGTTTTCCCATTCTGAGGTAGGCAAAGCCTTGTTGCATTAGTGGGCAGCGAAACCCTTGGAATCATTAAAAATTTAATTCAACAGTCATTTACCAAATCATTGACAATTTCTTCGATTCTCTTCTGAGCACCAGCAACACAGTCTTTTGCTCCCTTGATTTTAACAGCTTCGGAATCTTGTCCTTGTCTTGGGAATGAAACAGTAACGCCGCCATATTCGTCTGAAAGATCTCTCAAAACTGCACCTCTACGTGCCACAAAGTGCTTGTGGTATTTTTGTGGTACATTTATGGTAGTTTCAATGATGTTTTCCTGCAAACAAAAAATTGATTAACATTTTAATATTTGATAACTTTAAAAACATATCCTTCTATTTGAAGCAGTAAAATTAGACGAACCATTGACTTTTGGAAAATTCCGATACACTATCTCAATACAACCAAACATACCAATGTATCATAATCATTGATACAGAACATGTAATCGTTTTGGAAACATTTCGATGACACTATCTTAATACAACCAAATACACCATCGAAAAGTTCGAACTCAAACAAATTCCCTATCAATTTTGTTATACTTACCAGATCTTTGATCAAGTCCTTTATTTTCCCCTCTGCTTTTTTAACTTCATCTTCACGTCCGACAATAGAAATTGTATCCTTTTCAGCATCTCCTTGTTGAGGGAAAATAATTCGGGCTCCAGTTTCATCCCTAACCTAAATAGAAAAAGGTAATTTGTATATTATGGCCACAGCAATATTTTACCAAATATGAAAAGTCTGTGCTTGAAAGTTGAAATACATTCGGTCATATCAAACGTTCAGAAAATTTTTTGTATTCCTGAAATAGTAATAAGAGCAAAAAATATCATACCTTTCTAATAGTAGCGCCATTGCGTCCAATGAGGAACCTGTGAAATTCCGGTTTGCATTTGATGTCGATAGTGAAGCTAGTTAGCTCCCTCGAGTGTGCCAAGTCCAAAAGCTCTTTTTTTGCTCTTGCGACATCTTCTTTGCGACCTCTGATTACAACTTGGTCGCTTCCAGAACCTTCAGTCGGGAAATGAATGTGAACACCGCCACACTCGTTCATGATTGACCGAACAAACTTTCCTTTTGTGCCGATCATAGAGTTGTGAAGCTTTTGACTGACAGTGATGCTTTCTTCAACAATGTCAATCTGTATTTTAAACGATTTTTGAAATTTATTTTCGCAAATTTTTTTTAAATTTCTTTCAAATATTCTACTCGTAACTAAATTATTTGATTATTGTGATATGAAATTATAACCACGCTACAACAATACTATTTATACGAATCTGGTTGAAAGCACATTTTAGGCAGAAACAGGTCTTCATCAGGATCAAGTCCTGTTTTTCTACACCGTAAGTCACTCGAGTATCTAGCGAAGAAATGACCAGACTAACCACAAAAGAGAAATGACCTGAGATTCTGAGAAAATTTTGGGAGAGTTTTCGTAATTAGGAAAAAAAAGTCATTTTTATCGCTTTACTTTTGGTCGTTCGGTTGGAGAAAAGCGACTTAACTTGGGAGTCTGGTACGCAGCGTCTCGACTTGGGACCAAACTTTAGAAGTCGCTGAAACTCTAAGTTGAATAACGACTCGGATAACCTCCGGCTCTGCTCGACTCACGACTCTGTGCTTAACACTGCTAGAAACCAAGTTGGCTGCTAATCTATGAAAATGAATGAGACCGCAAAACATATGACATAAACATACCATTTGTTTCTCAATATCTCTGATCATCTTTCTAGCCTTTTCACAATCTTCTTTTCGTCCAGTAATCTTGATCACTTCATTTTCAGAGTTTTCAGTCGGCAATTCAATCTAAACAAAAAAGAATAATGGTGAGCAAAAAAATATTTGATTGAAATTCATATTTGATCTTTACAAAAATTATTCAAGACATAAAATTTCAAATTTTGAGAATTGAATTCTTAAAAATATACCTGTGTGTTGGTTTCTTCTCTTATCTTACGAATATTGGCTCCTCCCTTTCCAATGATGTTTTTGTGGAATTGCTTGAAGATCGGAACTTGAATGCTGTAATTCTTTGCAACCTGTAAGTGAGGAAACGAACGAAGGGATATAAACAAATTTGAAAAAATAATGTACTATTGAAAGTTAAACTAAAAATGACCAAGAAAGTATGTTTGAATTAGAGTTGAAACATTAATAGTGTTCAAACAGAATGCTTCCCAAGATTTTATTAGTATTAAAGTACTACTTTCCATAAAATTGTCGCAATTAGACTGGTGGTTAAGTGTTTGACTTTATCATGTTGGCATGACTATATTAGCCCCGTATTTAACATATGGATGCTTGTATACGGCCCTGTTATGAGTTAAAGATATATAATAAATTGTGTTCGAAAAATGATCACAAATTTAATTACATTGGAAGATGCAGGACAAATTCAGATATAAACATCACTACACATACCATATCTTCATGCATTTTTTTCAGGTACTTGAAACAACTATCAACATTTTGTTTCGGTCCTCTGAGATTAACGACGTCACTTTTACTTGATGGTTCAGGGAAGCTGATAATGACCTGAAATTTAAAAAAATGCAATTGTAAAACATTAATTCCATATTTCAAATAAAAATGATTCTTTTTAGGATATAGTGAAGTTAGGGAGTGTAGGAGTAGAAGATTCGCAGGTCCTTTGCCATTGTTTTCTTTATACTCCAGATGCTAATTTAACAGGTATATTTGCATTAGAGGGATAAACAAAAATAATATAATCTCTCTCCACGAAATATGTGTACAGTTCAAAGCTAGATGAGGAATTTATAAAATGAAAAATATACAAAACAATTAAATTAATCAATAAGAGGTGCGTGAGATAAATTTTATGAACTGTGTTTTGTCTTGCCAATTAAATATTCAAGCTAATGCTATTAAATTGAGGAAAATATGTGCAATAAAAATTTATTAAAACTTTGTTAGTTGAAAATTTTCCTTATTATAGAAGTTTACGCATGGACCAGATTTAACTATTAGATCATCAATCAATAATAATATGATAGATGTTTGGAATAGAAATAGCTTTAAGTACATCGAGTACATGCTGTCCTAATGCCAACAGATATTTAACTCAGTCATATGTGGGTCATTGAAAAATTGAACTTCTAAAGTTTGATTCAGTAATGAAACAGGTATGGTCGCTACATCGGAAATGCACACCGCAAACCCGGTACTAGGCATACTTGTATTATAAAGCACCACTTATTGACCATCAGGCTGTTGTACTTGTCATAACACTCATAAAAAAGTTGGCTGACAGCCAAGGAACAATGCATCTATTAAACTATGTTTAAATAATAAAATTTTGATTAGTAACTCCAGTATTAGCGATGTTTTGGGTCTCAAAATAATTAGTAGTTTAGTTCAATATAGGTAGTTTAGAAATAAAACTTACATCTTCAAATTGTTTTCTAATATCTCTGATATTGTCGCCACCTGCTCCAATGATGTTCTTATGGAATCTATGTTCAATCAGGATGTCTTTGCTACGTTCATTTTCCTAATGAAAAAAATGAGGTTTTTACATTTATATTTACAAAGCAAAAATACTGTTGAGTGTATTCCAGCAAATAGTAATGTTTTCACAGATGGTTGAGCATGAGAGGTTAAGTCTGATTGTGATGTCATCAGTTACGGGTCACTGACCATAGACGACCAGCTGTAAAGGGAATGTGAGAAAGATGTGCTCTGCGTATAGAGTATGAAAAATTGGGGTTCTGTAGGTATGTTATCAATGCAATTATATACTTTTAGCATAGGGGTAGTGCCTAAACACACAAAGTCATGAGGCAAGTCGGATCATGGGACATCAAAGTCTATTACCAAGTTAAATGTCTCTGATGGTTAACTTGATGGCGATTCAGAATCATTCATTTGAATGAATCTAGTCACTTTGTGTGTTTGTTAAATGGTGACCCAATATCGATTTAACAAAGAATTTTATATAAAACAAACCAGATTTTTGAATCAAGCACAAATCAAAGATTTTCAAAATTGACCATTTCCTCAATTTCGTGATATCGCTTGCAGTATAGCTGATATAACAAACAGAAGGTTGCCATAATAATTACTGCACACTGAGTCAGTGATCAACCACAAATCAAAGATTTTCAAAATTGACAAATTTTCACATTTCCTCATAATTTCATATTATCGCTTGCAATATATCTGATATAATAGACAGAAGGTTGCCATAATAATTACTCCACACTGAGTTAAGTGACTTACCATTCTTTGTGAAATTTCAATGAGAATTTTCCTTGTTTCCTTTACTCCTTCTGGATCACCTTCAATACGAATAGTAGGGTTCTTTTCTGTGTCTGGTGGAATACGAATGTTGACCTAAAAAGTTTAAGATGTCCATGAAAAATCAGAGGTACAATTAAGTCGCTAGTACTACAACAGCATCAGCGTCCAAAATTTGGTGTGACAATTTGGTTCGAATTACTGTATCATGGCGCATATTTTACCGTTTTTAGAATTGCATAGCAGAAAACTAAAAAAATATGTACAGAAGGCGATTATTGCACAAAAAGTTGAATTCATCCTTGATATCAGAGCTCGTAGTGCAATGCAACATGCCGCATTGATCGAATTTTGTGGGATACTCAATACTTAGCTAAGAGACAGATATATACCTTGTATTTTTCACGAAGGTTATTGATGTTCTGGCCTCCTTTTCCAATGATGTTTTTATGATATTTGGGATCCACGTTTACTTCAGCAAAGTTCATTTGACGTTTCTAAATGGAAGGAAATGAATTATGTTGCAAGTTGAAAAAATTTCCATAAAATGATATTTCAGACCACTGGTGCAATTGAGAAAAGTCCTATGGAAAGTTCGGTGCCACAAAGTAAATTCTTAAAGTCTTAGACTTAAACAAACTCATAAAATACAGTAATAATCCAGAATTAAATCTGAAAATTAAAATAATTCATACAATTCCTTGCGGACAAAATTTGACCTTATTCATTATTGGACGTCGACCCACAGATCATTGTGGTAAATTCCAGTTGTTGTTGAGGTGATTATTGTTGCAGAAAAAAAAAAGTTACTCTCTGGAATTATTGGAATAGATTTCAAACTTCAGGTAATTAAAGATTCTAGTAATTGAATTAATCAAAATAATGTCTATCGGGCTATTACTTTTTATTTTTTGTTTTCAAATTTTTTTATGGGACCCAATGTCTCAAACATTCTGCAGTTTTATGTTATTAAAATGGAACACTTTTGCTTCCACATTACTTTTTCCGCCAATCTTTCCACCGTAAACACTGTGCAGTTATAGCATTGCTCTGTTATCACACTTTATACAAGTATTCTTTGAGTGTAGATGTGAAATAAGTGAACGTATATTATTTTGAATATTTCTTTTAATAACATACCAAATCATCAACTTGTTTTTGTAAGTTGGCTTGAGCCTCATCTGCTTCTTCTGGTGGACCTTCCACTACAATCTTGTTCTCCTCTGCTTGAAATTCGATGTTCACCTTTTTCAGATTCTGTGTCAAGCTGTTTATATTAGCTCCTTTCTTTCCGATGATGAATTTATGCAGCCATGCCTCAGCTTTTACTTCTCTCAATACCACACTGTTTGCCTGAAAAATATAAACAAAATGATGGAATAAAATTTTTACTAAGAATTAAATGCATATCTTATAATAATAGTAATTTATCTCCATGAAGTCTCCATGAAGTGTACATATGGATCTTTTTGTTATTATGCTGTTTTTGTTGTTGGTATCTTTTATGGGTTCCATTACATTTGAACCCACGTACATTTGAACCCATGACAATTGCACCTATGGAATTTTTTTTGTTTCACGGATAGTTAAACCCATACTAACCCTAACCCATGGGTTTTAGCACCCGCATATAGATTGAACCCGTGGATATACGCATGGGTTCAAATGTACATGGGTTCGAATGTACGGTCACCTCTTTTATGTTATGAAAAAAAAAATTATTTTCTTTCAACTAAAAGACCAATTGCTTTGAAATTTTTAGTGGGCAAAGATACTTGTTGTTGATAGAAGGGTATTAATTTTAGTTGTTTCTAAATTTCAACATCATTAGACTAAGATGAGGCTCCCTGCTCAGACACTACCGATACTGATGTGAATTGGTATTTGGAGGCTTTAAGAAATCAGATAATGGATTTCAGTGTAAATCACATGAGACTGGTACTGCAGCTAGTCTCTGAATCTTCATGACTATATATTTTAGCATTGCTCTCTCGTTTTGAAAATAAACAGATAAATAAAACGTACCTTAGCATACACAAGAGTGAGAGCTTGTCCCAGCTTGTCAGGTTCACCTCTCAATGTAATAGTTTCAGATGGTGAATCACTAGGTGGTACTTCGACAGACACTTCTGCTGCAGCCAATATATCCTGCAATACATGCAAAAAATTACAAGCTGAAATTTCACTACTTTGTACTATTTTTAGTAGTACCAAACTTTTCTCAGATTCGTCATCACCTGCCCCGTTCATTACATGTGATTGGATTTGTATCAGAGATGTGTAACATGCGGCACAAATGGCCACACAACACTGTTTAATTTGAGGCTACACCAACCAGACTATCACAATCACCAAACTTGTATGAACTATTACTAATTTGACAAGTGCCTGTTGATGCTTGGCAAATTTTTAGCACAAAATGGTTGAAATATTTTCCACCGACCTGAAGGGTTGATCCTCTTTGTCCGATGACATATTTATGCTGAGTTTTGTTCACTTCGATGTTAATGATGGTGCATCGAGATTTCTGGATGGCAAAATATATAAAAAATGAAAAAAAACGGCAAAAAAGTCTTGCGAGAGATGGCTGAAACTCTTTTAACAATTACTAGCAATTTACACATTAAACCAAATTCAAATTTAACATGAAGCAGAATATGACTTCTCAGACTATCAAAATTAATTTGATACATAACATCTAATCTAACGTATTTTAAAACAGTTCCAAATAACAACTTCAATTTTTATTAAAAATTTATTACAAAGAACATTGATTAAATTATACATTGGGATAAGTATATGAGTACTTCAATAGGATATATTTATCCATTTTCAAAACAATAATACAATTTAAGTACAATTTATGTTTGATTAAGGACATGGCCACAGATGTCCATATTGAAAACAAATGTTAAAAAAAAAATCATTCCTGGCAATTCGCAATTACATCTAATTTAAATAAAAAAAAATAATGCTGACAAAAGAGGATATTAGTGCATATTGTAGACTCGTGACACACAACGGTTATGAAGGTGCAAATAAATAGAGTCTATTCATATTCAAAGAGCTAAATACGCTGTTATTAGAAATTTACACATTGTATGTAATAGAAACCTATTGCTCATGCTTCCTGCCTCAAGCAGATGGTATATTGGTGCCCAAAGTTACATAAAAAATTTAATATCGTATTTAATTTGTATTCATGTAACATATGGCTAAATAATGATTTTACGGTGTTGTGTTTTGGAATATTTTGAGCAGAAAATTGAAGATAAAACAAATTTTTATTAGAAAAAAAATTTAGTAAAAATCCTGCATTTTCGCATCATTTTATAAAATTAGGAAGAAGAAAAATTCACTTTTCTTTGATGGATTTCTTTGATAATTTTCACAGCTTTCGTGACTCCATCTTTATCACCGGTGACCACAATCTCATTCTTTCGAACACTAGGAGGTGGAATGTGAACACGAACTCCGTTTTCCTAAAAAAAAATTTTTTGGGGTTATAGCTGTCAACCCATATTTTCTGGTTTAATTGTTTTGTGTTGTAAGTACGGGTATATTCTGTGGCAATATCTATCTTTAAAGCTTTGATAATCTTCTTCGCAAATTGAAATTTATGTTCAACAAACCTGTTCTATTTTCTGAGAAAGTTGATTTCTTGGTCCACTGATAAAAGGGTGAAATTCTTTTTCAACATTCAGCTTCTCAATAGCAAGTTTTGACTGAAAAAGTTAAGCACAAAACGTTAAAAGTATGAAAACAACTATGAGTTCCAAGTTTGCAAACGGTTTCTAATTAGTTTTTGAACACTTTACCAAATCACAATGTTACTAAATAGCTGATACGCATTGTAGCACAGAACAAATTTTTCAAACGAAATATCCAAAATTCAACTTTAAGTCAAAATTTTTAAGCAAAGTAACAAAATTTCGATAATACAAATAAAGTAGTGAAAATAAAAAAATTATTTAAAAAATCAATTCTATTCAACACTCAATAACACGTTACCTGTTCCTCTGATATGAGTTGGATTTCATGTCTTGCTCTACTAATTCCGTCTTGAGTACCAATGATCGTGATGGTCCTGCTAGTGTCTTCTTGTCTTGGGACGTTGATTTTTGTAGCGGTATCAAGTTCAAGTTTTTGCAATTTGCTCCCACCCTTTCCTAAAATGACTCTATGGTGTTCTTTCGGAATATCTAAGGTAACTCTAGCCTGAAAAGATTGAATTAAATTATGTTACATTGAAAGTACTTCAATATATAAAAAGCAAGCTTAAATAAGCTGGTAGTATTCAATCACACCTTTGTGAGTGTGATGGGCCAGCAGTTAATGTATTAGACTTGACTGTAATGATATGGCTGGTTTTACATATTAGTGACAGCTCGTACAGTGCCTTGTTCATAGCAGAGAAGGTGTGAATGAGCACTACATGAAAAACCTGCTCCAACTTTTTATTTTTATTTTTGTGCTTTCGCTGTTTAACAATCGTCAAATAAATAAAGGATTTTTAAATTTATTTTACATTAGTTAGCTAATACGAGAGAAAAATATCAACGAGTGAACTTATTCACCTGAGTCTGAAGTCTGTTGAAAATGTCACGTCTAGCTCTCAAAACAGCATCCAATTGTCCAGATACGAGCAATGAGAGAGATCCATCTTTGCAAGTCGACATTTCGATATGAGCTCCTGTTTTTTGCATAATATCGAGACAAGCCTTGTTTTGATCTTGTTGGGATTGGCCAAAATTTTCGGTGTGTTTGAATGCTCTTTCCTCCATTGGGATTTGGAACAACTGCAGAAAGTTAGAATTATTATATTTACATTAAGTTTCTATTTCATCAATAAGCAATAATAAAAACTACACATGTTACAACTGGATGTATATTATGAGCGCATCAAAGTTTTAAGTCATCATTTTTACTAAATGATTTTTTATCACCACTCAAATATAATATCGCAAATCAAACCTAAAGTATGATTAAATGAAGCTCTCAAAGTGAAATGGCTACTCGACTGGAACTCTGTTACATTCAATTTATCCAATAAAATCAACCTATTACTGAAGTTCCTGCATACAGCAATTTAGTTTGTTTGTCTAATAGCCATGTATATTTGTACAATCAATTTAAACAGACAATCAGACATAATATAGTTAAATTTGAAACAGCAAATTTATAAAATTATTTCTTTTAACAGAATATAAGCGAGTGATGAATGGCTTTTTAAGAGAGCAAATTGTTCAAGAGAAAAAATGGCAAAATAAATCATATTTGATAAATATTAAATAACGAATTTGTATAATTGAAACAAGATTTCCAAATAACCTGGGTAACAACACTCGATTTCAATCTTTGAACTTTAGGGTTGACCCATTCATTCGCAATGGCAGTTGGACTGCCTGACCGATTAACGGGGGCCAAAGCGGGAAACGCTTCAGCATAAAGGGGTACTTCTTCATGGTTATCTGAAATAAAAATAATAGTTTATTATTGAATCTACCGAGTACAACTGATTAGAACATTTGATTTTATTCGATTAAGTTCTGATTCAGAATTCAACCTGAAGATATCTGAAAGCATAATTCTAGAAGTGAAGAAAAGTATACTTCATTAAATTCAGGTCTTCTTACCAGAACCATTTTGTTGAGCAACTTCAGAATTCATAGTCTTTGTCCGTTCACGGTCGTGCACTCCTGAACCCTAGTGTAAAAAAGTTTAATATTACATTAGAACATCTCTATTTGTTTTATACAAAACAGATGTTAATATGCGAGGCAGATTACCAATTGAGAAGCAGACATTTTTTAAAAAATTCAACAATTTAAAATATTATGTGATTTAATTTACTTGAACAAAACTTCCAAACAACAGAACAAGAATTCAAAGCTATGAGAGGAGGGGACAGCATAAAAGAAAAAATTGTGTATAACTGTATAACAGCTAAATTACGTAAAATTCAATTCTGACTTTCACTTACAATATAAAAAAAGGAACAAGTAGCGCTATCCAAAGGTCGGTCCGGTTTTTAATCTTACTCTGAGATACAGTTTGATTGATTAGGAATAAACCTGAAAGCACAGTACATTGTATCAAATCACGATATTAATAAATCCATATTAATTCTTTAAGCTTGGAGATTTGAAAAACTAAAACTGTAAAATGACTGTCCTCCAACAATCTGCAGATCTGGCAAATGGACAATGAAAACACTGAAATTTCATTTATCTTTCTCAATATTATATTATCGATGACTACATTAAACGCAACCCAACACTAAATAACTTAAATATCATCTTCGAAAAATCAGAACACTTCATCAACCCTGCCAACTAGACCACTAGCAACGTCAGCAACCGACGTCGAGTCACAAACTAATGTTTTTCATTCATCGGAGTTCTGCTACGTGGAGCGGATGTGACGCTGCATTTTGTTACGGATGAGTACCTTTCTTTGCTGAGGGCAAACTGAGGGACCATCTAATATGTTCGTCCGATAATTACCCAAAAATCGTACCGTTTTACTTGAAAGACTCAATAAGATAAATACTTTTCGATAACTACCGCTTACTGGTAGTTTAAGCGTTTTAGAAATTAATACAATGGGTGTGAGAGATACACAGTTTCTTTTTTTTTTAATTAGTTTTCGGCTTTGTTTCTATTGTTCGTTTTTCGGGATATTTTGTCGTGATTTACCGATGAACTTTGGCGTATAATTTGTATGTGAGCAGACGAGAGGCGTGGTTCGCCCGTAAATAAATACTATGATCAAGCCGTCTATAGGTTTTCCTCTCATCCCGGATAAATATGTAAATCCTATCCAACCCCTCTGTTTTATATGAATAGCAATATGCAGTTTTTTGAAAAAATGATTTAATGCCTATTTCGCTCAGTCATAGATGATGATGTGATAATGAACAATTGCTTGTAAATTTGCTCCAGACTAAGTTTCTATTTCATTTTTCACATTCGTATATCATGTTATGCTATTTGATCTGATGACACTGTTGAAACAAACTCACTTATTTTGCACGCGATAACGCTATTAATAAATTTGATATTTTAGGAATTTATTGGTATTTTAATAATGTTTGTAGTGAACGGATGTTTTAGTTTATATTCTTTCTAATATTTAGATATCGATCGTCGTCGAACGACTCATGGGTGCTTTAATATTAATCTATTCGATGCCCGGATAATATACAAAATCCACAATATATACGTAATTTTTTAAACGATATATGCCAAGGATTCAAATTTTTTGTCAGCCGGTTCCTTCACAAAAGTCTTTTTTATTAGCCGGTTCTGTTGCAAACAGAACATTAACAGTAGCCAGTGATGCTAACCGGTTCGCTGATTTCATAAAATTCCTTGAGACGGTTCTATAGAACCGGCTGAATCCCACCACTGGACATACGCAATTGCGTTTCAGACTAGACTCGTGCCACGCGCCGACCCGTGGAAGAAATAATGGATAAACTATTCTCGGGCCCAATATAGACCGGTAACTAACGGAAAGTCGCGTCTTATGTGGCCAGGGTATAAAAATCAAATTGCGATGAATTGACACAATCTATACCGAAAGTGGCAAACCCAATGTTTACTTACAACTTTCACGGGGTCCATTTGACTGTTCAAATTAGGGATGGGACGAGTCCGGCATTACAAAGATTCGACGAATCCGAGTAATAGGTCAAGGACTCGAATCGAATCTGCCGAGTCCGTGACGTCATAATGGAAAAGCACAAAAACGTGTTTTTGACCATGCTACACCATCGTGCGATCACAAACATAAGTCGTAGCTCATATTTTTTGCCTAATGGTTCCGCAGATAGCTGTTGAGTCATTTTAAATATATATTTTTCCCTTTTTAGGCGGCCATAATACAAACGTAAACGTGGTCAATGTGCGCCTTGGCTGTGAACTGGATTTCCAGCCCACCTTGCGTCAATTCTGGGCGGCTATTCAGAAATTCTTACATGTCAACATGAACAATAAAAAGCTTTCGACTACAATGCTTTCCCATAATTCCAAATATTTCTAGCCGTAAATTTACTATGTCATGTGCGCATATGGTAGAGAAATGCCAGTCGTCGTCAATACAATGTAGTACATCTACTTGCAATTTAGTAGTTCATGTAAACGTTCTAAAACTCTCCATCCTTTCCATTGCCTTTTTAGCGAAAGGATTCCACGCAATAAACTCGATTTAAAAGAGGTATTGATGAGATTCCCTATTGGGTTGATCCAGAACATGTTTCATTTTTACGCAAATCAAAAACTCAAAAATATTGCAATAACACATATTTTATTGTGTACCACATGTATACCAAAAATAATAGATAGTTTGAAGGCGACTGGCGCAACATCATTGTTATGAGCGATCAATAGTTTTTAACTATCATTATATTATCTGGATATCTGTCGTCGTTTTATTAGGAGTGTTTATATTGCACACGAAGGATATTGTTACAGATCTAACCTTGAATTTCAACTAGTTAAGGTGTGTAGTGGGATTTTATAGAGGCAAAAGTACAAACATAGGCGTAATTTAGTAAAAACAGAATTGATTATGGACTCGGTAAAAACGACGTGGACTCGAAATCGAATCAGATTCCAAAAAATGCCTGGATTCGACTCGGATCCGGACCGAATCCCGGCCCATCCCTAGTTCAAATGCTTCTGGCGTTATAGATATCTTCAGATATTAATTGACAATTCTCCCAACACCTGGTATGTGTTATCCAGCCTTACCGTACATGTGAACTTGCAAATCCACTCGCAATTACACTTTGGGGCTCTATCTTCGCACCCAGTATGCTCCCCAGTTTTTCCCTCCATGGTAGTCATTTCCAATTTTAGGGGATGGTAAATATTTATTTGGTATTAGCAATAAAGCTATTTGTATCCCATAAAAATGTTATATATCTGACGGACCATCAGAGCTGGTATATGCGCCACATTTTGGATTTTGGAAAACAATTATGAAATTTTATGGTGTGGGTGTAAGGAGTTTGCACCACACTGCGACCACACACATGACTTTTCTGAATAACTGCAAGTGCAGACCAGGGAATATTTCTTCGATAGACTGCAATGAGCTAGCACCAACGACCCAACAAACCATTCCCAACAAACAGAACAGGCAAATGCAATAACTTTCAAAACATTATTAGACCAGAGGCCACCCCATGAACGAAGTAATTCTTGAAAACTGCACAAAGTTATATATCACGATGTTAACAGATCACACAAAGATTTGAAATTGAATCACAAATAAAGCAAGTTTTATTCGTTGATAATGTTGCTTAGAATGTATTCCAACTTCAAATCTCTGAATCGTGACCTCTGAAACTTAACTGAAATAAACAAACACAATAATTTCAACTCTACGCTCGCCGGTATATAAATAACAGAAAGTTAGCACTTGAAGGTATGCGAAGGCAAAAGTGCTTCATTCCAGGTATGTTAAAACAAAAGGAACGTTATAAATCACTCTTTTCTACTATGAAGATATCAAATAATATACTAGTACTTCAGTTTCTAGCTTAGCGCGCATATTGGTTACAGCAGCTTCTATATGAAATTTGAAAACTTAATAAAGTCTGAACAAACTTTAACTGCAATGAATTTTGTATGGACAACAGACAAGAAATAAGGCTTCTTTATAAACGAAAAATGGATGTATAACGAAGTTTGGTCATTAGATAACTTTGAAAAATATGAAAACTGTTCACAAATTGTTCATATTTTTCAAATCATGATTTTTTTTATGTGCTGGCAACAACAGGCTTTCACGTAGTTGTACGTACGTACAGTGACTAGTGGTTTTTTCAGCTTTACAATTCGTCATGAGATTCTTCTTCGGTTTTCTTTTCTTCTTCACCATCTCCCTCTTCCACTTCATCCTCACCATCATCTTCTTCTTCATCCTCCTCATCAGCATCTACTTCCTCCTCATCTTCATCTTCCTCCTCTTTTTCCTCATCTTCAGGCTCCTCCTCAATCTGAATTAGAGAAATAATATTTGAAAATCCCGCCTAACAAGGAATCCAGAAAAGTACTCGAAGACAAAACTACTTTTTATTGCAAACTTTTGCATAGCCCATTGAACGTTTGAATCTAAAATCACATCCATATATATTTGATGGATTTGAAAATTGGAATAGCTAGTTGCACAAGCCGCCGAGGTGTGGAGCTGGTTTGAAACTCAATGGTATAATACAAATTTAACTTCAAACTTTTTAAATTATGGTTTAAAATGAAATCGGAAAAGTAAATATAAAACTGAAAAGGTTAGATTTTATTATTTTTATGAGGTATTAGAAATTTATAAATGTGAAACATAATCATCAGATAGTTGGGAGCTAGAAACACTAAAATTTCTGGCAGCTATGTCTCCGACTTTATCTATTAGGGTAAGCTTGGCTCTAGCTAAAACAAAATCTCATGGTTCCAGATCCCCAGCCCTGGCACAAGCAACAGGCGTTGGAACTTTGCATGTGTGCATGCATTACAAGATTTATGCCAAGTTTTGGAAAAATAGGACAAGCATTAAAAAGAGTTATCATCATTTGTCAAAGCGAACAGAGAGGCAGAATGTGCTTCCTGCTGCGGATCATCGCTCCAAAGTTTGTTATAGTTATAAACTATAAAATTTGGGAAATAAAAATACTATCAAGCTGTGTTAACCTTGGACTTTCACAATTTTTGTGTGTAGAGACTGAAACTTCCAAACAGAGATGGAAAATGACAATTTTATGTTTAATTAATGTGTAATCTATATGCAACCCTAAAAGGCTACTTTTTACTTTCTGGCTATATAATATTATCACAAATGGCTTCACGAACTTACCGGAGTGTCTGGATCAATGTTGAGATTCTTGTAGAGCATTGAGAGAATACGTTTGGAGAAATCAGCAGAATCTTTCAATGTATATCCAGATCTTAATACTGCTGCATCAAACATAACTTGCGCAATTGATTTTGCCTGATCATCAGCATTATCAGCCTAAACAAAAATATGTATGAGGTTACAACTCAATCATTCAATTTAAAAAATAATCTACAAATATAAAAGATGTTCATAAAGTCTCGTTGAAGTCAAGTTATCTAAATATCTTTCGATCAGTGTTTATTTCCCCAATTTCCATTCAATTCACCTGCAGGAGCCAACAAACCATGTGTGGTGTAGATAATTTTTTTTGCAATTTGAAAATTTGAGACTTTACGAAAGCCCCAATACTAAGCATACTAAAATATTACATAGGCAGCCTTTTTTGTCTTTTATATGTATAGACAAAATAAAGGTAAAAATAACTGCACATACGTTCAAAAATTGACATAGAATACCATGAGCTATTGAAGATTTACTGAAATTTGACATATTGCTTAGGTTTTCACAGTAGCGGTTACAAGTCCATAAATTCAGAGAGTCCAAGTCAATTAATCCAGCCTCCTAGCACTGGTTTTTAATACATATTTGCTCAATGCAGAAGCCTCAAGTCTGAAACCAAAACCTGAAGCAGAATCGACAGAAAAGCTGCAGAAAGCCAGTCACACATCAAAGAGCAACACATGCTTTATCAGTGACCAAGATTTTAGTAGATACCCCTTATGAGAGTTTTACTGTCAGGATTCACGAACAATAACCAAAATTCGATTATATGTAATAAAGTCAGTAAAAATAAACTATATAAAGCATTACCTCAACTCTTTCCAGAAGATTCTTGATCAAAGGATGTCTTGGATTAATTTCTAAAGTTTTCTTCTGATTTGCATAGAAACTGAAATCATAAGTCAAATATTACTACACTTTCATTCAAGAGTCAAATAGTCATCAATCGACATATAATACTCTAATATATTTAATTAAAACTATGTTAAAATGGCTACAAGCTACATTTTGTACATTGGATCAAAATTGATCTAATGGTTTAAATTTCAGTCTTCCAAAACTGGGAGCTACGCGACTCACGATTCTTTTTTAGTAGCATATCGTTGAGCACTTTGCAAACGTTCCATATTTCCAGACCTTTATTACAATAAAAGAATTAGTGTTGAAGTACAAAAAAAATGGTTTTCTTACTTTGAACTACTATCTGATTGAGACTTATAAGCTTGAGCCTTCATGATACGTTCCATATTACCGGACCTGGTTCAAACAAATATGCATTAAAACATACATTAGGTACATATTATAAAAAGAGAAAGTTTGAATTTTGGATGATGGATACCAATTTTATTTCTTATTTCAAAATTGTTTGATTTCATAATGCACATTGCACAACATAAGATTCTAAATCAAACATAAGATAGAATTTTCATACATTCCGGTGACCAGTCCATATCAGTTATGGTAATAGCTAGCCAGATATTTACTTCAGTCAGACGCATCGAAATAAATTAAAGGTAATCATATCACTAGTTTATTCTTGGATATAGATAGGGAGTAGATAGAGGAACCAATATGACTAATGTTAAAAAGATCTATCGAAAAATCCTAATTACATACCATCCATATTGACTTGCAACCAGAGCACAAGGAGAATCTGTCAAACGTTCTGTGATGACGGCCTTTTCAATCTTAACAAATCGAAGAAATGTTTAGTTTTTAAAATCTGATCACACCACTTATAAATAATCATTACATGACCAGTCAAATAGATCAAATTTATCAATATTAATGCCTCTACCTGATCAGCTAGAGCAGTCTCTTTCAGCCAATCCTGCAGAGGTTTGAATTCTTTTTCTAAAGCTTCTTTGCGTTCTTTAGCTTTCTCTCCATCATCCAATCCCAATCCTTCTTTGGCAACATTCTGAAATCGTTTTCCGTCGAATTCAGGAAGAGCTTGTATGGTGTATTCATCCACAGGTTCGGTAAGATAAATGACTTCGTATCCTTTCTTCAAAAGTCGCTCAACAAATGGGGAGTTTTCAACCTGTGTGAAATTAAAACATAAATTTTGAGGTGGGGATATATAAGGAGGGTTTCAAGATAGAAGGGTGTATTTGGAGAGATTTTTAATTTCAAGAGTATTACAAAGACACTCATCGGCGCTCTTTAACATCACAGGAGTTAAAAAATTCAGGTTTTAATGGTAGTTTTAAAGCTGTTAGATTGAGTGTGTCCAAAAATACATAACTTAACAATCAAACTAAAAGAAATTTCAGTTTAGCAAAATATAACATATTTTCTGTAAAATTTGCCATATTTATATGGAAACGATTTGTATTTATATGATTTGTACCAGATTTTTTAAGCAAAATTTGCATATCGTGAGACTAGTCACGAGACGAAATACCAAAAATTTTTCATACTGTGATTCTACTATACAATAAAATCATTTAGAATAACGAAAGAAAAATAACTTATGACACAGAATACCAAACTATTCAAATATACCCATTGTCGGTTATAACACTAACCATAACCCCCAAAAAAGCACTTGACAAAACGGATTATGAACGACCTACCTCTTTGCGACCATTGCCAGCACAGAAATAAATTTTATCCTGCTTTTCCTTCATACGTTCAATGTATTCTTCTAAACTTGTGACATCGGTTTCAGAATTTGAGCTGAAAAACCTCAAAAGTTTTGCAAGTCTTGTTCTGTTGCTGTGATCTTCCATAATACCAAGTTTCACGCTGAAAAGAATGAATGAGTGTTCTAAATTATCCTATTTTGAAACTGGGTAAAAATGAGTCTGGCAACAGAAGGTCATAACATTCTGTGGTATGTGCTAAAAAAAGTCTAAATTCATCACTATTGTCAGCTTTATAACGGCAGTGTTTGCAGGAGTATTTAAAAAACATCTCACACTTCATTCAAGAGCTTATACAGACTAAAAATTCTATATAATGGTGATTGAGTCATTTTGATAAATCTAACTATTTTACATTCATTCTGAATACCAAACTGGATTCAATGGTGTTAGACTATGTTGTCATTACAATTTAAAAATATTAGTTTTATATCCACTATCCCACTCCGGATGTAATGATAAATTGGGTTGGCAATGCCGAACCAATCCAATTTCCAGTAGTGGCGGTATTCTCGTAGTATGTGTACCAGGTTAGGGTTAGGTCATAATTCAATTACGATTTTCCTTATTTAAGTTCTATTACGAGTTCGGGGACTTGTGTTAGCCAAGTTAATATACCCCTTGCCCATTGGCTTCCGTCCCTTTACACAACTTGATGTAAAGTAGGTAAACAAAATTAGTTACCTCCATATTGGTACACATTCTGGAGAGCCTTGTTCAAGAGTGGAATGTTGTATACTTCATACAACATAAACAAACGAGAATTCTATCAATGATATGAGAATTGTAATGACATTATACTACAACTAAATGACAGTGTTTTTCTAGTTAATTCGCGTAAACTTCACTTTACTTTGTTCCGAATTCCTTCCAGAACTTTTCAATATATTGATCAGCGGGAATCTTTTTGATCATGTCAAGCACTTTACGAACCAATTTCTTCTTGATAACTTTAAGAAGTTTGTGTTGTTGGAGTGTTTCACGAGATACGTTCAGAGGCAAATCATCACTGTCAACCTTTATAAGTACAAGTATCAAGGTCAAGAATATCGTATGACGTATGCATACTCCACTTTTCGTCTATAATTAGTTAGAAATGGAAGTAATAATATTGTTTAATGATTTTTGAAAGTAACCAAATACTGTAGAGTAAATGTGCCTTTGCTCCATGAAAGAAAACGCAATTCAACATATTACCTCAACTTTTTAACTTTACCTGAACAGAGATGGCCAAAACCAAACAACCTACTATTCCGAATATAATATATATTTTAAACTAGGTGATGTACAACAAAAACTCAATGCTACATTTAACGATTTTAAATTCAGATATGCCAGGAAAATTAAGAAAACATTTTATTGGAAGCAACACAGTACTACTGACGTACTGAGTTTACTTATTTGCATATAATAGCAAAATAGAACTTACCACACCACGAACAAATTGAAGATATTTTGGCATCATGTCTTGGAAATCATCAGTAATGAATACTCTTCTGACGTACATCTGAATATTTGCAGAATACAATATTAATTCATGGACATGATGAATATCATTGGCCATCCAGTATCTAATATGATAATTATAAAAAATGGTTTTATGCTAGAAATAGTATGACGAAAAAAACTCTACCACTCATACAATTCTATTGAATTTTCAAATATTCACAATTTGAAAACTGTACTAAACGACACATATTTGACTGCTACATCACCGTCTAATGACGGTGATACCTTAACATGGTCGACTCTTTTGCCTTCGGAATTAAACATTGCCTTTGGAGGCGTTTCAGGTACATAAAGCAAGCAGCGAAACGAGACCTCGCCTTCTGCCGAAAAATGTGTATGAGCAAGAGGATCCTGAGTTTCCTTTAATAAAAATAAAATCAATTTAGGAAAATAATATTCAAAAACACAACACCTTGATGTTGTCGACTTTTTTCTGTCCATAATCCTGGAATATATCTCTAGGTGCTGCACCAGGAATGAAAAGAACAGATTTGAATGAAACTTCACCTTCGGCTACGAAATGTGTTTTGGTGAGTGGATCAGCGGATTCCTGGAACGATTATATTCAAATATGAAAAAAGAAAAAAAAAAGTATATTATCAGTAAAATTCACTTTGAAATGACAGCACAAATCATGACTTGAATTTAGATACATCTTCCAGTTTTATTTTACCTTAGCAATAGCCTTATAGAAAGAGTTGTATTCTTCGTCAGTAATTTCCTTGACTGGTCTCTGCCAGATTGGTTTAGTTTCGTTGAGAAGTTCCCAATCCCAAACAGTTTTTTCGACAGTTTTAGTTTTTGGTTTCTTTTCTTCATCTGCTTCTTCCTCAACCTATATACAAAACATAATCCATGGGTGAGCGGACATGCACTGCTGTTTGGATATGTTGGTGTCATTTATAAATAAAAGATCCCAGGTTTCAACCACACATCCACGACTAGAGCGCTGTACCCACCTATGTTGGAGCCACAAGTTAAAGGTCAAAAGTGAAAAACCCATAATCATCACTCAACACAAGGCCAAACAGAAATTGTTTTTGAGCTTTCAAAAATAGCAATTCCTGACTTTTTAGTCAGCAGCTGCTTGCACAGATAAAGTATATAAACTATTCATACAGGGTGACCCGTAAAAAATGAACTCATACAATATGTTCCATATGGGCTTTTTTTTTTTTTGATCATCATATACTAGTATTAATTCTTTATTACATATCACACAGTACAGAAACCTATGGATATTATGAAAGTAAATCAAGTTGGTGGAAAAGAGATGCATAACGTTTTCTTGGAGATTCATTGTTGTAGAATGTAAAGACAATCTTGCACATATCTAACATTTTAACCGTTATGTAAAAAGGTATGTAGATTTATGTGAAAAATTTTACCTCTGCTTCATCCTCATCTCCCTCCTCCTTCTCTTTAACTTCCTCTTCAGCAGAATCTTCTTCCTCTTCAATGGGAACTTCTTCTTTTTCGATCTTACTCGTCCAAAGATAGATGGGGAAGTTGATGAATTGAGAATATTTTCTGATCTGAGAAACAAAGACACAGATTAAAAAATCATCGCTGAGTCGAAACTGGGAGTTCGAGTTGTGCGCTCAAACTACCTGGAGTCGAGCTGATCTTGATAAAATTTAGCCTCCCTACAAAACCTCAACAGTTATCTAATAGCATAACATTATTAGGTACACCAAAGCAAAGTTTTCGTAATCAAAAATTGACTTTCTTGGATTTCGAAGCCAGAGTATGTGTCAAAATGGAACATGGTCTGGAACTGAGTCTGAATGCAGCTGGGAGTCGAATGTAAGTTTTCTATTTACATCCAAGATAAAAATCACATTAATGAGTATTTGAAATATCAATCTAATATTTTCAGTTTAACTTTGGTCGAAAACCATTTACATGGACTAATTTGTTGACTTACCAAGTTGCGAATAGTATCAATTTCAAGGTAATCAGATGCTTCTTCTTTGAGGTAGAGTGAGACCGTTGTTCCTCTGCCGAGAGTGTCTCCACGAGGGTCTTCGGCGATTGAAAAAGATTCGGAGTCACTTTCCCAGATGTGTTGTTTGTCATCGTTATGTTTTGATGTCACAATAACTTTGTCGGCAACGAGGAAGCAAGAATAGAAACCGACACCAAACTGACCAATCAGATCTGATACTGCCTGGTTCGATGAAGCGTCACTCATTTTCTCGAAAAACTCACTGGTGCCAGATTTAGCGATCGTACCAAGGTTCTTCAGGAGATGGTCTTTTGTCATACCAATACCAGTATCAGTGACATGAATGATATTATTGTCTTTATCAACCTAAAATTGAAATTTAATCATACCATTAGATTTAAAATCAATGCCATTGAAATTAACTTGTGATTACAGTATAGACAGAAATTTCATGTAAAATGGCTCCATTGGCAGTATTATACAGTATTTTGATTTAATTTTGCAATTAATTCTATTTTGAGTGATTTGAATTTGAAAAAAAAAATTGAAAAAAAAAACGGTTATTTCACCATTGAAATTCAACTACAAAAAAACTACCGATTCATACAGAATAGGCCTATTCAACCAAATAAAATATTTTCAACTGGTTCACCTCACTAAATGAGGTAGATTTATTTCTCTAACAGTTATTTGCGATACTTAATTGAGTTATTGAATTCCTGGAAATTTAGCTCAAATCTGGTAAAAGACTAAAAATTCACCTTAATTTTAATTGAAAGTTCATCAGTTGCTTTCAAAGCCTCTTCATCAGTCAATGACAGAAGTCGAATCTTGTCCAAAGCATCCGAAGCATTAGATATCAATTCTCTGAGGAAGATCTAAAACGTTAAATTAACAAGTAAATTAACTAAAAATCAAATAAATTTAGGACTCAAGCTTCCGAGAGTGATTCATTTCAGGATGAAAGACATTTTGCATTAGGTTTTATAACTTTTACTCAAAAATGTTTTTCCTTTTGGATGGTATAAAATAGTACTAGTAAAAAAATTATTTTTCTGCATACTAAGGCCAGAAACAAAATAGGAAACCTGGGGTAGTGAATGAAAAAGAACAAGTCATAACATACTTCTTTATTTCTATATAAAGAGTTGATAATAAGCTTCATCATTCTGTTCACTTCAGCTTTGAATTGATGTTTATCAGCTTGTTCACGAAGTTGTTTTACTTGTGCTGCATTCAATCCATCAATCTGAATAGCTTCTTCTTCCCTGGAGAATAAAATATAATAAAGTGAACATATACACTAACAGCAGGCAATGGATGGCCAATAGGAGAGGCTATACGACTATTTGTGAGAATGGCAAGATTTGGATGAAACATAGACTACAAAAGTAGAAGCCTTCTAATGGCGATAACTCTCTATTAAATCTAAAATTTTATTGGTCCATTAATTGCGGAGAAAAGAGATTTTTTACTAACAACAACAATTAAGCAAATCGATCTATATCTACATCATTTGCTATTTAGTATTTTTTAAAAAGTTATCACATTTAACAATCTGTAAAAATGCACTCTATATCCAGCAAACCATAACATGTTTATTCGAACCTTGCAACTACTTCATCATCAGTTTTTGATGCTTCTTGACTTTTTCCGATATCTGGGTCAACTTTAGGTGTATCTTCTGTCTCGTCGGCTTTTACAGATGCTAGAAAAAACGACAAAATAAATCAATGAGAGTTCGATTACTTTTTAACCTAAATTCATAAGAACAATTCCATAAATGTTGAATACTCACAAAATAAAAGGCAGAATCCGAAGATTGCCAATAACCAAAATTTTCCAACCATTTTGTATTGTTGTCCTATTTCCTTCCAATATTACAGAATTGTTATTTTTAGAGTTGGCCCAAGGCCCTAACAATGAATTATAAACTGTTTAAAAAAATGGTATTGATTACACAAATCAAAATTTTTTAACAGTTATAAAGAGAAAAACTTTTGCCCCACTTTACCAAGTGCAGTTTTTTAAGCAACTTCTGACATCTGAAGCTGCCGCAAAACCATGGCAGGATTTCCAAACCATGGCCCTTATGGTCAAACCATAGAGGCCGACTTTTCAGCTGTCACAAACAAATGGCGTGAGGCGGGGTACTGCGACAGCAAATTGAAAACCATGGCAGGTAAAATTATGCTGCCACAAACCAAGGGAGGGGAGGGCTGCCTCTGATGGTGACACACTTTTGGGCTAAGTTAGAACATTTTCCTTATGAATACAGTTTTGATTGATTTAGGAATAGGTTTCAGGTTTAAGTAAATATAATTTTGCATAATAAACTAAAATCTGGTACATGAATTTATGAATATACCGGTAATAGCACCATAAAATGAGACGAAGCGGCCATGAAGTGGTAATAACTGATTTGTCATGGAAAAAAGATAACATATTTGCATACAAGTTTACACAAGATTCTCTTTTTTACAATTTGTTATTTTACTAGTTGTGACAGTGATGTTTAGAAACAATCAGTAAACCACTATTAAATTTAGACATATCCAGCATATCTGCAAAATTAATTCCGGTGCTCAATTTGGATTCTATTTTGTATATCATTTGCTGATTCGTGTTCTGTACAAATTTATATGCTGATCTCAACTAAATCAAGTTGGAAACTTTAACTTTTTGGAAGCTAAAGTTGCTAATTTTAAACTTGCGATATGTTTGTTGGGTTCAAAGTTAAAAGATTCAAGATTTAAGCAAATTTATGTAGTAAATGAATATTGCTTTAAACTTCAAAACTTGGGCTTATTTCTGTATTTGATTTGTTAAGATCGGCAATGTTTGATAAGATATAGATTCCCTGCGATTAGAGCAAACTATTTCGCTGTTTACAAATCTGCTCATGGCAGCATGCACGTGCAATCAATTCCTGGTTTGAGGAACAAAAAACTCGCTTTCGATAAAGGTTTCAATAAATTCTGAAATTGTTGTATGTACAAATGTAATCACGTGACAGCATAAATCTGTGATTCCATCTGGGCTGCATAACACAGACATAAAATAGACTTTCGACAAGATTCAACAGTATTACAAACAAAACAATCTCAACATCCTAACACTCAAAATACAGAAATACCAACTCTGCAATCTGGCAACTGCAGAACTGTCAGTCTGCAGGCGAGTTTGAATAAACCTGCTTCCACCTAAAACCTCGTTATTATAACAGAAACAACTATACTAACCGACTAGCACTTTATAAATGTTAAATCGCTCAAGAAAGATAATAACACATATCCTGTTTGGAACTAGAAGAACACAACACATCTACACGAACATTTTCCATTTATTCACTACCGGCATTTAACCAACGTGCGTAACTAATTGACCAATCAGACTCCCCCACGCTCAATGATTCAGAGGCGGGGCTTAGGTGGCTCTGTTTCATTCGCTAAAATATACGGAAGTAAAGTGAACTTTGAACAACGGGTCGTGTGTACCTCTGCGACGTCTCTTTGCTGGTACATGATGCGTCTTCTTGGCAAACATGCCGTACAATGACGAATGAGACAATACCAGGATGCGATGATTTCGTGCGCGATGTTTTTGGAAATTAATATCTGCTTAAAATTACACTGTAATTTTAATTCTAGCGGAAATATCTTGTGAATTACGCCCGTCGTTGCGGGCTTACCGATCGTTGTTGCATTGGGCAATCCAGATTTTCAGACACACGGAACAGGCTATGAGGTTTATAGCCGAACTTTGGCGTTTCCTGTATACACAAATTCAGCACTTACTTGACTTTACGTTTAACACCATGATATTTAGTAGATACAACAAGATATTTAAAAAAATATGTTTTATATTTATTGTTTTCGCACATACGGTATTTAAAATCATTCTAATATTTTTGAGAATAAAATGGAATCCCAGGGATTTCTTCCGCAACTTCATTATAGGTGGGGCAGAGTTATTCCAACGAAGACCAAACCACTTCACTGTCGGGTGTTACGAACTGGGTGGGTAGGCCACTCGCAGTGGTGGGATTTGACGAAATTATGAGGTTTTTTTGCTATTCCAACTGGAATTGGTAGGGTTGGGATTTCGGAGCCAGTTTTTGAAATCCCGGCATCGGGATTGAGCCGTGTAATCCCGGGATTAAGTAGAAGATTGAAATAATAAAATCACGTATTTATTCCATGTAATATCGACGCAGAAATATTGGAGCATCTAGGGCAGTGATTCCCAACCTTTTTTATATCGTGGGACACTATTTAGCTCTTTAAATATTCGCGGCACATCTATCACAAAACACGAACATAACCTACTCATAGAGAGTGCGATAGTCGAACGCGAACAAAAGGTTAATAGTTACCGATATTACAATTGTTTTCCTACATTGATGTAAACGAGAGCGTCTTCGGAGCACCTCACATTATTTTAAAAGTTGCACGGCCGCACGGGTAATACGTGGTCTTCAAACGCACCGCCGATCACGCGCTTCGATTTTGCTCGACGTTCCACGTTACGCCATTATTATTATCTCATGTATTCTTACTTTTTCACAACCTAATTCATTTTTGTTACAATTTAATATGTTTCTCCCATTGCCAAAATCATTCAATAGTGTTATTGTCGGCACTTGCGATAGATATGAAAAAGGCAAACAAACTGTATTTCATTACAACAATTAATTTTTCATCGCTAAAAACACTAAATAGGTTTAATGTTGCTATAAATAATTTTCACCGCTGGACGTATCTTTTCACGTTATGAATTCCGTGCAAGGCCCGAGCATAATTTGATGGCAAAGATTATAGCATTTACTATGACGAAACGCTTATTCGACTTTTCAGACCGCAGAAACCATCCGAAAAAGATAACCGTTTTTGTGTTCGAGATATGAAATAATCGTCAATTCCACCACGCTTTCGTGAAGTAGGCCTAGTGCAATTTACTAATTTTATGAAAGTTTTATAAAGTTTCATTGCATCAGTGTTTGGACTACCACGCGTTTCGCCAGATTTCTGGCATGATTACAGATTGCAAGGGTGGGCGAAATACTATATTTTCATCGAATCGAATAATTTCAACGAATTGTCGAATATCGGGTTAAAAGTCAGGATTTTATTCTGATTATTTATCTTTTGGATTTGATCTTTGAGAGAACTTTGATCTTTCTTGTCACCGTTTGTAAATTAACTGTCCCAATTTTAAGCTAAAAATAATATTCATGTATATAAAATAATATATATATTTATGAAGACGATAGTTGACCATCTTGATTTTTTGATTTTACTTTTTCTATTGGGGTTGTTTTAATTTTCGTATTAAATAGGGAAGAAAAACCCTGCAAAGCCATTGCTTGAATCCTGAATGCTATTTTGAGTTTAAATGAGGATTAAATAAGTCGGCAATAATGGCAATTCTCCTAGTCAAATATTATTCCATAGTAAAATTTGAGAAAAATTTCGCACAGTATTTCCACTTAGTCTGACTGACTCGAACTGTAAGCGTGGATGGCTTTTTTTCAAAATCAGTATTGAATAAAATGGTATAACCTGCCATTTCTGAGAATATCTATATGCGGATAACAACGCCCTAGAATCGCGGGAATTTTAGGAAATAATTGCGGGATTGGGATTTAAAAAAAAAGTCCGAATCCCGGGATCGGGATTACCCGGGGTCCCAGCCCTAGGGATTGGGATTTCGTGATTAGAACCGTTTTTCTAATCACGATGTCGGGAGTTATGCTTGTTAACACCACGGAATTTCAATGCTGTATCTTTAAACGTCAAGAAGGTGAGAATATGGGAATGGCGTCCTGTGATCGGTACAAAGAGAATGAATTGTCTTGCGCAGACAGGACCCAGCCGATGAGATGAGTAGCGCTTGACATCTAAACTTCGCACCTAAGCTCGCGTCAAGCAAGTCCTTATTTAAGGGGAGGTTTTGTGTCTTTATTTAAGTAAAAACACTACTGGCAGAGGAAAACTGGGCGACAACGTATTTATTTGCCCACAACAACGGTACACCGCAGTGTCTAGTGTTCTTTCAAGTAATATTTGTCACGAATAAATATAATCCGAAGGGACATTACGAAACCAAACACGAAAATTTTCATTTTTGCGGGGTACCGTATATATATATATATATAGATATGTTTTATTACGTCTTCCACAATGGAGTTATTAGCGTGCTGAAAAATCGGTTATTGGACGTTTCATGTAGCTTTACAAATACCTAAAAATATTATGTGCAAAAAGGAACTTTTGTCAGCAGGGATGCGGTTAAAATATGGATGAAATGTTTGTTTAACTGAATGTTCGTGGTAAACTATAAGAGCAATTATATATATGTGGTATAACAAAACTTGCTGTTGTAAAAAACATATTAGAAAGCTCAAGTCAATAACTAATTGAAAGTTAGTCAGTCAGTTGAAAATATGTATATATAAATGTAGGGTTACCATATTTTTTTGACTTCAAAGCGGGACGTCTACAAAGACACGACCCCTTAGATGTGATCCTGTAATTTTACAGTTTCCAATTTTACTACATATGCCCGAATTTAAAGCCATCCCGGCTGTCTCCATTGACCATATTGTCATCGAGAGTTCATGCGCATATTCTTTGTCTAAATATCGGGTTCAGTTCGAAAAATAGAAAGAAATAGACGCTAACGATACAAATAATCCTAATTTAGTAGATTTTTTTTATGTACAGCAAAAGGAATAAAGAATAATGAAATAGTCTGCTGTATGGTGGCCCATCGTTGTCACGCGTAAAATTTAAAAAAAAAGGAAAAAATAAAATGAAAAGCGAAAATAAAAAAATATGTTTGTGAAAAAACATAAAAATAATTGAAAAAAAAGAAGTGAAAAAAAAAAATTAAAAATAAAAACAAAAAAAAAATGAAAAAAAAAAAAATGAAAAAAAAAAATAATTAAAAAAAA